TCATAGTGGTGAGGAGGAATGGAAGTTCCCCCAGAATGTCTGCTTTATATACATTACTGACACAATGGGCCCCACGTGATTGGCTAATTCCGGGATTCTCCTGTAGGCCAATCAGGTTGCGGATTCGCTTCCACCTGGAGCTGGATTGGGTGGCTCCTGTGGACCAGTCAGACTGCTGCATTCTGGATCCTATTGTTCTAGGACCAATCAGACTGCTGCCTTTTGGATCCTATCCAACTCAGTACATAACAGTTTCTGTGGTGACACCTCGGTAAAACCACTTCTTACGGTTTGTAGCAGAGTTTTCCCCAGAGGCAGAGGACAAGAACAGGAGTCATACTCAAATTCACAGTCAAGAGCTTCTTCATTGCTTGGCTGGTTGCACAAGCATTTCTGCTACTTTTATATACAAGCTATTGACATTCCTTCTTTATCTCTCCAGCACGGTATAATCTCAGCCCAGTAATTAACAATCCCAACACAGCAAAACTCACAGTACCAGCAGCACAAATGGTCTTACTTTAATTTACTTGTGCAGAAATTGCAGCTGTCACGGTCCGGTTCACGGGCGATCAAAGTCCTGGCTGGGGACGTTGGGACTGGGGGCAAGATGGCGGGGTGGGAGCAGGAACGGGAGTCCAGAAGCCAGGAGTCAGAAAGCCAAAAGTCCGAGGGTCAGAGAGCCGGGAGTCACGAAGTCAGAGGTCCAAGGATCAAGCAGCAAGGAGTCACAAAGTCAGGGGTCCGAGGATCAAGAAGCAAGGAGTCACAAAGTCAGGGGTCCGAGGATCAAGAAGCAAGGAGTCACAAAGTCAGGGGTCCGAGGATCAAGAAGCAAGGAATCAAACACAGCAAGGCAGGGAACGTGTTGCTGTGGCAAAGAGCCAAAGGGAAGTGCTGACCTTATATCCCTTCCCGGCTCTTGCCACCAGGTGCTGTGAGTTACCAATCAGCCTCACCTGTGCGGCCGCGCCTTGCCTCTCCAGAACAAACTTAGGAAGGCCCCAGTCCTGCGAAGCCCTACTGGTCCCAGGGCCTGGCTACTGCACACACTCCTGACAGCAGCCTGCAACTTCCTCCTTTTATTTTCACCTCCAGCTGACACCAATGAAGCTTAGATTACCACTCCTATGCACTAAAGAAAATTCTGGAACCCTCTTTCAAGCTCCAGGAACTTTTATCTGTTTCTTAAAGAATGTTTCCCTAACTCATCTGTCTCCTTGGATGCTTTAGTTGCCATTCCTGCATTGCAGGGGGTTGGACTAGATGCCTCTTGGGGTCCCTTTCATCTCTACGATTCTGTGATTCTGGAAAAGTGGAAAGTGCTTCTGGTCCCTTTTGCTCTCCTTCCCGCTGTTCCGGCTTTCCGCTGTGGGCTACCTTGGACTGCCTGGGCAGAGATGGAGGAGACCTGAATGCTGGAAGGTTCAAAACAGAGACCAGAGAGGGCTTCTTCATGCAGCGCAGAGATAAAACTATGGATCACACTCTTGCAGGAGGAAACAGTGGCCCCCAGCCTGGAGGGCTTTAAAAGAAGCTGAGACAAATTCAAAGAAGAGAAGAAGACAATGGACAGCGGTGAGGCAGGATGACTCTGCTCTGCTTCCACAGCTGAGAGACAGCCATGCTTCTTGAATCCACAGGAGGGCAGGGTGCTCTTGTGATTAAATAATAATAATAATAATAATAATAATAATAATAATAAATATTTATACTCCGCCCATCTGGCTGGGTTTCCCCAGCCACTCTGGGCAGCTGCCAGCAAAATATTAAAAATACAGTAAAACATCAGACATTAAAAACTTCCCTAAACAGGGCTGCCTTCAGATGTCTTCTAAATGTCAGATAGTTGTTTATCTCTTTGACATCTGGTGGGAGGGCGCTCCACAGGGCGGGCGCCACTACCGAGAAGGCCCTCTGCCTGCTTCCCTGCAGCTTCACTTCTCTCAGGGTGGGAACTGCCAGAAGGCCCTCGGAGCTGGACCTCAGTGTCAGGGCTGAACGATGGGGGTGGAGATGCTCCTTCGGGTATACTCGGTCGAGGCCGTTTAGGGCTTTCAAGGTCAGCATCAACACTTTGAATTGTGCTCGGAAACATACTGGGAGCCAATGTAGGTCTTTCAGGACCAGTGTTATGTGGTCTCGGCGGCCACCCCCAGTCACCAGTCTAGCTGCCGCATTCTGGATTAGTTGTAGTTTCCAGGTCACCTTCCAAGGGAGCCCCACGTAGATCAAATCCTGCTTGTGTTTCCCAAGAGGTGGTGCATCTGGTTGGCTGTTGTGTTGCAGCAAGATGGAGGGTCCTTTGGATCTCCTTAGACCCATGGGCAAAGCCAGAGGGGGCAGCAGTCCCCCCCATTAAGTAAATAAATAAAAATAATTAACTAACTGACCAATTGTGTTGCTGATAACTAGGTACTGCCCCCCCAACAAGAAACCTGCCCCCAGCCAGTAAATCCTGGCTGCTCCCATGCTTGGATCCCCATCACCCAGCCAGCCAACATGGGCCAATGGCCAGGGACTTCATAAAATTTACACACCACTAGATTTTGTTTTATTATTTCAAAAACCCTCAAAGGAAGAGGCTTTGCAAGGTCAGGAAACAAATACGGAACCTCTTCTTTGAAAAGCTCCTCAAAGCAGTACCCCTTCTGTGTCGCTTCCCTGGCCTTGGGGAAAGATGCTCTGAGGATGCTGAGAGCCAGAGCAGGATTCTGGTGGGCCAGTGCTACCCCACAGGGCTGCTTCCCACAATGGGGCGCTTAACAACAGGGGGAGGGCAAGCTTTTCTGCCAGGAGCCCCACCCGGCGCAAGAGACACGGGGAGGGACCTCCTTGCCATCGCTTGACTCTGGGGCTAGGATTGGCTGAGTGCTTGGCCAGAGAAGAGGAGATTGACAGAAAGGCCTTAAGGACGCATACAATATGTGGGGGGCAGGAAAGTGTGTGTGTCTTTGAGATGTCGAGGAGGAAATCCTTTCCAAAACTGCTAGACGTTTTCTGTGGCAGGAGCTGCAGTGGAGCAGCCTCCACATCCATCCTCCACGGTGGCACTGCTTGTTTCTCTCTGGGTAGCCCACCCTGCTGCCCAAAAACCTTCCCACCTGCCTGTTCTGTGCCCCTCAGGACAATGTGGCCCCCAATAGCCCTGCTGGTCTTGCAGGGGCCTCTCCCCACCTCCCAGCCACCTCCTTTGGCTTTCTCCAGGGCATCATCTTGGACCCCAAAGACGGAGAGCAGGACGACAGCATCCGCAGGGTGCTTTGGGGCAGAGAAAGGCTCTTCTGTGCCTGCCTCCAGCGCCCACTCATCCTCTCCTGCTGCCCCCAAATGCCCCCTTTTTATGAAAAAAAGAGGGTGGCTTTGTTGTGGAGAGAAGAGGACCCTTCTCCTCCCCTGGCGGTGCCCTCCTCACAGGGACACAGCCAGCCTTGTTCTCCCCTGAAAGCCAGAGACGCGCTTTGTCCTGGGGGGGCCCCCCCCAAGGCTCCGCAGCTGCTTTGGTGGTCGGAGGAAACGGGGAGACAATGGAGGCAACTCATTGGAAATATGGTTGCTTGTCACTATCTGCCAAAAGGGGGTGCCCACATGATCAATGAGGGTGGGGGGGGAGCAGTCAAGCCGGAAGAGTGACGAGGGGGGGTGCCAGGGCAGGAAGATGGGTGCTTCCACCTCAGCCCGGCTCCTGTTTCTCACACTTGCCACAAGGCGGAGAAGGTTTGTTGCCCAGCAGGGAGAAGATGGAGACGAGGCGTGGAAGAGGATTGGGACCAAAGAGAAAGGGGTGGGCCAGGGAAGCCCCAGCAGGTGTGGGGGGAGGGGGGCAGAGGCCACAGAATGGCCCCAGCCATTTCCCCATCCTGTCCCCATCCTGATTGCTTGGAAGCCAAAGTGGTCTGCCTACCTGCCTGATCCCCTTTCAGCAACACAGACAGGTGTTAACAGAGAAATCTGAGGGCTCCCTTGGACAAAAAACAAGGACACCAGCCAGGAATACCAGAGCAAAACAGCAGCCAGTCGGCTTGGTCTTTACCTGCCACAAGGTGAAACAAGATAGAAGCCCCAAACAAAAGAGCCCCCAAACTTTTATTAGCTGATAATCCCCATGTTACACCCCCCAAACTACATCACTCATACATCACGGTTACATCATGAAAGGGGAGGTCTGGTGGCCGTAATCTGAGCATCCTGGACCCTGCCCCATGGTTCCCCTTGCCCTCCACCAAACACCCATCAAGTGGAACAAAAGAGATATTTACATTTCCCTGTTTCCCAGCCAAGTTCATCCCACCCTTTGGTCTTCATCTGGTCTTGTTATTTCTGGAATGGCTACCTGTCTGGCACTCAGGTATCAGGATGCCAGGGATTATCACTCAGGCAGAGGGGCTGCTGAGTAGCTGAGCTCACATGTCTATATGAATTTCTGAAGTTTTCCCTGTGAGCCAGTACAGAGATACATTTATCATTTGGTATTGTGCAGCAGAGGCCCTTTGAATAGATAGGAAGAAACTGTGATGAAGTGTTTTGTGGGGACAAATCACAAAAGTCACAGAAGTGATGGTGCTGGTTTGGTAGTGGGCTGCACGTGCATGATATCTGCTGGAGGGGCAACCCCCCCCAAACCTATACATAAATTCCTGCAACACAGGGAATGTCCCCTGACCAAGGCAGCAGGCAGGGAGGCGCCCAGCTCAAGCTGCCCACTCCAGAGGGACCTTGCTCTGCTTACGGGACCCCCGCCATTGCTAAAGCGCAGGGAACTTCTATTGACATTCCCATGACTGGGCCTCACTGCCCAGTTGCACCTCTGAAAATCCTTCCGCTGTTGCTACTAGTCAATATTTCTCCTCCTCCTCTTGTTGGTTCTCAAACGCACAAAGAAGGCAGACCGCAGGACTCTGCAGTGAATCTTCCCGCCCATTTGCTGCCAGGAGCGGCTTGTTTCAGGGTTGCTGGGATGTAACCATGGCAGGCCGCGGGGCTGCTGGCTTCACGGAGGAGGCGGAAATGTTCTAGTGGGAGAGCAAACAGCAGGGGCTCTGCCTGGCCCTCGCGGGGTGTTGACACAGAGAGCATTATTCCAGGATCCATCGCCAAGTTGCACTTCAGGGGGACAAAAGGAGACAACCCTGTAAGCTGGCTCTTTTGGGGGGGGGGCAGGACGGGGTTATCAAGCTCAAGATGTTAGTTCAATATTTGCCGCTGGACGGAAGGCGTTTGGGGCTTCCAGGAGTGTTGACATCATGCTTGGCCAGCTCAAGATGAACATATTCAGGAGAGCAGAGAAGCGGTGCCTGAGCGACACACGGCAGCCACTCTGGGGGCAAAGAAAGGAGGCATGGGTTAATAAAAGCTGTTGCTAGAGCTAGAGGCCGGGTCAGTCTTCCTCCCCTCCCACTTTTATTTTTGCAACAGCCCTGTGAGGTAGGATAGGCAAAGTTAATATGTGCTCATAAGCAATGATTATTGTCAATAGATGCAGGAGGAGAGGATGGAGGGGCCCAATCGACACACAGGGCACCAGTCCCAGGAACCCCTCTTGGCATCTCTACTCAGAGGGATGGAGTGAAAGCGTGCAGAGTTTCGGACTCTTTAGTTTCGAGACAAGGTGAATAAGAAGAGTTTATAAAATTAGGCATGGCAGGGAGATAGTGGGCAGAGGAAAGTTTTCCTCCCTCTCTCATAACACAAAAAAACTTGCGAAAGTTGGAAGATGCAGGACAGAGGACAGTCCTTCTATGTGCAGGACAGAGTTGAACTATGGAACTCCCTCCCACATGAGGCAGTGATGGATCTCAGTAAAACTTGGATCTCAGTAAAAGAGGACTGGGCAAATTCATGGAGGAGAAGAGGGCACCCGAGGGCTTCCAGCCACCACAGCGATGTTCTGCTGCAGCAGTCAGAGGGAGTAATATTTCTGGAAAGCACTGGAGGGGGTGGCATTGCTCCTGTGTTTGACTCCTCCTTGCTGGTTCCCCCCAGGCATCTCTGGTTGGCCACCGTGAGAAGAGGATGCTGGACTCTGTGGGTCCCTGGACTGATCCTGCAGGCCCCTCTGGCTGCACAGATGTGCTCAGAACCTCTTCGCATCCCAGCCGAAAGCAGAGCTCTCCTCCAGGCACACAAAAGGCCTCGTCCGGCCGCTAAGCCCCCACTTGAGAAAGCCGAGTCAGATCACCAGACCCCCAGTTGGTGCAGGCAAAGCTCTTGGGGGATGAAGAGACATGGGGAAAGTCCATGAAGCTGGCTGGGATGGGGGGGCGGCTTCCTGCCTTTCTGGGCTGTTTGTCCAAAGGATGAGGATCCCCCCCCTTTTCTCTGTGTGTGACCTACTGATCCTCTAGACCAGAGCCATGATGAATATTCCCTTAATCTCTTCCAGAGGCTCAACGGCCTCAGGATCTTTTCATGGAGCAAAGCCTCTTGGGGCACCAGCAGCATCCCATGGCCCTACAAGTGTGGGGAGGAGGAGAGAGAGCCATCAGTGGCTACAGGGGCAAAAGACGACTTCTCTTTGCCCTGGTCAAAGACCCAGGTTGGCACATTTGCATCCACACACACACACACACACACAGGCGGGGAGCCTCAATGGGGACCCTCTGGAGGCTTCACCCGGGGCAGAAAATCTGGCTAGCCCTGCCCCCCCATAACTATGGCACTGTTCTGCTCTGTCTCCACAGCTGGGGAACACCAATGTTTCTGAAACCACAGGAGGGAGAGCTGTTGCTCTGGTGCTTGGATTCTGCTGGCAGGTTCCTCGCTGGGGCATCTGGCTGGCTGCTGTGAGACCAGGCTGCTGGCTGATGTAATAAACAAAAATCTGCCCTTATTCCCTTATGGGGGACACAAGAGCCTTTATAGAGTCCTTTGCAGGTTCTCCATCGGTTGGAGAAAAGAACAGAGGCCAAGCAGAGAATACTGAGAAGCAAAGCAGCTAGTAAGCCTGATTTTTATTGAACTGTTGCAACAGGGTGCTCCCCTTACACGCAGGAAAGGAGGAGGAGGAGGACACAGAACCCAGGTTAGAGTCCACCTTGGAGTCCAAGACCACCCCCAGAAACATCATGCCTACATCACAGAAGGGGTGTAGCTCAAGACCACTACCCATTACATCATACCTACATCACAGTAAAGGGTGGTCTATAACAGAAATCTGAGTGCGTTGTTTACCTCCTGTCTGGCAAGTTACCTGTTAATGCTTACTGGATTGATACCCTGGGGAGCCTGGCCAGTCTTTTGTAATGATAAATACTTATTTCCTGAGCCAGGTCACAGGCTCACCCTATTCATACACAGACATACCTTTAAGACAGGATTTGTGAAGGAAAAGACAATGGGGAGGCTTTTCCATTTGACTTTGCAGAGAAAACACCTGGTCAGTTTGGGAGTCAAAAGGGCTTCATGGCTGTTCTCCTGTGCAGCTTCAGACATGTGGTTTATATATTTATGTACATGTTTGCTTGGTACATTTATGAACCTTTATTATATACATAAGACCTTAATTTCTTTATTTCAATGAGATGGGCTCCTTTAGGCCGGATCCAGCTGGGCTCTCCATTCCTTCCTAAGTGGGCTCTGCCCCCCAGACACAGGACAGGCCCTGTGGCTCACCCCCGCAGCTCCTGCTCCCTGGCAGAAGGCAGGCAACCTCCCAAAAGCCACAAGGGCAAACAAGGGAATCTCTCCACGAAGTTAAAGGTTGCAGGAGATAAGCCCAACTCTCAGGGTGCATCTCACTCGTCTGCTAGAGGATTCTAAGCAGAGGTGCAATGACCATCTGCCGGGGATGATTTTGCCGAGATTCCTGCATGACAAACCACAGCAACTGGGACTCTTCCGGCAGCGTGGGAGGGAAGTTGCAGAGGGCCCACCCAGTAGAAATAAAGAGGAGGGGGCAGGGATGCCCACTGACATGGGTGGGCCTTCGACTTCCCTGGAATGCAACGGGGAGGAGGATCAGGACCACCTGCCAAGGGAGGATAGAAGAACAGAAGTTTAGCCCCCCAGATGCAGAGGGGCCACTTGGCTGAACAATATAAGCAAAGTAGTTGCTCACACTCACCTAAACCGCCATTGCCGCAGCTGCTAAGGAAGCAGTGTGGACAGCAGAATGAGGGCAGACTGGATTTCTGCACCAGCTCTCAGGGATATTCAGCCCTGGGACAGCCAACCTGGTGCCCTGCAGACGTCGTGTGGTTTCCGGTGACCATGGCTCAGTTGTCAGGGATGATGATGGGGTTCAGCAGCGGCATCTAGAGGGGCCCCACACTGGTGACCCCTGGCTCAGGTAATTAGGCTACTCATGCCCAATGACCAGCAAACTTCAAGCCTGTAACTCAGCGGCCTTTGCCAACCTGACGCCCTCCAGAAGTTTCAGGCTGCAATTCCCATCAGGACCAAGTGACTAGTCCAAAACAGCTGGAGGGCACCAGGTTGGTGAAGGCTGGACTATAGGTACTGGACTGGGAGCTGTTAATGACAGGTCAGCAAGATCTAGAGGACAGAGAGTTGGGCTATGATTTGGCAGTTGAATCAACCATGATCAACTCTCTAATTTCCCCCAACCTCAACTAATGTGTGTGTGTGGGGGGCTGTACATTGTTCTGTGCAGAGAACAGCGGCTGCGATCTGGAAACCAAGCCTTACGAAGAAGGGTTGAGGGAGTTGGGTATGTTTAGCCTGGAGAGGAGAAGACCGAGAGGTGATAAGAGAGCCACCTTCAGATATCTGCAGAGTTGTGCCCCACGGAAGATGGAGCAGGCTTGATTCGAAGAACCGTAAACGAGATTCCAACTCAGCATTTGGAAGAAGAGTGAGAAAAGTTCAAGAGTCGAATGGACTCCCTAGTGGACTCTCCTACCGTGGGAGGCTTCATAGAAGGGATCCCAGGGGTCATCCAGTCCAACCCTCTGCAGGAATCTCAGCTAAAGAATCCCTCACAGGAGACCATTCAACCTCTGCTTAACCATCTCCAAGGAAGGAGAGTACCAATTTGGAACAGCTCTTACCATCAGAAAGTTCTTCCTGATGTTTAGTTGGAATATATTTTTTTCTTGCCATTTGAACCCTGTGGTTGGGGTCTTCCCCTCCAGAGAAGCAGAAAGCAGGCTTGCTCCACCTTCAGTCTGGCAGCCATTTAGATATTTGAGCTCTGTTTTTAAGCAGAGGGTGGATGGCCGTTTTCATGAGATTCCTGCACTGCGGTTGCTTGGACCAGACAGCCCTCGGACATCCCGCCGTCTCCCCAACCCATCTTGCGCTCTCTTCTCACGCACATCATTCCAAAGGATCTCCTGCAAGGGGACAGGTTGTTCCCCAGATGTGAGTCTCCTTCCAGAGGGCTGGAGTTCAGCGGGGGGAGCAGGAGATGCCTGCAGCCCCGGCCTGTAAACAGGCCATCATTCATCGCAGAGGGAGAACGGCAGGCAGCTGCGCAACAGGTGTGCAAGCCCTTGTGCTTTGCCGAAACCTGAGCAGGGCGCTCTGGGGCTCCTGCCTGCCCCCCACCCCTTTAACCTGACACTTCCATGCAGCCGCTCTCCCCAGCAGCGCCAAGCGCGCCCGCCTTCTACCCAGGCTGTTTTCTGCTTGGCTGGGTGCAGACATGGCTTGCATTAACTCCCCAACCTGCCAGGAAATTATGGGAAACAAAAGGGCCAGAGATGTCCCTCAGCCTCCGACAAGCCCCAAAACAAATGGTACAGGAGCAGGGTCACAAAGGAATCCGACGCCCACCGCCCGCCCTGGAATTAATTTACCTACCTCAGAGCCCATTCAGGGGAGGGGGGCGGCGGCTGCGACATGACAAGATCGGACAGGCCTCTGCCCGCCTCTGGGCTCCTTTGTGTCCCCCGCATAATAGACAAGGCGAGCGCATTGCAGGAGGGGTGGGCACCGTGTCGTCCCCCCAGCGATGGAGCAGGGCCTTTGCAAATGCTAATGGCCTTGGAGCAGGACGGAGGATGTTGGTTTTCACACAAAAACAGAAAAGAGGCATTGTGGGGAGAGGCTGGCAATAAACGTGTCATATCTGCGCATCAAAGGCTCTTGCAGGCCTCTCTCTCTCTGGGCAAATGATGCTCTCCTAGGGCTGTGCCAAAAATGTCTCCCTCGGTGTGTGTTTTCGTCTTCTTTTACCATTCTCCATTGGTTTGTGAGAAACGATGTTGCATCCGAGAAGGAGGTGTGAACATTTCGGGGGGCATTCTCACGGGTGGAGGGGCTGCAGGCAAGGAGGCGGAAGGAAGTTGGTTCCCTTTGGACTTTCCAAAGTGGTAACCTGGCCATCCTTTGGAAGCCGCCCTCCTCCAGGTTTTGCAAGCAACATATAGAAAAATAGATGCGCCAGGATGAACTTTGCACTAAAATGCTGGCCAGTTTTCACGGGGACTTATTTGAAAAATAAGACATCATAAACTGGATTGAGTTTCTCTCAGTGGATGCATTTGCCCATAAGAAGAGCCTGCCGGATCAGGCCTGCGCCCTGCCTAGTTCAGGATCCTGTTCTCAGACTGGCCAACCAGCAAGCAGGATTTGAGCCCAGGAGCCACTGGGATTCAGATCCGCCTGGAATGAACAGCCCCCCCTCTTCCGTTAAAAGTGTCCATCAAACTGGTTCTGCAAGTTCATGGGCTGGATTGATGGACAAACTCCCGAGTAATGCACTATAATTTCTGTGTTCAAGCAAATCTTAAGATAATTAGGGTAATTTTGTTTTAATACAGTTTCAAGTAAAATGTAGTCGGCTGCCCTTTTCTTGATATGCTGGCTTGGGATAATTAAAAGGGGGGTGGAATCCATTTTCTTTGCACTCGGTGATCAGTATGAAATATCCAGCACTTTGCTATTTTACCAAATGCAATCCATCTTGGCTAATTGAGGGGCTGAAAGATGAGTGTTTTAAGAAAAGGCCAAATGCTGTTGCGTGCTTCTGGAATTCACGAGAGAGAGAGAGAGAGAGAGAGAGAGGGAGAGAGAGAGAAAGAAAGAGAGAGGGACGCCCCCCTGCCCACCGCTGAGAGGGGTCCTGTGACCACAGAGCCTTCACTTTTCTAGCACACAAACAGGGAGCATCTCCCTCTTGAATTAGGGGGACTCTTCCAAGATGCGGCTTCACTGTTGGGTCCAGGCAGCATGGCCAACGGCGTGGGAAGATGGGCGCTCTAGTCCACCAATATCTGAAGGGCACCACGTTGCCTACCCCTGGTCAGGGCTGACTGGCAGAAAGGGCTCTTGGGGGTTCCCGGCAGAAAGCCTTTTCCCAGCCCTGCCCGGAGGAGCCACGGGGGAATTGAACCGCCTGGGGCACAGCAGGTGCTCTGCTGCTGAGCTGGGGTTCCTGCCCCATCGCCTGAGCCCTTGGGGCAGATGGGCGGCATGCAAATAAAGAAGAGAGTAAGAAATTTAAGTGCTCAAAACCTCTCTTTATTTTGTTTTCCTTCAATGACATCTGCATTCAATAAATAACTTCCACGGGATACATCATGCTAAACGTCAGGTCGGCAACAGAGGCTTATAACTGAAAAGTGGACCAGACAGAATAAAGTACGAGAAGAGGATTGGGGGGGCGGGGCGGAAAGAGACGGGTCTTGGTGCAGCACCCCTTTTTGGGAAGGACCCCCTTCTGGGATCCTGAGATTGCCTCTTGGAAGGCCAGAGCAGCTAAGAGGCTTTTGCATCATTAAGGGCACAGAATCTCTGGCGTGCGGCCAAAAGCATTTGCTATACACACAAACACACAAAATGCCATCTCACTTTTTTTTTTTTAATAGCAGAGGAATGAGGATTGCTCTCTCCCATCACTCTCAGTTTGGTTCTTGGCAACAGCTGCCTCTCCCTGCTCATCTTGTTTCCAGATTTCACAGAACACCATGCGGAGGAAGAGGGGGGCAGCAAAGGTAGTATCCCCTTTGCCGAAAAACAAAACAAAACTCCACCTGCGAAGTGCAGCAAGGCAGGATCCCCGGAGGACGAGGGGAGAGAACTTGCAAGGCAGCGCTGCGTAGCCCATCGGAGGAAGCAGCCTGCCAGCAAGTCACTTGCGCAGAGGTGGAAAGGCAGACAAGGCAGATGTGGGGATAGGGAGGGGGAGAGGGGGCACGAGGACATTTGGAAAGATACCTCGAAAAGCGGGAGAGGAAATGTTACTGGTAACGTGTATTTCTGCATTTAGGGCTGGCGCAAAACGACAGAGTCAACCCACAACGGATGCTTGGAGCTGCTCAATGGAGGTGACGAGTGTCTGCACAGAGGGGGCAGTTTCTTCCACGATGCAGAGAGGAGACGGCTGGGTTTAAAGGGGCTCTGTGTGGAGGGCCGTGACCAGCACACGGCAGGGTCCCCTCTCCCCCCAAAAGCCACCGGAGCCCTGCAGCATAAAAAACCCAAACCGGGCGAGTCCCTGAAAGGAGCTTTCCCTCCAGAGTCTGCTCCTGCCACGCAGACCAAGAGCAAATCTCTTTGGAGCGTCTTGCCCCTCTCTAAGGCGCTTATTCCACATGTCTCAAAAGCGGCTGATGTGCAACCATTTATCTGGAACCTGCCACTGCCGGTGGGATACTCAGGAAGCATAAAAATAAAAAGTGAAATGGAGCTGGCCAAAGTCCCACCCCAGGACCAAACTGCAGTGAAATGGATAGTGGAGGATGCTGTTCTTGGAGCCAGATGCCCATGAATGGGCCCTCGGGTGCCTGTTTGGACACGGCCTGGGAGCCCCTGCCAGGCTCACTCCCCCTGCCCAGCTTCTCTCCAGTGCCTCAGTCAAGATCTGGCTCCCCAGAAGAGCACTGAAAGGCAGCTGCTCTCGCTTGGAGGCCCCTCAGTGCGCTGCGTCACACAAACAAACAAACATTACGTAGGAGGTGTTGTCGACGTATGTACAAAGGCTAAAATTTTATTTCAAGCCCCTCGGGTTCGCCACGCAAAGGAGCCCCCGACCGGCTAAAACCACTAGAGGCGGCGGAAGGGGTCTTGCCACCCCAGAAAGAAAAACCCCCTACTTCTGGCCCCTCCCTGGAAAAAGCGAGAGGGAGCACTTGCAGAATCTGGACAGCCCCCTCAAGGCATCCTTTCCAGGTGAGAAAGCGTCGGTTTCCGTTGCCAGGTGTGCTTCCCTCGTCATTATTACTGCCCCCGTCACCCAAAGGGCAGGTGGCAGCCAGGACCTCTCGCTGCCTCCTGCCAATTGTCTCCTTTCCCTGGGAGACGTTCGGAGACACCCCTAAAAAGTGCAACAGGGAGGAGAGGAGGACCAGGAGGCGCCGCGGGGCCATTTCTAGTGCTTTGTGTGTTCCAGAAGAGGGGCTTTGTCTTCCTGTAGAAGCTCTGCTGAAACACAAACACAAATGGACTGAATTTGCAGAGAGAGACTGGACAGAGGACCCCTACCCCCGTCCCCCCACCAGTCATTTTTGCTTGCTGGGAAGAGAAAAGCCGCCTCCTCATCCTGGGTCGCCATTCACTCGCCAGGTATCTCAATCAAGAGACAGGTCCCTGGCGCCATTCCTCAAGCAAAACCCAGAAGGGTAAAAGAGCAAGACGAGGGAGAGATCGGCCCAGATTGAATGTCTTGCCCTCGGCTGGACTTGAGGGACGATTCCAACAGATTCCACATAAAAACGCTTATGGCCCTGTGGAGATGGCAGGACCAAATTGGTGGCGCATGCCCTTCTGGCTTGCACTCTTCATAAAGACTTATCACCCCTCTTTTATTGTCCATTCTGGGTCCCCCAGCCACTGCCACCGTGTCCTTTCTCTTGGCAGATCAAGACGAGCAGGTGACAGCAAAGGTTGCAAGGTTTTTAGCTGGGGCAATCAGAATAAGGTCCACTATTTGACCATTGATTCGAAACCCCAAAATGTATTTTATATAATTGACTTTTTATTTCTATTCTTTGGATACTGTATTGTTGTTTTATTGCTATGGCCGACGGCTGACGCAAATGAAGATTCATTCGTTCAGATTGGCCCAGAGCACGGGGCATCATACGGCACAATGCCTGCCCCCCCGATGTGCCGTGCTGGAACCAGGAGGCCCAGATTCAAATCTCCAATCAGCTAGGAAGCTTGTTAAGGTGGCTGAGGGGTCAAGAGGCGATTCCGACTAACACAGGAAGAACATTTGTGCGGTGAGGACTGTTCAGCAGTGGAAGAGGCTCCTTCGCAAGGTTTTTAAGCAGAGTTGGGTGGCCAAGATGACCCTTGGGGAGCATCTGAAAATTCTGTAAGACTTGGATGAAGCAGCAGGAGGATTAACGGAACAACCTTTTAGGGCCCTTCCAGGCAAAGATGGAGGTACGCAGTCCCTTGGCAAGACGAAGGGGGCTTCCTGCTTCCTGGCTGTGTTAAGAAGAGCAAGACGGGCCTATTTTGGGCAGTGTCAGAGCGCTGCAGTTGCTCAGTGACCACCCAGAGCTCCTTACCTGTGAGGACCAGCTACTTCTCTTCTTGATGGAGGGCTTCAATGAAGACTTCAAGTTTCTCCTGGATCTCCCGAACCTTTTCTGGAAAAGTTAAGATGCTGCTGTCAGGACGGATGTCTCCAGGCACAGATGCCTCCTCTCCCAAGTGGAAACAGGCCTGGCCTCCCTGAGGAAGGCTGCGGGGCTGGGCCCCCATCCCATCCCTTCCCTGCCCCACAGGTGCCTCGGAGGCTTCAACAAGACCTGCCTCGTCCGCAGCCAGGAGCCTCTTCTGAAGCGGAGAGGGTGCCAGCAGTCAGACTAAGGCCTGCATTGATGTATTAATAATGTAATAATAATGTATTAACATGTCATAGTTAAACTGCATTAATTAAATGTTCACCTTTTATTGTAGACTAATCTAGCATAAAGGTGTGCCTCAGAATTAACTGGTTGGCCAGCCTTGGCAAAACTTCCTAAAAATTAAAATATGGCCTGTGTTTTTGCTGAGAAATAATTTCAGGTTTAGAAGTTGTGAAAGTTCTGAGTGCAGCCGCTTACATTACCACGAGCTCTTCAGAGGAAAGGGTGGAGGGACATATAAATGTAAAAGATTGAATAACTGCGGATGCAGAAGCTTCTGAATGGTTTGTTCTTTTCAGGGGCTGATTTAGGAGCCACAGTGTGGTTCCTCCAAATAAGGCTGCTTCCTAGATCTCACGCAGCTCACTTTGCTTCAGCAAAGCAGGATTAAATAGCATTTGGAAAGTTACCCCTTGGCCATCTCATAAAATATTCCAGAAGACAAAATAAAAACCACAATTCAGAGGTCCAGCCTTTCAAAAGAGATGGCAGTGTTCAAACTAGCCAAACCAAATCAAAGCAAGACAGGCTAAGAGAAGTGCCCTGAATTTAAAGATGCTTTTGCAAAAGTTGTAATCCAGACTTTGGCCTGTTTTGCTCACCCACCCACAACCATTTTTTTCTTTAAAAGGTCAGAGTTTATCTGGCAGTCTGCCCAGCAGTTGCAGGAGCAGCAGCTACAGCCACTTATCTGTCTATAGGCTTATCTATTTACCTGTCAACAAAAGGCGCAATTGGTGGCAAAGCTGACCCGAAACCACCCTTCCTGCCACTGGCCCACGGCTGAAGAGGCAGAAAACTCAAAGCAAGGAGCCACCCAAAGCTTGAGGAAGGGCAGAAGAGGCAAAAGGGCAGCCCAATCTCTGCCCAAGCAGACCAGCCCCCAGGCGCCCAGCCTGCACCACCGGCTTGGACTTGGGGGTGTCTCCAGAAAAGAAAAGCCGTCCCTGAGTTACATGGCAGGTGAGAGAGCAACCCTCTTCATGGGAGCGTGGCGCATGGAGGGTCCTAGGAAGAGAAGAGCGTGCTCTTTCAGAGGTCTGTGTAGCCACTTTACGGGGCAAAAGTAAAAATGAGGCCTAGAAGGCAGAAAGAAGCCAGAGCAAACTCTAGAGCAGCGGTTCTCAACCTGAGGGTCCCCAGATGTTATTGGACTACAACTCCCATCATCCCTGAGCTCTGGCCTTGCTAGCTAGGGGTGATGGGAGTTGTAGTTCAACAACATCTGGGGACCCACAGGTGGAGAAAGGCTGCTCTAGAAGACGTGCGTGGCTGGTGTCCTGTATCCGCAGAGTCCGGCCTGCCACATGGTCGCCAGGAAACCTTCTCCCTCTGAGGCTCTGCCCACTTTCTAGAACATTATGCCGTCCTCTGTTGCTGAACGGCTGTCTCATGGAAGATCACAGAGCCACAGAACTGTAGAGCTGGAAGGGACCCCCAAGGCTCATCTAGCCCAACCCCTTGCGAGGCAGGAATCTCAGCTTGAGCATCCCTGACAGATGGCCACCCAACCTCTGCTTGAAAACCTCCGAGGAAGGAGAGCCCGCCATCTCCAGAGGGAGACCATTCCTCTGCCAAAGAGCTCTGATGGCCAGAAAGTTCTGGTGTTAGGCAGAATCTCCTTTCTTGCAACTTGAAGCCACGGGTTCGAGTCCTTCCATGTAGTGGAGCAAGTTTGCTTTCTGCTGCTCCAGAGAGGAGGACCTGAACCCGTGGCTTCAACTGCAGGGGCTGGGCTGGATGACCCTGGGGTCCCTTCCAACTCTACAGATTCCATGAACTTTCCCACCCCAAACCTTCTCCTGTTTCCTCCCCGAACTCTCAGGGCTCAGCACCCTCTCGCTGCCTTGCTTCCTCCCGACCTCTCCGCCCCAAAGCTGCTCCGATGGCTCCTGCACAAACAACGTCCCCTTTGAGAGCTTTCGGCACCGAGCGAGAGATACGGAGAGCCTGGTTCTTGTGACACCTGTTAAACAGCGGCCCCCGGGCCGGCCACCCCGCCTGCAGCTTTGCAACAGTGACGCAGGTCCCAGTGAATGGCCGTTCTCCTCCCCATTTACTTCGTGTTTGCTCAAAAGATGAGCCGTTTCCCTCCACCAATTCATCCCGGGGTCCCTGATCTGGGTCATGAATATTCCCATAATCCCCTCTCCCAATCTCCCATAAACCCCCGGCTGACACAGAATGAAGAAATCCTCTATTCAGAGGCCTCAAGAGAGCCATTCATCCTGGCGGGGCTCTTTATCTGCACATGAAACGACACCCACAGCCCCTCTCATTTTCTTTGCATTAATCCTCTGATACCGGCTCCAAAGGGGCTCAAAAACAGACTAATTGATCTGTAATTACGCTCTGAATACACACCGTGAACACAGAAAACAGAGTGGGGAGGGAGAGGGACGGTTGCCGGTAACTGTGGGCACAGGATGGAACAGGATAGAGCGAGGGCTGGAAAAATAAAGAAAAACCCACCTCCCAGCACCCCCGTTCTTAGAGCCACTTCAACGCCCAACTTCTGCAGTGCTGCCCTTTGCTTTGCCTGTTTCAGATCCCGCCCCCCCAGCTGGGGAAGTGGGCAAGGGACTGAGCAGAGGGCTGCCAGACAGTGCCATCCATGATGGCATCACGCAAGAACGTATCATACAAAGAGGCTGCCGGATGAGGCCAAAGGGGGCCCACCAAGCCCAGCACCCTGTTCTCATATTGGCCCACCAGGTGCCCAGCAAGCAGGATTCATGCCCAAGAGCGGACCTTCCTTGCTGTGGTTGGCAGAAACTGGCACTCAGAAGCATCTCTCCCTCTGACCGTGGAGGCGGAGCCATCCTGGCGAGGCGCCATCAATAGCCCTCTCCTCCTCCACGAATTTGTCTCACCCTCTTTGAAAGCCATCTGGGTAGATCACCATCATCATAAACTTCACTGAACTAGCCAAAGATCATGGCATCATCCACAAGCACCACCCGAGCAGGTGCCCTTCACGCCTCCTGTGGGAGGGAGTTCCATAGTTTAACTCTGTGTAGAGTGAAGGAGGACTGTCCTTATCCATCTGGAATCTTTCAATTTTCAGCTTATGTCAGGGGACTGCCATCGAAACAGGGAAGGGAAGCAGAGGGGCAGTTGGGTTACAGGAAACCTCCGAAAATCTTGCAAAGCAGTTCCTCTTCCTGTGGTGAGGAAAGCCACACCTCCAGTGGGGAAGAGGGGAAAGGACCAGAGGATGCTGCTGGGAGACTCAGCACCGCTCCTGGCCAAGCCGGTCAGGAGGGAAGCACGCTCCTTCGGGAAGCACGCTCCTTCCGTCACCCACCTTGCACAGAGGTGTAAAATGCAAAGAAGGAAGGGAAAGGCTGGGGGTGACGAAGCTCTTATGTTGGGGGAGGTCCTGGAAACGACCACTGCCAGATTCTGCTAGCGATTGAGACAGACATGAACTTGTGGCTCTGCACTGTGAATAGTTTTGCATCAAAATAAAACCTGTAGAAGACAGGTCTGAGTCCCGTCTGATTACTCACGAGCAACCACCACTGCCGTCTGACAGCTTAGTTACAGGTGCACAAGTTCTAGTGTGAGGCGAGAGGGAGGAAAACACTTCTCTCTCCACTTTCTCTATGCCACGTGCAAATTTGCAAACTTCCATCATGTCACATGCTCCCTGCCTTTCTCTCAACCGAAAAGTCCCAAATGCTGCAACCTTTCTTTGCAGGAGTGTCTCTGGATCTTTTCGGTTGCTCTTTTCTGAACCTTTCCAACCCTACAATATCCCTTTCGGGGCGAGGCGCCCAGAACGGTCCTCGCATGCCTTTGTGCAGCCGCACAGAGAGACTGAAGGCTGCCTGAACCGGGTGATCTGAGCTCGGGTCGTGCCCTACTTCATTTCCCACCCCCTTCCTTTTTTCAAAAACCACTTTACATTAATGCCTCGCATTTTTGAACCAGTTTCCTCTTGCTCACATACCGAGCCGACCGACCGGCAGGAAAAAGCAGAACTTTAAAGAGAAAGCCACCCAGGCTGCCCTTAAAGAGACAGATCTCCATCGATCACTTGCGGAGACAGATTTATAATAAGAGGGCCCCCCCTCTGTTTCTTTAAGGCTGCAAAACCAGATGGGAAGTGAATGGACAGCCAGCGGGTCAAGAAAACACAGGGGAGGTTCCGCTTGTCTGCCGCATTTGTGTTCCCCGCAGAGAAAGGGGGTCAAGACGGAAGCAGCACGGCCGGCGGATGGAAAGGGCCTCCTTTCTTCGCCCGCCTACAAAGGCCGGCGCTGTTCCCCTCGCCCCGCTGTCAAGCGGGGAGAAAGATTGGCTTGTCAAAAGGTCCCCGGCAGCCCCGGCTTCCCAAAGAGGCAGAGGCAGGCAAATGAATCCGGGGAGATTGTTAAACAATTAGCTCATTAGCGCCACGAAAGCGCCAGACAAAGGGCTGCCGAGCGGAAGGCGCTGGAGCGGGATTTATAGCAGTTCAGGGAGAGTCGCCCCATGAATCACGGCAGCGGAGGCCGTTGCGCAGGATTAAAAGGGAAAGCTCGCAGGAGAGGCAAAGGAAGTCGGAGGAAGCGTGCGCGGCCGGCGAGGAGCACGCTCAAAGGGCGCATTGTCAGCAGTGCGCAAGGAGGCCAGTTGCTGCCTTCCTGGGAACCCCTGAATTGCAGAAGCAGAACAGAGCAGGGCAGCCGCCAGCCAAGGCAGCACAGGGGCGGGCACAGGGGGGCTCTCCAACCTGCAGCTGGGAAACCAGCCCCCACTCAGTTTCAATGCAGCTCCCCCCCCCCCCTTGGCGCCAGCTGGGTGCTTCAGACTACAACTCCCATCCCAAAGTTGCGCAGGCTGCTGCTGTAGTGCAATTGGGAGAGCACCCAGTGGAAGAAGGCTGATTTAACCCAGGAACCTGCGTGCACCTATGTCAACACCACCCCCAACATCACCTTGGCATCATGGAAGCCTCCCTAGGGACCTTGAGGAAAGACAGAAGCAAGGAGTCCTGGGCAGGGGCATGAAGGAGAATCACAGAACTGCAGTTGGGAGGGACCCCAAGGGCTGTGCCAACCCCCTGCAATGAAGGAAGCGCAAAAGGAACTCTGCTTTGCACCGTAAATAAATAGGCAGGTTGGGAACGGACCCTGAGAAACACCTGCATCTCTGAATCTCTCTTTGCTGCCGCCACCTTTCAGGGCAGGAACAAAGACAGGACTCCCAAGACACCGTCCAGAGCACCTGGGGTTTCCTTCCAGACCCTTTCTCTTCCCAATAATCCTGTGAAGGGGGTCAGCTTCATCAGTGAGCTTGGCTCTCTGCCACTCAATACTCCAAAGCCGCCAGCCCCAGCCCCCGCTGGTTTCCTAGGAGAGACCCGACCCCTTCTTGACACCTTCGGGAGCCATGCTGCCATCCTGAGCTGGACATACTCTTAGAATGCGGCTGGGAACTGAGAGCTGTCGCTGAGACCACGTAACACCGGTCCTGAAAGACCTTCATTGGCTCCCAGTACTGTAACTGTGCCCCTGAAGGACCAGGTGTGCAGCCTGGGAGTCATTCTGGACTCGCAGCTGTCCATGGAGGCGCAGGTCAGTTCTGCGTCCAGGGCAGCTGTCTACCAGCTCCACCTGGTACGCAGGCTGAGACCCTACCTGCCTGCAGACTGTCTTGCATGCTCTGGTTATCTCCCGCTTGGACTACTGCAATGCGCTCTATGTGGGGCTACCTTTGAAGGTGACCCGGAAACCACAACTAATCCAGAATGTGGCAGCCAGACTGGTGACTGGGAGTGGCTGCCGAGACCACATAACACCAGTCCTGGAAGACCTACATTGGCTCCTAGTACGTTTCTGAGCACAATTCAAAATGTTGGTGCTGACCTTGAAAGCCCTAAACGGCCTCGGTCCAGTATACCTGAAGGAGCGTCTCCACCCCCATCCTTCTGCCCGGACACTGAGGTCCAGCTCCAAGGGCCTTCTGGCGGTTCCCTCACTGTGAGAAGTGAGCTTACAGGGAAGCAGGCAGAGGGCCTTCTCAGTGGTGGCGCCCGCCCTGTGGAACTCCCTCCCATTAGATGTCAAGGAAATAAACAACTATCTGACTTTTAAAATACAACTGAAGGCAGCCCTGTATAGGGAGGTTTTTAATGTCTGATGTTTTATTGTGTTGGGAGCTGCCCAGAGTGGCTGGGAAAACCCAGCCAGAGGGATGGGGTATAAATAATAATTAATTATTATTATCATCATTATTATTCTGAGTCAGTATGAGGCAGCTTCCTCTGGGGTGATGTCTGCATGGCAAGAGGCTTCCTGAGCAGCCAGCTAAGAGCAGCCTCCCAGAACCATCTCAAGGGCTGTGTCCGAGCGCAAAGGAAGAGCTCCTGCTAGCAGCCCCCGCCTGCCTGCCTGTGTGTGGCCAGGCCTCTCTCCGTGGGAAGGGGCCTTTGTGCAGAAGAAAGTCTCAACTCGCCTGCGACACCTGCCCAGGTGCCAGCATTTCATGGACTGACAATGCCGGGGGGGGGGGGCCTGGACACCCCCTCGCCGGCACGTCTCAGCTTTCCTGACAAGATTTCCCTCTCCTGCCCTCCCTCCCCATCAAGCACAGGCCGTTCCACATAGCCAGGATTAAGAAAATCAGGAAGCTAGAACAGTCCCTTGATCGAAAACAGATTCTGCATATTTAGGAAGACCACTTCCTCTTCACGGCATCGGCAGATAAACACTCTCCCAAACCATCACCACTTCCAATACAAAATTTGTGGCTACTGGGAGAAAGCAGAGTTGAGCGGAATGAGAGGAAACCAAAGGAGCTAGACTATGACAGACTCTGCTATCAATGCTTTCTTGAAATAGCTCAGCGAGAGGCCAATAGCTCTGACACCGTAGGACAAAGGCTCCCAATTGGTGGTCTGCCCCCCCCCCCCCCGGGTCTGCGGCATCCTTCACATAACAAAAACTAACACAGAGATATAATTTTTTTCCAAAAGTATGAGGCCCATGGCTTGGCTACTGAAAAACAGGCCGTCTGCAGTACTTAGCTAATCTGGCAACACTGTGTTTGGATATCCTATACGCTTTGAACCTAAAATATTCCCACTTGATTATCCGAATGATGTTATTCCAGAAAATGATCAAGAAATATTGTTTAACCCTAAAACTGCTGCTCAAATTACAACAGCTAAAATTTTTTTTGGGGTGGGGGGAAGCACACCTCAACCCTCCGAAAGGATCGAGGGAAAAACTGGTCCAAGGGAAAGCAGCCCAAACTTTCTCGACAGCCTCCCCAAAAGGCCAGAAGATTTGGCAGCTTGGCAACGGCTGTGAAGGCAAGGCGCTTGCTGTGTCCTCCCCCTCCAGGAGGAAAGCCTGGGCATGCGATGCAGCTGCGAGGAAGGGCTTCCTCCAGAGAAGCCGGGGAAGGCGGTGGCAAGCCCAGGCAAGCCCCAGAGAAAGAAATTGGAAATGCACAACCTGTCTCTGGGGGCAGCCGCTGCTGCCTGGGAGATGCTGCTGCCACCGCAAGTGACAAAGGAGGGTAAACAGAGGCAGGAGGTCAGCATGCCAGCAAACCCGCCTCCCTCTTTCATGGGGATCCTCCGAAAGGCAGCCACCTGCTGCCCCCTGAAGCAGGGAAAAGGCACTGCTCCTTCTGAGGCATTTCACGAAGGGTCTCTGCCTCTCCCGGAGCAGGAATGACGACAAGACTGCAGAGTCGCACCTGACCCAACGTTCTGGGCTCAAGCAAACACAAAAAGGAGCTGAAAGGTTTGCCTGGCATCGCAAAATCCCCACTGAAGCTGGGCAAGATTCTGCACATTGAGACTTTTCAACCAGTTGCCACCAGGGCTCTGAGCCGCATCCTGCTCAAGTCCTGAGTGAACAGGCTCTCGGACTCATCTCTCGGGAAGGCTCTGGAGAAATTAGGCTGCCCCCGCCCCCTCCGCCACTGGGAGAGAAATATGAGAGTGACTTAGAAACCGCAGCGAACAGCCTCGCTACTTCCAGGTCTTGGGAAATCTGATCCTTTCCCAGAATAATTTCCAAGAGGCAACTAATTCTGGAGGGAGAGTGAACAAAACAGAGACACAGGAGTAGGCTGCTCAAAAACCCACAACTAGGCATATTACATGCATGACTGAAATTTAAAAAAGGTTTTTAAAAGAATATGCACTGAGAGAGAGACAGACAGAAATATCTAGATTGGGACTGCAACAGGTAGGTTAACCCTCCTCAGGAAATCTTCGTTATGAGGCAGCACAGAAACACAGGGAGGAAAGAAATTCCCACCTGGCCTGTCCCTGGAGGGATGCTTCCTTCAGCCTCCCAGGGCAAATGGCAGCTTTGGAGACCAAATTTAGCCAGCGCTATGGAGTAGGGGTTTGACCAAACTGCGGGAGGCAGTGGAAGACAGGAGTGCCTGGCGTGCTCTGGTCCAGGGGGTCACGAAGAGTTGGACACGACTAAAGGACTAAACAACAACAAACGGAGTAGGGGGGCGAGGCTTAACTCTTTAAAAATCAAATGCCGTCAGGCGTTTAGCACATGGTTAGTTTGGTCCTCGGGAACCAATTTCTCTGGGAGGCAGCAAGCCCCTGTCTCCATCCTGCAAATGTCTTATGCAGGACCAAGGCATGGCTAGATGAGCACTGAGCAGGACCCAACCCATTAAAAGCTAATTCCTGGACAGAGGCTTATGTAACTCACTGGCTGTAAGTAGTACAGACAAGCCAGGATGTTTGGGTGAATATTATGGCATGCAAGCGTCTTTGCCCCCACCTTTCCCAGATGTTCTGTGACCATAAAACTTCATACTTGATCCTGACCCAACAATATTAGCACAGAAACTACTGACATTCCAGAAGGCCACGGTATATTAATTAAGTTACTAAAAATCATATTTGAAGTTTTCATCCTCCCATAAAACACCTGGATTAGTTCTGTGGTATGGAAATTATTTTTAATAGTCTGAGCTCCTTTGCTTTTCTGAGGAATTTCTTCACTAGCAGGGATTTAACAGCCGTCATCGTAAGGGGGGGGGGGATGAGCGCCCTAAGAAGAGGGGGCCCGGCTCAACACGGAAGGCTCCACAGGCCGAAGGAAAGAGCAGAACAAAAGGCTCACATGAAACTGGGCACTGAGGACCTGTCTGCCTCATGGCAGCCTCTCGACAGCAGAAGACGCCGTCCAAGTGCATCTCAGAGCCATGCAAACCATGAAAAAGCCCCTCGGAAAGCGCAGCGCCATTCAGCGCTGACGTCTCCCCGCAACAGAGCAAGACTTCTGTGTGAGTGCCTGGAGGATGGATGGCAACTAACGGGTTGAGATTGAATCCTGACAAGACAGACATACTGTTTTGGGGGGACGGGGGCGGGCGTGGGGGGGGGACTCCCTGGTCCTGAATAAGGTAACCACATAACACCACTCCTGAAAGACCTTCATTGGCTCCCAGTACTGTAACTGTGCTCCTGAAGGACCAGGTGTGCAGCCTGGGAGTCATTCTGGACTCGCAGCTGTCCATGGAGGCGCAGGTCAGTTCTGTGTCCAGGGCAGCTGTCTACCAGCTCCATCTGGTACGCAGGATGAGACCCTCCCTGCCCACGGACTGTCTCGCCAGAGTGGTGCATGCTCTGGTTATCTCCCGCTTGGACTACTGCAATGCGCTCTATGTGGGGCTCCCTTTGAAGGTGACCTGGAAACTACAACTAATCCAGAATGTGGCAGCTAGACTGGTGACTGGGAGCGGCTGCCGAGACAACATAACACCAGTCCTGAAAGACCTACACTGGCTCCCAGTACACTTCCGAGCACAATTCAAAGTGTTGGTGCTGACCTTTAAAGCCCTAAACGGCCCCGGTCCAGTATACCTGAAGGAGCGTCTCTACCCCCATCATTCTGCCCAAAAACAGAGGTCCAGCTCTGAGGGCCTTCTGGTGGTTCCCTCCCTGTGAAAAGCCAAGTTACAGGGAACCAGGCAGAGGGCCTTCTCGGTGGTGGCGCCCGCCCTGTGGAACGCCCTCCCGTCAGATGTCAAAGAAATAAACAACTATCTGACATTTACAAGACATCTGAGGGCAGCCCTGTTTAGGGAAGTTTTTAATGTCTGATGTTTTATCGCTTTATTATTATTATTAATGATAATATTCTGTTGAGAGCCGCCCAGAGTGGCTGGGGAAACCCATTCAGATGGGCGGGGTATCAATCAATCAATCAATCAATCAAGCATCATCATCTGGTGGCAAGCCCAAACAAGAGAGGCGATTTCTGGCCAGCAAATGTTTCCAATTACTTCCAACCAGAGATTAAATTACAAGGAGGCGGGCGAGGGAGAACCTCCCCAATTGCCGCTGTGTGTCACACAGGCAACGTTATCACCTGCGCCTTTATCGCCAGAGGTGCCGTGGTCGGCGGAAAAGTATTACGGCCTCCCCCCTCCCCCCCCTCGCTACAAAGGAAACGTCAAAAAATGCCTTCCAGATGTGATCTGCTCCTGCCGTCACGGAAAGAGGCACAGCATTCACTCCTACAGCTAGGGAGGCAAAACCCTGACTGATCCAGAGGGCAACTTTTCTTTGCACAAAATGCCTTCACGTGTTTTTTTCCCCTGGCTGGGCAACCAACTCTAAAGCTTGCTAGCCAAAACTGTCACAGCCGTTGGGGCGGCTCAGAGGTGTCATGGGCCAGGAAGCTAGAAGGCACTGAGCCTGTAACAGGACAGCTTACTTAGAAAGGAAGAGAGAAATGAATAAATATAGGGGTGGGGCGGTGTTCCCCTGAGCAGGCACCCCAGGGCAACCTTGCTTTGATTAGGTGGTTCTGGCTTTAAATGACGGCCAAGCACTTTCTGGATTTTTAAGCATGCACCTAATGAGAACCAACCAGATCTCTAACCCTAAGCAGAATTTCCAGAGCAAAGGACCCAACTTCTGCAGCAGGAGAGGACCTTTTCCACGCGCTGCTGGAGCCACTGCAGCTCCTGGGCCAGAGAGAGACTCACTCAGGTCCTCGGCCAGCTGGACTCTTTTCCCCGTGAGCAGCTTCATCTTCTTCTCGCAGTCCTCAGCAAAATCCTCCAGCACCTCTTTCACGTTCTTCTCCAGGCGCCTCACTGTCAGGGGGGAAACGGGAATTCAAAATATATTCATTTGTATTTCTACATCTGGGGTTGGGGTGAGGATAATAGCAGAGGGAGCGCTTGTACAAATCTTACATTCACGCGAAATACCTGCTGGAAGGGACAAGCCATGCCTGAACGATGCCAAAACAGCATCACCAGTGCCAACCTCTCCAGAAGGATACCCAAGCTGGGAGTCCAGGAGTAATACGAGAGATCGAGGGTTAAGGATCTCCCCGCTCCCTCAAGGCTCGCCATGGGCCACCCCTACTGTCTTCCTGGATTTGATCTCGACCAAACCAGCTGAGCCACAGACAGTGGATACTCAAAAAGGAGCACTGGAGACTTCATTTTACACGTCAGTAATGAACAACTGCAACAATCTCTTCCAATGAACTTAGGAAAAGTATAGTTTTTGAGTCACATGCCTTTTCAGCTCCTTACTGACTATGCTTTTGTTTTTCAATACAGCTTCCAAAAAATTGTGATTCATTTAAGTAATATACACTGGTACCTTGGTTTAAGAACAGCTTAGTTTATGAACAACTTGGATTAAGAACGCTGCAAACCCGGAAGTAGGTGTTTTGGTTTGTGAACTTTGCCTTGGAAGCAGAATATGTTCCGCTTCCTGTCAAGTGTGTTCCATTTGTAAATTGAGTCCCCCGCTGCTATGAGAAAGCGTGCCCTGGTTTAAGAATGCTTTGGTTTAAGAACGGACTTCCGAAACGGATTAAGTTTGTAAACCAAGGTTCCACTGTATGGTGGACCTGATATAATTTTTCCCACTGCTTACTTTCAGTCTCCATCGTGATCCCATCCAGTTTGACTGTATTGACAAACCTTACGCTTGGTATTGTTTTTAATAATGATAACGATAATAATAACAATAACGACATTTCTTAAATCCCACCCATCTGACTAGGTTGCACTAGCCACTCTGGGCAGCTTCCAAGAAAAATGCACAGGAAAACAAACAACAAAAACAACAACAAACTTTAAAAACTTCCCGAAACAAAAAACGTTGATGGGGAGGAAAAGGAGGCTTTGGAGAGGGCCAAAATTGCCTGCCCAGCCGGAGTCCAGGAGGCCAATGGCACCGCCAGCATCAAGCCAGGCTCCCACCAAACTAAGGAAGAGCTTGCAGCCCAGCAGGGCAGCCTCCACAGGCCTCTCACCTTCCGTGTTGGTCAGCTGCTGCCTCAAGGTGTTGGCCGTGATGCCCAGCATGCGCTGAATCCGCCAGAAGAGGACCACATCGTTGCACTCGAGCTGGAACCACACAGCGAGGAACAAGGGAGCATCAGGGAAGCAGCAAAGAACCCAGTAGACCACATGGCATCTCCTGTGGCTTCATTCATCATTTATTCTCAATACAAGCCAAAAAATGGTTTGATAGGCATAAACCAGCCCCTGCAATTTGGCCCAGAAGCAGCCAGCAATGCTGGCTGAGTACCTTTCCGTGCTTATTATATGCTCAAACCTTTCCGTGCTCAATGCAAGACCACCTAAAGCATCCGAAAACAATCCTTAGCCTGTCATCCCAGAAACAAAACACAGCAACTGATCAGTGATGCCGTCAATGTAAGACGTATCACTCTTTTACGGTGCTACACTGGAATGGCTTTTCAAATGCATTTTCAGAATTTGAAGCTGTATAAACAGTTTTTAAAAAAGAAAAGTGGCATATAAATGCTTTTTAAAATAAAATATGAACAAGCAAATCCAACAGAAGACAAAGGGCACCAAAAGCTTGGTAACAGCGAAGAAGGCATTGATTATTCAAGGAAGAGCAGCTTAGCTGTGAAGCATTTAAAAAAGGTAAAGGACCCCTGACAGTTAAGTCCAGTCGCAGACAACTCTGGGGTTGTGGCACTCATCTCGCTTTACGGGCCGAGAGAGCCAGGGTTTGTCTGCAGACAGTTTTTCTGGGTCATGTGGCCAGCATGACTAAGCTGCTTCTGGCGAACTAGAGCAATGCACGGAAACGCCCTTTACCTTCCCGCCGGAGTGGTACCTATTTATCTACTTGCACTTTTTTTGGCGTGCTTTCGAACTGCTAGGTTGGCAGGAGCAGGGACCGAGCAACAGGAGCTCACCCCGTCGCGGGGCTTCAAACCGCCGACCTTCCAATTGGCAAGCCCAAGAGGCTCAGTGGTTTAAACCACAGCGCCACCTGCGTCCCTTGAAGCATTAAAAGCGGCACCCAAAAGAAACAGAGGGGGCATCATCTCCCTGCATCTCCCAGGGCAGAGGGCGTCTCATGGCCCGGGGGCTGCCTTGCAAGGGGGCCCTAACCCTCATGCTCCTCACCTACCCAAGCAGCTAAGCGTCTGCTGGTGGAGACCTCAAGCCTGGTAACATTTAGCAAGGCCCCTTTGATTTTCAGCAGGAAAAGAAGAAAGAGCTGCGGTGTCTGTAAGCAGCCTCAGCGAGTGCCTTACTCACAGCCAGTGGAATGCAGGATCCTATCTAACACCACAAACTGGCATCAAACGCAAAATGTCCTGCTACAGCTGGCTGGTGGCGCAGCGTTTTCTATGTCCATATGACTGAGGGGGAAACTAAGGCTGCAAAGCGTCACCCTGCTAGACCATCAAGGGCGGCCATATGTCAGGGATCCTTCCCTTGCAATTCCTGCATTGCAGGGGGTTGGGGGCCGGGCGTGACGACCTTTGGGGGCACCTTCCAACTCTACAACTTCACAAGGGAGTTGTGGAAACAGTGGGAGGGCACACACTGAATCAGAACCAGAGATGCCGTGAAGAAGGGCAAGGGCAAAGGAGCAGCAGAATGGAAAATGCCCAGTGTCTGCAAGAACTCCAGTTCATCGGCCCTGACAAAAGCCACTTCTTCTCTGGTGTGCAAAATACTTTTAAAGAGTCCAACCCTTGATGTCCTCCATCTTCTTCTTGGAAGAACTGCGTGGCCCACACAGCGAGGCTCGGCCTTGGGGGCTTCTCGGCCCTTCTACCGCTGCAGAGGACAGCAGACACACAGAAGGGAGACATGTGGGGTGCAAGGGGGACGCTCAATCCCAGCTAAAGAGCCAGCCCTCTTTGTTGTGAGTCCCAGGAACTCAAGAGGGGCAGCCCCACGGAAGAGTGAGAGAGGCAGGGACCAGATGCTTATCCCAAGACTACCACCTAGTGGAGTGTCCCAAAAATATCATTCAGAGAGAGAGAGAGAGAGAGACTGGAGGAGGGGTGGGGGATTGTGAGTGAGACCCCTCGCCTTTCCTGGTCAGACATCAGGGGAGGGCGGCGGCTGTTCCCTAAGTGCTCGTAACCTGCAAGTTCTTCCACTTACCTCAGAGTCCACAAAATGCCTCTGGTAGTAATAAAAGCCTCTCCGGCAGAGGTTGCAGTGGCCCAGGGCCTTCTTCAAGAAATGCCGCCTGTAAACCTGGTGCCAGGTGTCTTTAATCTGGGACCAAAGGGAGAGAGGAACATCTGGTTATCGTTGGCCCAAATCCGGACGGCCCCGGAGCACGTGCCGGCCGGCAGATGTTGCGCGGCGCTCAGAAGAAAGCTCAGCCTTGGAAGCAGCTGAGAGAGAGGCTGGGCTGTCAGCAGAAGGGGCCCTGCTGGCTCACATGGACACCACCTCCCAAGAAGGGGAGGAGGAAAAGCACCAGGGTCTGTTTTGGGTTGTTGCTTTTACTGAAACCTGTCCAGCAGCCGCCTATTCCCGATGGGGAAAGTGCTCCCGCAAACGGAGAGCGCGGAAGAAACGTGCGCTCCTGAATCACGGCTGAAGCAGCTTCTAGCACAGGGGGCGGCAACCTGTGGCCCGTGGGCCACGAACAGCCCATGGGGATCGTTTAAATGGCCCCCGAACTGCCCCACCCACTCGGCGAGTCCCTGCGTGCTGCGCTAAACCGGCACAATGCGGAGCAGGGACTCGCTTCCACAGCGCCAGAAATCGCATCTACACAGATGCCGAAAATCACGTCTGCGCAGACGCATCCGGCCACAGAGTGATCTCTGCAGGAGTGAACCGGCCCAGGTGAGGTAAACCTTGTCAAGCCCTGATCTAGCAGGATTCAGCTTCCTCCACTCAAACACAGTCTTCCACTAATTGCATCCTCACCACAAGTCTGGGAATTTAGGAAAGGGTTACAGCTCAGGGATGCAGCCGTTGCTTGGCATGCAGAAGGACTCAGGCCAGTCCCTGGCAGCCTCTCCAGACAGGGCTAGGACAGACGCCTGTCCAAAATACTGAAGGGTCACTGACAGTCAGCGCAGACAACACCGAGCTAGGTGGACCAATTGGCCTGACTTCTCTGTTCCTTGCTCAAGCTACTTACCGAAATGTGGAAGTAAGTGGGAAATCTTGGGTAGAGAATTTGAATCCCCCATGGCCAAAACCAACATGCTATGAACTGCACTTCCTAAGAGTAGCCCAAGCAAACGCACGGCCAGCTTTTGACGCCAACGTCTTACTCAGAGAGAGGGAGGGGGAAAGGGAAGGAAGGAAGACATGGCACTTCCGCTAAGCCTTTCCCCTTATTACGACCATCAAACACACCTCCACATACTCTGACCTCCCCAAGAATGTCTGGGAGCTTAACTTCCCGAAAAGCAACCAGCCATTTTGGCAGAACAGCAAACATTCACAACAAGTCTTGCTGGGACTGTTCAGAGCCGATGATGGTTTCCATATTCAGAGCCCAGCCTTTCCCTGTTATTGGAACTGAAAGGAGCCGGGCAGAGCTTCTTACCAGGCAGGGGTCCACGGCCACCCCGCGGGCCTCCAGGTTCTTCCGGACGGTTGTGACCTCGTCGTTTGCAAGGTAAGCCGGGTGCTCTTCGTTGCATTTTATCATCTTCTCAAGTTCGTTTTTCGTTTCATTGCGGATGGTCTTAAAACAAAAGAAATGCCATTGCTTTTTTATTTTATTTTTAAAGTCTCACTCTTGCCCTAAGAGGAGTGGGGAAAAATGAAATCAAGATTCTGGTACACCTTGCATGTTTAAGTCTCCCAAAAGATAACACCTAGCCAAGGCACAAAAGTTGCGCAAAGTTATAAGCACAAAAGCAGGGACAGAATGTTTCCAGCTTCTCTCCTGACTCACCCCCCCAACCCAATAAGCTGGTCCAAAATGGGGGCCTCCAAAGTTTTCTGGAAACATGGAAGCCTTAACTTTAGTCAGTCTCGGGGGGGGGGGGGGCTGCCACCAGGAGCCCTTCCCTAGAGAGGGTACAGAAATACTGTAAGGAAATAATAAAATAATGAAATAGGTTCAGATTGTATAATCAAGGGGGGGGGGTGATCTTAGGGCCTCTTCGTCTAAGCACCCTCCCCCAATTTGGTTACCATGATGCTTCAATGGCACCAGGACTCCACATGCAGGGAATACATATTTCTATCTTGGGGGAAATCAGCACAAATAGCCACCGGCTGCCCTTGTGCAACTGCAACGTGAGACAAGGTGTGGCCTTGGGGTCACTCGGGTTTTCCAGAAAAGCACCTTGATCTGGACACACCTTTGCAGACCCAGGAATTGCACAGCAAGTGTGCTCTCCTCCCATGTTTTGATCAGGCTTCTTCATTTCAGGTAACATTATTACAGACATATATATATATTGCAGCTGGGCCAGAGAATCCCAGGGCAATACCTGGGCAGCTTTTTACCTGTTCTTTGGTGCGCCCCACCCAGTAGAGCCACCTTTTCTTCCAGTCTGGGCCCACCATGTCTTCAATGACTGATTCAGCTGGACAAGAACACAAAGAGCACAACATTGAGTACACAACACCACACTGTGATTTTCTCTCCCTCCCTCTCATGCTGAGCAACCACTGATTTAATAAGCAGCATTCTGGACTGCCTGCAAAGGGGGGAGCAGCTGCAGGAGGAGGAGGACAGGTCAGGGCGGAAGAGACAACAGCGCCCTGACCAAGGGGCGACCAGGAGGATTTAATGGTAGCGTCTGGTGGCAAAAGCTCAGCTCCAGAGAAAGGCAGCCAAGGAGAGGGGGAAACTCACTGTCTTTCAGGCGACTGTGCAGGGTCTCCTCCATGAACTGAATCGCTGCGTCCCACTGCTGCTTGTCCGAGATGGAGCGGTCCTCCAGGGCGTTGTGCTGGATCACTCTCTGCCAAAGCACAGGGCAGCCGTCAGATCCCCAAACGGGCTCTGCTTTTTCTCCCCCTTAAAGCAACCCAGCTTCCACGTGCGCAGCAAAAGCGCCAGATAATTCAGAAGCTTGTTCCTCAAGAATTCTCAAAGCAAAGCTGCTGGAAGAGCCGACATGCTCCAGGCCAGCTCAAGTGAGCTCACTGCAAGTGGCAGCAGAGCAGGGAAAAGGGAGTCCCTGTGATCTGATTTCAGATCCCTCTCTTTCTGGGAAGGACAAGCTTGGAGTTATGATGGACTGCGAAATGGATTCAGCCTTCTTCAGGTGTTTCGTTTGACCCCATGAGGGCAAAACACACGTAAGGGGGAGAACACCTTTATGCTCACAGTTTATGCATGAAGATCAGGAGTTGAGAGGTGGCCTGCGTGCGCCCAGCCCCAGTTACACATTTGTTACCTTAATCAGACTGAATACACCCAAAAAGACATTCTAACGTTTGGCTGAGCATCACTGTAGCATTTTGGGTATACAGTCATACCTCGTGTTGCGTTCCGCTCTCGTTACAGACTTTCAGCTTACGAACGCAGAAGCGCTTGATCGCGCCATGCACATGCACAGAAGAGGCGCTCTAGTTGCGGACTTTTCAGGGCGCGAATGGCACCCCAAAATGGATTAAGTCCGCAACTAGAGGTACCACTGTAGAGATGTGAAGGCCAAGAAATGACAACAACAATAAAGGAAAAAACATTTCCTCCTCTTTCCACTTTTTCTGGGTATTCATCCAATTTCTGTTTTTCACCCTGGCCTTCACATGTCTATCCAGGTAATGATATCGATCCAATTAATCAAGTCAATGAACAAATTTCTAAGCAGTGATGCCAACGCCACCACTGGAAGCCCCCCCAACCAAAGAAAGGCTCTGGCGATTCCTTCGTCCGCACATAAAGAAACAACATGTTAAAACCAGAAAAGCGCACACAAAGCCTTGTCGAAAGAGAGGGATTCGTTTCTTCTAAGCCACGGAAATATATTAACGTAAAGGATTAAGGCCCCACCAGGCTGTCTTCTGCTCTCTCGTTCCACTTGTGGCGCTTGATGCTCTCATCCTTCACGGCTTGCTTCAGTTTGTCAAAGATGTCGTCGTGCTCTTTGCCCTTCTCTTCCGTCATGAAGCGAGCAAACTCCTCCTGGAGGGTCTCCCAGGCAACCTGCAGATTGGGAAACAGAGTCCGGCCTTGAGAAGCGGCTCAACGCTGGAGGCACCAGACTGGGCTCAGACAAGCGCTGAGGCCAGCAGAGGGAAGCAGATCTAACACGAGATGCGGAAACCGACTCACATCAAACACATCAACTCACATGCCCTGTGCAATAACAGGGGGGCGGGGGGGGGATGGGACACGGGACGACCGCCTGTGCCCTGACACTGAAGATGCCCAACACGGAATGATAACCGACAGAGCCACTTCCGTGAGGGAAGTGAAAGGTTGAACTGGAGAGGGTGGGTGGGGTGCAGAGGAGACACCAGACAGCATATGAGAAGGGGCTGTTTCCAGGGCTGTGCAGAAAGGGTTGTTATGCAGGAAGAGAGGTGAGGTGGGAAGAGATGCCAGAGGCATGTGGGAAGAAGGGAGGGGGCAGCCTGTGGGGCTGGCTGAGGAGTAGAGTGGGTGGAAGAGGCACTCTGAAGGACCACAACTGGTGATGGCACAGAACTGAGGTGTGGGTGGCAAGGACACCAGAAGAGCCCTGCTAAATCAGACGAGCATCCTGCCCCCGCAATGGCCAACCCAATGCCCACAGTGGGAATCCCGCAAGCAGGACATGGAGGGTGTCAAGAAGAAACCTTCAGTCATACGGGGCGCATTGAGACTGCAGGGCTCCAGGAAAGCGGCCGGGGTGCCCACACGCTTTCTCTCAAAAAGGGAGAATGGATTTCCCAAGGGACTTGAGCTAACCAGCTGCGGAGCTCTGCAAAGAGGCGTGCACCTCTGAATCCGCTCCAAGGACATGCCTAGCCTTCACTCACTTGCCACTGTGGGCAATCCTTTGTGTAACCCTAAAATGAATCTATGACAGGCTTCCTCAACCTCGGCCCTCCAGATGTTTTTGGCCTACAACTCCCATGATCCCCAGCTAGCAGGACCAGTGGTCAGGGATGGTGGGAATTGTAGTCTCAAAACAGCTGGAGGGCCGAGGTTGAGGAAGCCTGATCTATGAGAATCGGGGGGGGGGAGAGACAGGCAGCCCCCCTCCAAAGAGCAGGCTTGTTTCGTGTGCCGTTGCATCTGTCCCTTTGCGGGGACAGAGAAGGAGATTCAGCCGAGATTCACCCCTCCGCTTGCGCAGGTCAACCCCAAACGGTCTCACCTCCACGGCCTTGTTGGGCAGCTGTTTGTCCGTCCACTGCTTCAGCTTGATGTCCACCGTGGTGTTGAAGGTGCCCGAGTTTGTGGTTTGTGCTGCCGGGAGGTAGATGTTTTCTATCACGTGCGTCGAGACCCTGTCCCACAAGGTCTTCTGAAGGATCTCCTCCCTAAAGGGGGGGGGACAACCAGAGGTCACTTTGCATCCCCACAGGTGAGAGGCCCAGAGAGAGACCCAGGGGCAAAAAGAGGTTTGTTCCCCAGGAGAGACTCCCTCCTCCCCAAGCCCCCACAAGGGAGACCAGCAAGTAGTGGGAGAGGCTGCGACCTTTCAGTTTTAAGCAGTTCTGGACTCGCTCAGTGCTGAGGTCCACGCTTTTGCTTTTCTGTGTTCATTTGGTTCTAGTTTATGTGTGGCTGAGCATTTTTTTAATTGCTCTGCAAGCGGGAATTCGGTTCCAGGGGCATTTTCATGTATACGCACAACCAGTAATAATAACAACAACAATAATAATAAAGTTATTTATATCCCGCCCTTCCCAGCTGAAGCTGGGCTCAGAGCGGCTAACTACAGTAAAATAATACAGCATTCTAAATTCAATTCATTATAAAATCAGTTTAAATCAAACTGATAGCAACCATTGGGCTAGAGTTCTCTGAGGATTACCAAAGGAGGGGGTCAGGCTGTGTCTTGGCCAAAGGCCTGGTGGAACAGCTCCGTCTTGCAGGCCCTGCGGAAAGATGTCAAGTCCCGCAGGGCCCTGGTCTCTTGTGGCAGAGCGTTCCACCAGATCGGAGCCACAGCTGAAAAAGCCCTGGCTCTGGTTGAGTAGACAAAAATGTGCCGGTACATCTAGAAAAAGAGATGTTGGTACTGCGTACCCTTTTGTACCCTCAGAAAAACGCTCTGCGCACAACCCTTGGAACTGAACCCTCACATGAACTGAATTGAATTTATTAATTTCGGTCACAGACCAGTTCCAGCTCACATACAATATCGGGGAAGTCATAAAACACGATAGGGATACATTTGAATTTGCAATTGGGTATAACAGGGGCAATACAGATATAGCAGCAGTTAAAAATATATGTTAAATCTTAATCACTAAAATATAACCTAAAATTGTCATTTAAGGCCTTAGTCATTATGGTAGCACAGCTTGTTCCCTAAGTTTTATGGCAGTCGCACAGAATTTGGCCACCCTTTGCTTGATCTCTGGATCCTTGTCCTCTACCAGGGATTTTAGAGATTGAAGTTCGGACCCATTTGGAGATTTCTGTATAGAAGGGATGATAAGTACCAAATGTATATCCCCGTAGAAACGACAGCATAACAAGGCATGAGAGACAGTTTCTACCTCCATCAAGCCGCAGGGGCAGACTCGTTCCGCGTACGGTTTACCCTCGAATCTGCCCTGCAATAAGGCAGATGGCAGCACGTTGAATCTAGCGAGGGTGAATGACCGTCTGTAATTGGGTATTTGTAATTTTGACAGATATATTGCTGAGGTAAACCCTCTCCCATTATCTTTTATTGCTGGGTGTTTATTCATCTCGCGCAGGGTGTTTATTCATCTCGCGCACGTGACATTGCAGTTCCACATCCCAAATTCGTTGGCGGATTATTGCTCTAGCTTTCTCATAACCTACAGCACCCTCACATGAGACGCCACCGTACTATACTGCATGGAGCAAATGGATGAGAGCGTAGCCTGCTGAAAACCAGCTTGACTACAGCTTGCTTCCCAAGGCAAGCAGCAGCAGCAGATCCCTGCACTCCTCTCCTGTGATTGTGAGGATCATCCGGCAGGATCACTGGAAACCCTTTCTGCTCCTTCAGTTGCGTCTTAGTAATGCCAGCTAAATTCCAGCCTTTGCTTGATTGCTACGGAGAGAGTCTCCCTTTTGTGGTAAGCTCAAAATTGCCAAGTGAGCCCAGATGGGTTCAGACTTGCTCTGCTCTTTAAAAGTAGAGCAGGCAGCCAGGTTTTCAAACCTTGTAAGAGTTATTTATGAGAACTTAAAAGGAACTGAAGAATTTAAAGAAAAAGCAAAACCAAAAAACCCCCTCTAAAAGCACGGATTACTATTGTGTTTGGCCAAATGATGGTTTATGTCAAGTTCTGGCCCAAAGCAAATTAATCCGTTCAGCGAATGCTGTTCCCGGAACGCGACACAATTCAGTTCATCCATCAAAGCCTCCAGGCCTGATCTGGCAGGAGAGAATCTAAAAGGCACTGCGCAAAACGCTCCACAAGGAACCGCCTGCCTGGAAGAAAAGAGTCTCCAGCGAGAAAACACTTGTGTTGCTAAAACGGAATCAAAGAGGGTCAACTTCCTGGCGGTCCCCAGCCCTGAAGGCTGCAAAGGAGGACTGGGCCAGTGCTCCAGCAGCACCTCCTTCTGAAATTGCCGGAAGGGCTGCATATGCACACATAGCCCTGCAGCCATGCCCAGATCCTGGCCTGGTCTTTGCCCTAAAGGCCGGCGAAGGGAGCCAAACTGGGCAAAAGATCCACACAGACACAGCTTCCCATGCTGAATAGAGGCCTTTCGTAAAGTCCAACTTTTCCGGGCGCAGACTCTCCCTCTTTCCTTTTTTCTTTTGGTTTTCATTTAAGTAAAGAGCAGAGTATTTACGGCCTTCTGCAAAGGGTTGCTTTTGCCTATATTTAGAAAAGACTCTCCCCTCTCTGCTGGCTTCTATAACTCATGGACGAAGAACAGTCAGCAACAGACGCTAGGATTTCTCTTAAGAGAGCAGCAAACTTGCCAGTCCTCCCCCAGAATGGCCAGGGGTTGCCAAAGTCAGACACGCAGAACCAATAAATGTTTTATAGGGAGAAAGGAGTGGATGGATCCCAGATGGGCTTTTCTGAGATATATGGCATCATCACAGGATCACGGAGAACGCAGGGCAGCCTATTTTAATCTTCGCAGAACCTGCTCTATAAACCGAAAAGCCAGCACAGAACGAAGAAGCAAAATAAAAATCTCCAACTAATTACTGTACCAGTGCTTTGGTGTCACCTGGCTCAAGCTTATGACTTCATCGAGGATCTCGTTCTTTGCTTTTTCAAACAGTTCATTCTAGACAGAAAAACGAGAAGCGTTTGTAGCCACTGAGACGCTTGCGATAAGTCAGACGGAGGAACGTACACGGACATGCTGTGCGGATTGAGACCCCAGGGCTATCAAGCTCAAGGATGGGCAAACGACAGGCTGCTCCTTCAGTGAAATTAACTGGGGGCCCTTGAGTGGCCCCCTTCAAACACAGAGACCCCTCAAGCAGCGGTTCTGATGTTTGGCTGAGCGGCTCAAGATGCCCCGATTCCCCTCCCAGGTCCAGTCCTCCCTCCTCCCTCCTGCCCCCACCAGCCCATGTGCGTCCCAGGACAAAAGCACAAAAAGCTACGCAGGGATACTGATCAACAGGTCTCCCTGAGGAAGCTACTCCGTAACTGCAGCAGCAGTGCCAGCAGGACGGGGCTCCCAGCCCAGGTAAAACACAGGCCGACCCTCTCCCATCAAAGCTCTCCCCAAAAGAGGATGGAGACCAAGGCCCCCTCTGGCTCTCAGCCAGGAAATGGACTTACCCGGTCAAGTTCTCGCAAGCGGGGGTAGTTATTCTTCCACTCAGTCTCCAGATTAAAGCGGGTTGCTATGGGGAGAAATTCAGGGGAAGGGAGGTCAAATCCGTGGCTAGTTTATCTGGAGCCAGAGATTCACCCTCTAAAGTGAGGGGGCAGCAGCCGACTCCTGCCCCTGGGGACCCGACTGAATGAGCTGTGTCAATTGTGGAAATTGGGGGGGGGGGCTTTCTGTGCCTGGAGCCACGCATACGGAAGGTGCCTCCACACCATTTTCATGCCTCCCCCTCAAGCGAGCCTGGGGGGGGGGGGCTGCCAGGGAAAGAAGAGGGCTGGAAAGTCAGTTTCCACCCATCCTCTTCTTATGTGGGGCTCTAGGCAATGCATTTCCTCCCTAGATGCAGAAACAACACCCATGCCAAAAAATGCACAGCATATTAAAGAACCAGGTTGGGAAACACGTCCATTCCAACCCCCCAGCACACGTTTTGCCATCGTACAGAGAGGCAAGCGCATTCTGACACGTGGATCCTGTCTGTCAACGGTGTGTCACTCGCAAACTGCTGCGCAGCTTAAAACGTTTGCAGCGCACAGATTTCTATTGATTGCATACAATTTGTACACAAACTTCAAAGCAGTTTACAAAATCGGTAAAACAATAAAATTGTCAGTAAGGAAAAATGACCACCATTCAAAACTTTCAAAAAGCTAAAACAACAACAGACCAACATTCCAACTTTTTTGGATAAGTCCAGAAAGCTGTTTACAGTAAGACTCCTGAGGAGGGCCCAGCAATACTCCCCATATCCAGGGGAATCAGACACCAGGACAGGCCCGGCTCCTGAGAAGAGAGGGACTCCTCAGTCCAAGGCTTCCTACAGATCTGCCAGCGCAACCGTTACCTTTGAAAGCGTCCGCCTGCTGCTCCACAGACTCTCGCACCATTTTCCAAAAACAGTCCGACACGGCAAGGCTGAGGTTCCGCGTGGTCACCTGGTGGGCCTTCAGCATGCAGTTCCTGCAAAGGACACGACAGAGACACAAACACTGGGGCGGATTTGCAAGTGAGAGAACACCTTCTCCAACAAAAAAAATAAAGAAGCAAATACAGGGGAAAGGGGGAAAACTGGTAGTGGTGCTGGGGCAGGGGGAAGCACATTGTAGTCCACACCTCAAAATACACCAGAGTAGACAGTCCCATTTCACAAATGTTTGAGGTTTTATTGCTTATTATTATTCTTCTCTTGGGGGCCACCCAGAGTGGCTGGGGAAACCCAGACAGACGGGGTATAATTAATAAAATTATTATTATTATTACTCTTAGTAGTAGTATTGTAGTGATTCCTGCATTGAAAGGGGTTTGACTAGGTCAGGGGTCAGCAAACTTTTTCAGCAGGGGGCCGGTCCACTGTCCCTCAGACCTTGTGGGGGGCCGGACTATATTTTTTGGGGGAGTGGGGACTGAACAATTCTTATGCCCCACAAATAACCCAGAGATGCATTTTAAATAAAAGGACACATTCTATTCATGTAAAAACACGCTGATTCCTGGACCGTCCACGGGCTGCATTTAGAAGGCGATTGGGCTGGATCCGGCTCACGGGCCTTAGGTTGCCTACCCATGGACTAGCTGATCCTGGGTGTCCAACTCTGCAATTCTATGGTTTTCCTCTGGAGCCAAGAGACAGTATAATTTCATTTAGGAAGGAGGACCTTGTGAGACGTCAGAAACAGGGATCCACAAATGGGCGGCTCCTGGGCTCCTGCTGTTTGCCCAACATGGAGAAGGGGCATATAGTCCCCCAGTTTCACTGTGCAAAGCTGGGGATGATGCCCACCCCATGTCCCCCCATTAGCTCCAAATTGGGGCTCATCGTACGGCCCAGAGAATGGAGGGCTGCTGACCACAGGGCGTGAATTTGAGAAGCCTGCCCAGAACTAACAGAAAGACGGGCAGAGCGTAGAAGCACATTCTGTGCTCCTGCCCTGCGGCAGGATGGAACTTCTCAGCCAGAATGAAGCTCCAGCCCTAACACACAAGGACTAAGGACTAGGGAGCAGACACAGAAGGACCTGGCCCTGGCCTGGACCTTCAAGGAAGGCAGAGTCCATTCACCTGCGGTTATATCCAGTGGTAGCTTTGCATTAATGGAAATCATTTGCGCTCGTGCAAAGGCCCAGTGCCCCAATTTCTGCTGATCTTTCCTACCTACTGAAGTTCTCTGCACTTTATCCCACACTGTTACCAAGAGTCCCTGAACCCCAGGGGGCAGCTTTCCTAGACACAAAGTTTTTTCCATTAACACAAAGCCATTGCTTGGATACAACCGTGTTAGGTTTTCCTATGAATTATCTTCAGGTCCAAATCCCTCCGGGAATGTTGCACACAACCACTGCATTTCTCCAGATCAGAGGCTGGGAGTTTCTGGTTTATTCCCGAGGCATTTCCACTGGGCTCTCGCACAGGATTAACCCCGCACGTGACATTTCGGAGGGGTGAAAGGCCCCCATTTTGGTGACGAAAGCTTCCACAAGCTCATCAGGGAAGTCATGTGGAGTCGGAAAGTCTTCCAGGATGGCCCGTTCAAAGCAACTTCTCAGGCAATCACACTTTGCTTTCTGACAAACCATTTCAGCCCATGTTTCACACACCCCACCCCCTAAACCCTGCACCGCCCACTGGCACTAAAACCAGCAAGAGGCACTTCAAAAACAAGAACAAATATTGGCATACTTGAGTAGTTTGGAGTTTTGGAAAAATTCCTCTTCGTACTCTTTAATAGATTCAATACTTTCGCAGCTATTTCCTAGAGGCAGCCGGGTTGGGGGGCAGGGGGAGAGGGAGAGGGAGGGAGAGAAAGAAAAACCCACTCAGCACTGTCCAGCATACGCGCTGTGGCTCCACCCGCTGGCCCAATGCAAAGCTAGGATTACCTTTTCCTGTGACGACTGCAAAATACCCAAGAGCCTTCATTGGGAAGAGCTTGCCTTCAATTATCTGCTGGATCTGTGAAAATGGGAAAGCAGCAAAGCTGATCTCGTAGGAGTTCTCAGCTTTCCTTTACTCAAACAGTGAAAGAAGATACAAAATAGGAAACAGCGGTCGGGGGTGCGCACGTCTTAGCCTGACAAAAGCCATGAAAGCCAGTCCTGAATCAAGTTCAGGGGCTTTAAAACCCCCCGGCAACAGCCCAGTGCTTTAACTATCTGCAGAGTGCTTTAAAAATAAGAAGTAGGCTCTTTTGTAAAAGGAGCAATTATAACACTCTTACACACACAAAAACCTGAGAACATTTAAATATTGGACTATCTCCCAGGTAGCAACTTTTCTCGTAAGCTATAACTGTTTTCATCAAAGAAAAAGAAAGAAACAGTTCCACATACACACTCCTGGGGGGTTGGGGGAGCCCATAAAAGTTTGCTGACTTCAGAAAGCAAGCTTTCCTGGTGCCAAAGTCAGAGAAAAGCCTGGGCAAAACCCTTGGCCTTCTCAGTTGTGGCCCCAACCCTCTGGGACTGCGCCCCCCCATGCTCAGCCCATTCAGAAGCAAGTGCAGTGGATTTTAAGCACCTCCCAGAGACTCATCTGTCTGCAGGGGCTCCTTCTGGCTCGTGCATCACTGCTGTGATGTATTTTATGTCTGATATATAAGTAACTTTAAATTGTAATTTTGTATGATTTTATGTAAACCACGTAGGAATTCTATGCATTAAGCACTATAACATGGCTAGCGAGGAGATGCTGACTAATCATTAAGAAGACCTTTCTGACATTAAGAGCTGCTCAACAGTGGAACGGACTCCCTCAGAAGGTGGTGGACTCTTTTCAACAGAGACTGGATGGCCATCTCTCACGGGTTGTTTAGCTGTGATTCCTGCTTTGCAGAAGTTTTGACTAGATGACCCTTGGAGTCCCTTTCTATAAATATTTTCGATCAATCAAATCAATCCGGAAACAAAAATCAGAGTCACGCAGTTTCTGCAGAGCAAACCTGACACCTTTGAGAACAGAAGCCATCTAATCACTCCCAACAGCTCTGGGAATCAAGTTGTCAAAATAAGAAGTTCCTTTGGGATCTTCCAGCAGAAGTTTTTCTTCTTGCCCTCCCCGGAGGCCCCGTCAGCATCTGCTGGACAAAATCACTCCTCCACACCCTCCTCTTCCTCACCCTGCTTGGACTGGCCACGTTTTTCTCGGCGAGGTCCACTTTTGTCAGAACAAAGATTGTCCTCTTGCCCTGAGGGTCCATTTGGCTGACCAAGTCGGTGACGATGCTGCGCTCAGCGTCCACAGACCCGTCTGGAAACGAAGCAGATTGGCCATAACCTCGCAGAACATGCAAAGCGTTTTCAGCAACAAAGCAGGAGCTGAACAACTCTTTTGAAGTTGAAATAAATAAGAAAATTGTCCAGTAGCACCTTAGAGACCAACTAAGTTTGTTCTGGGAATAAGCTTTTGTGTGCATGCACACTTCTTCAGATACACTGAAACCGAAGACGTGTGCATGCACACTTCTTCAGATACACTGAAACCGAAGACCCTTATACAGTGGTACCTCTGGATGCAAACGGGATCCGTTCTGGAGCCCTGTTTACATCCAGAAGTGAATGCAACCCGCGTCTGCGCGTGCCGTGTTTTGCTGTTTCTGTGCATGATGTCATTTTGAGCGTCTGCACATGCGCGAGCGGCGAAACCTGGAAGTAATGTATTCCCTTACTTACGGGTCGCTGCGGAGCGCAACCCGAAAACACTCAACCTGAAGCAACTTTAACCCAAGGTATGACTGTATATGAGGGACGCGGGTGGCGCTGTGGGTTAAACCACAGAGCCTAGGACTTGCAGATCAGAAGGTAGGCGGTTCGAATCCCCGTAACGGAGTGAGCTCCCGTTGCTCGGTCCCAGCTCCTGCCAACCTAGCAGTTCAAAAGCACGTCAAAGTGCAAGTAGATCAATAGGTACCACTCCGGTGGGAAGGTAAACGGCGTTTCCGTGCGCTGCTCTGGTTCGCCAGAAGTGGCTTAGTCATGCTGGCCACATGACCCGGAAGCTGTACGCCGGCTCCCTTGGCCAATAAAGCGAGATGAGCGCAGCAACCCCAGAGTCATCTGCAACTGGACCTAATGGTCAGGGGCCCCTTTACCCTTTACCTTTTATGACTGTATATAGTGGGAGGGTGGGGTGGGGTTTTTCTCAGAACGGTAGTAGGAGATGGGTGATTGGCTCAATGGGTTTGGTAAACCTGTAAACAGTCTTTAACAGTCGTCAACAAGTTTACAAACTTTGTTGGTCTCTAAGGTGCTACTGGACAATTTTTAATTTTTTAAAATTTATTTCAACTGCGTCAGACCAACACGGCTACCTACCTGAATCGAAACTCATTTGAAGGTAAGAGCTAAACCCAGAACATGCCCAGTGGCTCAACTTGGGGCCCAGAAAGCACAACTGATTAAGTCCCAAAGCCAGAAAAAAGAAGAGGTGGCCAGCTAATTCCATCCCTCTGCCCTGCCCTGCCCTCTACAACCCCAACCCCAAAGAAGGAGCAGGCGTGGTCTGTGCTCACAAACAAGTCTCCCAGAGGGAATGACTGGTGACGTTGCAGAGATTCATTAACCAAGACACAAGGACATTCCAGTGGCTCTCCGACCTCCTCCTTTACCTTGAATGCAAAGGATGATGGCGTTGGGATTCTGCATGTAGGCTTTGCTGATGCTGAAGATCGTCTCCTTTGTGTCCGGGGCCATCCCTGACGTCACCGTCTGGGGAAAGAGATCAGGAAGGGCAGGAAAAGAGCAACAGGTGGTGTCAAAGAACTGGGAGGAAGCAGATGGATCAGATATCCCTGGCAGGTGCATGCCCAGCTTCTTTTTAAAAAGCTATCCTTGGAAGGAGGTTCAACAGCATCTCTCGGCAGCTGATTTCAAGAACTGCTCTCAAGTTCTTGAAGGCGTTAAGACCATAAGAGTGGCCCTAACATTATGATATGTATGTGAGAGAGAAAGTGTTATCTATAAATATGAGCCAAGCATTTTCCCACCTCCCTGTGGTTATTAGGAAAAATTGGGGGCAACCAGGCAGCTGATGATAGTGGAAGAACACATCTATAGTTTATAGTTTTTCAGTGTCCAGGACAACTGTCTCCCAGCTCCATCTGGCACGCAGGCTGAGACCCTCCCTGCCCGCAGACTGTCTCACTAGAGTGGTGCATGCTCTAGGTATCTTCTGCTTGGACTTCTGCAACTAGAAGGTGACCCAGAAACTGCAACTAATCCAAAATGCAGCAGCTAGACTGGTGACTGGGAGCGGCCGCCAAGACCATATAACACTGGTCCTGAGAGACCTGCATTGGCTCCCAGGACGTTTCCAAGCACAATTCAAAGTGCTGGTGCTGACCTTTAATGCCCTAAACGGCCTTGGCTCAGTAGACCTGAAGGAGCGTCTCCACCCCCATCGTTCAGTGCAGACACTGTGGTCCAGCTCCGAGGGCCTTCTGGCGGTTCCTTCACCGCGAGAAGCGAAGTTACAGGGAACCAGGCAGAGGGCCTTCTCGGTGGTGGCGCCCACCCTATGGAATGCCCTCCCATCAGATGTCAAGGAAAGAAACAACTATATGACTTTTAGAAGACGTTCGAAGGCAGCCCTTTTTAGGGAAGCTTTCAATATTTGATGAATCATTGTATTTTAATATTCTGCTGGAAGCTGCCCAGAGTGGCTGGGGAAACTCAGCCAGATGGGCGGGTAATAAATGAAATAAATAAAATAAATAAATAAATACTAATAAACTTATTATCATTACTACTACAAATAGTTGTTGTTGTTGTTGTTGTTATTATTATTATTATTATTGTTAAATCACAATTAGTAATAAGGCTGGGAAAGGAGTGTATGGATGATAAAACAAATCATATCAAAACTAAACGCAAAAAAAGATTGCAAAAAATTCCACCTCCCACCAACCTTCCTGTAAAGACATGTTCACTCTGCACCAAAATTCAGTTAACCACGTTGTCAGGTGGGCGATTCCAAAGTGAAGGCGCCACCACTGAGAAGCCTCTGCCTGAAGTCCCAGGTGGACCCAGGAGCCTGGGAAAAGTCCACTGCAGCCCATCTCGAAGGAACGGGGAGGATCAGAGGAGGAGAAGCATTGTCTACTCACGCTAATGACGCCCGGCAAATCCACCAGCACCATCCTTTGCAGGCCAGGACCCTTAACGCTGAGGGAGATGGTCTGTGGAAGGAAACAAGGAAGAGCGATTTCCACGTCAGGGAGCCTCCTTTTAAAGAAAAATACTACGTAGAAAACAATGCTCAGGGTGCCCCACAAGCAATTGCTGGATGGGGACCCAAGGGAGCTCTGGGACCAGCGGAAAGAAGTCAGCAGCCAGGCCTCACCTCAGTGCTGACGGTGCAGCCGTCACTCACGCTCTTCCTCATCCTGATCTCAATCTCATTCCTCAAGGCTGCCAGCTGTTTAAGCACAATCAGAGGTCACAACCAGAAACCAGGCACAGCGAGGAAATTTAAGGACTATTTGAATAAATGTTGTAATATAAAAAATTAGAAATTACTTGAAAGAACCAAATAGGCCTAAGATTAAACTAAATTATAATTAAATAAATGGGATTTAGAATGTTAAGAAAAGTGAATAAGATGGACTATAATTGGAAATTGTTTTAGTTTAATAATGATATTGGGAAGCTGTTACTTTTAACTACAAGGAAACTCAGAAGGGAGGGACTTGAGGAAGTCAACCAAGATGTTTAAAAGGTTGGATTTGTGAAGAATTAAGTTTGTTGTTATTATTTATCTGTTTATTGTTCCTTCCCACCCCCCTTCTTTCTTTCTGTTTTTGTGTATCATTCTGCTTTGTGGTTTGTGTTATCATTGTGGAAAATCTATAGAAAATTTATAGATAAAAATCTATAAAAATTTATAGACAAAAATCTATAAAAAAAGAAAGAAAGAAACCAGGCACAGCACCATTTCAACAGGTGTCCAGTTCTATTTTCTTCATTTTAACAGGGAAAGGAATGTTCAAGACACATGTCTGTCTCTCCCCCAATGAAAGTGATCAGGTGTACAATGCAAACGATTTCCACGGCTGCAAAAAGTTCTTTCTTCCAACTTACATCCTCCTCCTTGGTCAGATCAAACTCTCGAGAGCTGTCCTTGAACATGGCCACGTGGTGGGGACCTTCACTGAGGGTGACCTAGTGGACCAAGGGGAGAAACAGCAGCAGGCAGCAATTAAAGCAAAAACCCTTGAGCAAGTTTCACGAGAGCCACACAAGGAGGGTGACAGATGCCTTTTGTGCCTCCAACACCTGCTAAATTCGGTGTTCTCACCTTAACGGGCGAACGAGTCATCATTTCCCCAGAGCCTCGAGGGAAGATCCGGGCTTGAGCGATCATCTCCAGCACACTGGTTTTTCCAGCGCTCTGATCTCCAACCACTACAACCTTGAAGGGAAACATTCGAATCACCAGCTTTTAACCGAAACTCATGCGCCAGCCACCCTCGACTCGTGACAAAGCGCACTTTTTACCAGGCTACTCCAGATTATATATCAGGAATTGGCTTCTTTAGTTGTTTGTACCTATGGGACCGCCTCTCCTGGTCTGCCCCGCGGAGGACCTTAAGGTCCACAAATAACAACACTTTGGAGGTCCCAAGCCTCAAGGAGGTGAGATTGGTCTCAACTAGGGCCAGGGCCTTTTCAGTACTGGCCCCAACTTGGTGGAACGCTCAAGAGACTAGGCCCTGCAGGACTTGACATCTTTCCACAGGGCCTGCAAGACAGAGCTGTTTTGCCTGGCCTTTGGTTTGGACTCGGTCTGACCCTTATGTTTCCCTCCCCTTAAGGTTTTGATTTATGGGCTACTTTTAAAATGAGGCTGCATTTTAAATTGCATTTTAACCTGTATTTAAAATTGGGGTTTCCCCCTCTCTTTCCCCCCTGTTATGTTTTTACTGTGATTTTATTGGTGTTAGCCGCCCTGAGCCCGGCTCTGGCCGGGGAGGGCAGGGTTTAAATAAAATTTATTGTTGTTGTTGTTGGTAGTTGGGGGAAAGCTTTTCAGAAGATAAATTCAGAAGATCCCATTGTATTTATTTATAGAAAACGTAGAAACTAGTTACTTTCTACTTAAGATGTCCCTAAATCAAGCAAAACGTTGCCTATCTACTGTTAAAAAACAACAACACGTGTGATTGAACTGGAGGGCATTAAGCTATGCCAGTCTTTACTGCAAATGTGAAATGGTTGAACACTGATAACTCACTTACCCGAGGTAAATGATCATGGGTATTATAGCTGGCATCGTAATCCGACAGAGTATCCAGGACTTCAGAATACATGTCAATCAAAGATTTCTAAGAAAGAACAAGAGAATGAAAGAAAGCTAATTTGAACTGTGCCCAAAGCATCAGAAAGACTTCTGGCAGCACCGAAAACCAAGTGTCTGTTTGCTCTCCTATCCCTGCAGCTTAATCTATGAGACCGATAATGGCAGAGCAGGCTGCGTCTTACACTGGAACCAGGATAGGACATCAGGATAGGATCACAGAATGCAAACTGGCATTTCCCTTCAGAAGGAGCACCAATCACTCAAGGAAATGGCTTTATTTTTTTATTAACCAAAACTACTGCTGAAAGGGGCAAGCAGAGACGAGCAAAGATGGAAGAGAAGGCCCAGCACTGGGGAAACTGGTGAGGTTTTGCGCAAATTTTGCATTGGGGGGGTGGGGAATACCTTCAGCTTCCTCTGGTGGATGCCTTTGTCATCTTTCTGCAAGACAATCTTCCTGAGCTCTTTGTTCTCCTTCTCTAAACGCTCAAGCATCCGTTGATATTTCAACTGCAAAACAATAATGAAACTTTGAAAACTGGGGGGTAGGGGGTCAGGGTAAGAGGGGAGCAGGAAGGCAAAGAAAGGAGACTCAGTGCTAACAGGGCCCTGCTCTCTTGAACCAAATCTGCCCTAGCAGCATAGTTACATCACCACCATCATAAATAAATGAATTGCCTTATGGACTCTGACCTAATGAAATGCAATAGAACAAATTTGAATCAACTGATGAAATTCAACAGAAAGCGTGGCATCCTTGGCTGATATCATAAGCACAGTCACTTACGGAAGGATTCTGACTGAATTCAGCAGAAAATTAGGCAGTGATGTAAGAGGCTGATAGATCCAAATGAAAAAAAATATGAAAAGATTTGGGAAGGTCTTTTCAACTTGAATAATGGAATTTGCACACTGGCACAACATCATTTGGAGTCTGCAACGCCTCCTCTCTCAGGTCGCATCCCCATGAATGACACAAATGGGTGGCTGTGATCGGCCACCCACAGAGTTGCGCCGTTCACCTTTTGTTTGTTTCGCTTTTAAATATTATAGCCCTCTCCCCCCAGTCCTTCAATATGGGGCCTGGTTAACATCAAAGCTCTGGAAGTTAATGAATTTGCAGTGAGTCAGACCCAATTCCTTTGCCCCGTGTGAATTCTGACTGTAACACCAGCAAGGCCACCCTACCTGAGTGCGCAGGAGTTCTTCTTGCAGCTGATCTACCTTTTCTTTGTCAGAAACCTGCAAGAGTCACAAGCATAAATGTCTTGGGATTATTTTATGTTCAGGAGACAAAAAAAAGAAAAGAACCTCCAATCAAGTTTTCTTTGTCAAAGCGACAGAGAAAAAGACTCAGTCGGGGGAGAGGGGAGAAGCATCTCTTTAATTCAAGTTACTTGAGATAATGGCTGGTACACTCACTCACCCCTTTAAAAAGAAAAGTCAACACTTCTTACTATCACCTTACAACCCCATAACGTTACTTGGCAAGGCAGCCTCATGTGCAGTCTTCGTTAAATCGTCATTCTAGATGCCCCCAAGCGCAGGGTTATTTGCTGAAGCCCCTTGAAACTTGGCGGGTCTCGTATGTGCGCTGATGCCCAGCGGTGGGAGGCATGTGCCAGGATAAGTAAAGACCCAGGAGTTTGGGAAGGAGCCCTCGTTTAGCTGCCAGGCTTTGCTCCATGTACTTCACAGCCCACTAACGCCCCAGGGTCAACTGGGTCTTGCAGTGAACTGTTCCAGTGTGGCAAAGCCTTCTGTTCTGCTCCACATATACAAAGAGCTGGTTTTTATATCAAAAAAGGAAGTCCTGTTTTTGCTCTGGCTCCAGAAATGGCAGTCTAGGCCACAAACAACTTTGCTGTCCAGGAGAAGCCGGAGGACACTCAAGGTGGAAAAGTGCCTGATTTGAAACATCCCAGCTGCCACCCAGCACATGAGGACAGAGAAAGGACACTGATGTGAGTGGCTGTGGCTCCCACAAAGGGATGCTGGACATGGCTAGCGACACGCTTCCCTGCAGATGGGCTGGAGGCCCAGCCACTCATCTCAAAGAAGGCCAACACTTGCCAGCAGGCCTCTAGGGCTGGCCGCTCTCCCAAGGGGCAGCCAGAAGTCCTACTTTGAAACAGGAAGCAACTTATAAACACGATTTGAGCATGTAAAAGGTCCGGTTTTAATGACCAAGAAGAAACAAAAAACATAACAGCTTCCACTGGCAACTAATAGGCTTGCCTGAGCACACTCAAACAAACCCAGAATGGGTGAATTTCCTGCTTCAAGAACTGTGTTTGTTAGGTGCACGAGAAAACTAACTGCCTAGTGAAAACTTGCATGTTTAATTTGCTCTCATATAATCTCTCTCACACGCACACATGCATGGGCACACCTCTGTGCATGAATGATCTTTTCTTTTGGGGGGAGCTCCTTTTCCCTTTGGAATCTGAACACAAAGCAGAGGTGGGCTCACACTGCCTTTTATTGTGACCCTGGAGCTTTTGCTTTGTGTGTGTGTGTGTTACATGAAGGGACCTGACTTTTGTTTGACAACTTCTGAGAGAAGTAGCTGGAATCCTCCCATTCTAACTTATTTGCCAAACGCTGCAGGTGATAAAAGAAGCAGGCACACACGCCCCAGGGAGGCCGGTGATGCACGTTTTTAGATTCTCAGGATGGAGGCAGTTGATCGTCCTTTATGAAAGCAAGGAAAGAAGCAGCCACTGACACACCCATCAGACGTGTCATCTATTATCTAAATAGTGAAGGCTGGGGAGGGAAGCGGAGGTGTCTGGGGGCACCAGGAGCAAAGAGCAGGAATGTCACACAGCACAGGGGCCAACTGCAAGATCCTGCTCGTTCCATCGCTGCTTGTGCAGGACACGTGCTTTGTGCCTTGTGGCTGCTGTCACATTTTCAGTAGCTCCTGCCAACACCATGGGCAGGCTGGCCACAATCCACGGCTCTGCAGGGCACTCTGGCACACGCAGACCTCTGCGCAACGGAGAACGTTTCTCCGTGCTGAAGCCAGAGCCAGCTTTGTACACACAGCGGGACATGCAAAGCTGTTCCCAACAGCCGAGCGAAAAGGCCAGCACTCTCTCCCTGCACAGAAGCCAAGGAAAAGCCTGAGCAGACGCCACTATACGGCAGCGTGGAACAAGCAGGCTTCTGAGGCACTGATCCAAACGCAAGCAAGCCTAGGCGCTCCTGGTTTCTGAAGACATTTCTGCTTCTGGCAGTTCCCCATTTCTACAGCTGCTCCTCGACTTCACAGGATTTGGTCCCCACTCACAAATAGCATCCAAGGGGGCTTCAGTGAAAAGTCACAATACCTGTGTGTTGTGTCTATAATGGGCTCTGTCTCACAGGCCCATTGCTCAAATTTGCAGTCCATAGCATGAATGGATATCTCTGTCAACTTGCCCACAAGCAGAGGTTATGTCCCACCTTGGTCATATAAACCAGCAAGCCCATTGCAGCCCCTACTTAAAAGCTGCCCTAAGCAATTTCCCTATTCAAAATTATGACCAAGAAGAGTGCGAGGAGGAGAGCTGTGCTGGATCGGACCAAAAAGGGTCTCTCTTACTTCCAGCAGGGGCCAACCAGGTGCTTCCAGGGAGCTCATAAAGGCATCCACCCTCCCCTTTCTTTCCAGCACTGGGGATTCAGAGAGAGAGATAGGCAGGGACCGTCCCCTTGATAGAGCCGTTTGACAATGGGTGGCCCTCCCTCTGCCAGGGGTGTTGTGGCTGTGATTCCTGCACTGCACAAGCAGGGTGGATTTGATTCAAATCATGATTTAACTCACTAGTTAGTAAGACTTGATTTATATCATTTTTTACAGACTCATTCTCGCTGGTATAATCTTAATATTTACAACCAGATGAAGGTTTCATTTCTGGAATAATAAATTTTCAGAGTAGTTTTTACAATTATATCAAAAGGTACTGATTTGATTATACTATTAGAAATACATAGACAGATAATTATTAAATTACTGTGAGGTTTAATAAGTTAACTGTTTATATTATTATAACTGTTACTGGAAGGACAAAATTAATCCTTTCAATAACAATTTAAACAATTTATTTAACTAAAACAATAACATTATAGCATATGTATCCATATTTGTTAACTGATATGGTTAAACAATTAAAAAAACACACAACTTAGACTCGAGTTTTAGCACACACGAAAAACTTGAAACAAATCCTTATTTCCTGATGAATAGCCTTTGGACTATAATGTAACTTAAGTAGAAAACTATCTTTAGAAAGGTTTTTCCTCCAAAAGCATCTTATTTTAAAAATCTGATTAAAATAAAAAAATCTGATTTTTTTTAATCATTCCCCGAGATTGGGCTAGATGACCCTCCGCGTCCCTTTCAGCTCTATGAGGCTATGAATATTCAGTTAAAAGTTAGTAGAACAAGTTAGTGGGGTTCCAGAAACAAAATTAAGTGCAAATCTTTCCCACGACAAACATCAGTTTTGATCACAGCATTAAAACCCCAGAAATCACCATGCTGAAAGACAGTGCGGTGAGAAAACTTTCACAGACAAGGAACTGCTGCAAGATCGCTGCCAGGGCCCACAACCAGAGTCGAATCAAGGATTCATTGGTTGGTATCAAATCACAGCGTCCGATCGGGATGGATTGCATTAGATTAGAACTGGTTTTTGGGGAGGGGGGAGTGAGAGAAGAATTGCACAGCACCCCCCGTGCCTTTCAGTCATCACCTTTCGCTTCTGCTGGGAGGAGCCTGGGCCCAATTGGTCAGTGGCTCTGCGCGCCTCCTCCTCTTCGTGCTGCTGGATTTGCTGCTGCAAGAGAATGAGCTCGCCCAGGAGACCCTGCCGCAAGTTTACAACGAGGAGGAGAAGGGAGAAAAATATGGAGGTGAGGGGAGCGATAATGGTCAACCAAAGGGTGCAACACAAAGGCAGGCGGGGGCACGGAAAAGGGGGGGCTCACACAGACACAACAAGAGAGGAACAGAAATCGAGGCGCCACAGCTGCTGCTTCCTAGGGACATTTAGGGCTCCCGTCAGATGTCCTTTTTATTGTGCATCCATGACAATTCACGCTCACAATGCTACCAGGGAGGTTATACTGTTTCAGCTGCGATTGGCACCTGTCCTGCCGTTTGCTGCGAAAAATGTCCTATTACTGCATCCACAACGTGCAGCTGCAAACGCCCACAGTGAAAGAGCAGCCTGGGGAGGCTCTCAGAATTAAAGTTAAAGATGTTTTAAACAGTGTTATCAAGACACAGGTGCTTTTAAGGGACAACTGTCGCTGGAATGTAGGAAGCTGCTGCCTTGTGCCAACTCTGAGCATTGGTCCATCTAGCTTAGTATTGTCTACACAGACTGGCAGCAGCTCTCCAGGGTTGGAGGCAGAGGAGACACCCAGCCAGAACTGGAGATGCCAGAGATTAGACCTGGGAGCTTCCTCAGGCAAGGCAGACGCTCTGCCCCTGAGCTCCAGCCTGTCCCCTTGTCCCCAGTGCTGCTTAGGGAAATAGGCAACATCCAAGCCAAAAGAAAATGGGCGTTGTCTGAAGAGCTTTTTAAAACCCCAGAAGCCAAGAAGCTGTGGAATAACAAGGAAAGCGAATCTTTTCTTACTTGGGAAGATCCTGCCTTCAGCATGAAACTGAAATACACACATCAGCTTCCCAATTCAGCTATGCCACAAATGTGTGCAGATGCAACTGAACAACTGACCCAATATTGCAAAAAAGTAGTAATAATTTCATTTCTCTGAACTCTCTTAAACAGCCCCATAGCCAGAAAACTACTTTAGGGTGGGGACACAGCACACACATGCACAGAGACAAGAAGGTACACATGAAATCAAAATGCACTCTCCAGGGAGATGCATTTTGCAAACACAAACACAACAGGCCTGGAACAGGAATCCTTAAGAAACAAAGTTCACAGACCCTTGCTATACTACAAAAAAAAGGTCAGTCGTGTTAGCAGTCTTCTACCACTAAGTGGCTCTGTATCTTGGCGACTGCTCTGAACGAGAACCTGCCTTCTATTAGGACACCCTTGTTGACGAAAAATAAGCCAAATGTTACATCACCACACTGTTTCGTGCATGGCCCTTTTGTCAAATTCCATCACTGGCAACCTGCATCGGGAGGAGATCCTGGAACAGCCTCCGTTTCACTGGGCGGAAGGGGAGGGACAAACTCAAAGGAAGGGGAGCAGAGCAAGCAAGAGTGACTTGGGTGGGTGGGCAGAGTCAAGGCTGCGTGTTTGTTCAAAGGACGCAGGTCAGTTAAGCAGCCTCTCGTAAGATGCCAAGGGAAGTGCTGGGGATCATGCGGCAGGACACACCCAGGCAAGCGTTCCATTGAGGTGAATGTGCTATTCTTTTTTATCAATAAATAACTACCTGACATTCAGAAGACATCTTAAGGCAGCCCTGTTCAGGGAAGTTTTTAATGTGTGATATTTTAGTGTATTTTTGGTTTCTATGGAAGCCACCCAGAGTGGCTCGGGAAACCCAGCCAGATGGGCGGGGTACAAATAATAAATTATTATTATTATTATTATTAGCCATATATGAACAACCTACAACCATATATAGCATCTCAGAGTCCAGCTCAAATTTGTTTTGGAAAGAACACTTTTAATCTTCATGGTTGCAGGAGGTCTTGGCCATCCTATTGGCCACTCCTGAAAATTCCCATAATGCTTAAGGGTGCTGCAAGCATCACACTAGTGAGAGACCTCTATGTTACCAGGAGGAATCGATGCTTGCTCAAGGTCTCTTCTAAATTTCTCCCTAACTTTCTCTGCTTCTGTAGTGGAAAGTATGAGGCTCTCCTGAAAACTGGGAAACTACAACAGAGTTGACCCGTGCAAACAGTTGTAGTGCATAGACAGAAATGATGCAGTTTCACCTGTGAAAAACTGGTGATGCCACAGGAACAAATAAACAACTTCTAAGAAAAAAAGTGGGGTGGGGTGGGGGGCCTACAAAAAGGCAGAATGAAAACCAGCACAACTTCTCGGCCACACGACACCATCTCTCAGGCCTTTCGAAGTACTGGTGGCCTTATTTTAGCTGCAGGGCCAGAGAGAAGGCAAAGAGTGATCATTTTGGAACACAAGCCCAAATGCAGTTTCCCACACAGATCAGGAGTGCAATCCAGAAGGAGGTGGCCGTGCCCTTGGGACTGCGATTCCTGCATTCCAGGGGGTTGGGATGTGACCCAGCCATTCCCACCCGGATGAAACACAGTTTAGTTTCCCTAGAAAGCACTTGGCATTTCCCTTTGCCCTTGGAAAGAAGCAAACGTCTCCACAATCTCTCTAGCAGCAAATTTAAGGGGCTCTACTCAACTACTGAGGGACGTGGGTGGCGCTGTGGGTTAAACCACAGAATCTAGGACTTGCCGATCAGAAGGTCGGCGGTTCGAATCCCCATGACGGGTGAGCTCCCGTTGTTCAGTCCCAGCTCCTGCCAACCTAGCAGTTCAAAAGCACGTCCAAGTACAAGTAGATAAATAGGTACCGCTCCGGCGGGAAGGTAAACGGCGTTTCCGTGCACCAGAAGCGGCTTAGTCATGCTGGCCACATGACCCGGAAGCTGTACGCCGGCTCCCACAGCCAGTAAAGCGAGATGAGCCTCGCAACCCCAGAGTCGGCCACGACTGGACCTAATGGTCAGGGGTCCCTTTACTTTTACCTTTTACTCAACTACTTGGATAAGGCAAGTAGTCGCGATGACTGTTTACCACCTCCAATACTGGAGGCTGCCCAGCTCTAAAGGGTACTTGCTGGGAATCACAAGGGCGAAGGGCGTTGCTTCTGCCCTCGGGTCCTGCTTGGGGGAATCCTGCCCTGGGCACCTGGATGACCACTATGAGAACAGGAGGGTGGACTAGATGGGCCCCCTCTGGCCTAATCCAGCAGCTGCAAGGCTCTTCCTGCGCATGGATCTGTGCAGGTAACCTTGTTTCATAAGAGACTGTAGAAACTGAAGAGGGATTTTTGCTCTCTCCTCTGGCTGGAACTGCCACTCGGACACCTCACTTGAATTTATGGAAAGTTTTACTCTCTGGTGGACTGCTGTGCCAGAGCTAATTCTTCTAAGCAGCCTTTCCAACTGACTAATGTTGCTTGCATAACCCATCGCTTTGAGGTGTGGCCATTTTAAGATCACATGCCAGGAAAATGTATAGATGGATTTTCATTAAAAAGGTCTTCAGAGTAGCTTACGAAAACTAAACAAATCCAGATAAAAAGACCAATATACATATGCCCATGAATGAATGGAGAGCAACTAAAAATCCAACATCACAGCAACCAAGTCTCATCAGCAAAAGCAGGACTGCTCTACCTCAAAGGCACACAGAATATCAGCAGAGGCAGCCTGTAAGAAGGAGTGTGCAGGTTTCGTGTGTGCCTGCCTGCCCGCCCGCCTGCGGATGGGCTGGCTTCTTTTGCCTTCCGGAAGTATTACATAACGGCACACACACTAGAGTCACGTTGCTCCTGCTTTTCCGACAGAGTTCCTCTTGCCCCGACAGTTCAGTGCTAAGACACTGCGGGGAAAGGGTAACCAAGGCAACCCCCAAGCCCAGAACTAAGTAAAAGGTATCTGGGCTATTTGCTAATTTGACAAGAGAGGATGATGCGGAAACAAACAGGCTACTCCACATTAACAGGCCTTGATGAAGAGTGGAAACAGCCACGCTCACCTCCCCACGATCTAGACCACGGGGTGCAGTGGTTAGAGTGCTGGATCAGGACCTGGGAGACCAGGGTGGTTCAAATCCCCACTCAGCCATGAAGTTCTGGGAGACCTTGGGCCAGTCCCAGCCCCCCAGCCTAACCTAAACCACACAGTTACTGCCTGGGAGCCTCAATTACGAGAAGGCTACTGCACTAATGTTTTGCTTGCAGGCTTCCCATAAGCATCTGGTTGGCTGCTGCAAGAAAAGAAATCTGGACTGGATGAGCCTTTGGTCTGATCTAGCAGGCCTCATCGTATGCCTGTGTCACGGCTCAAGTTGCTGCTGTAGCCTGTAAATGCTGAAACTGCTTGAGTCTTCCATATCCTTGAGGCTGCCTCTTTCACTCCATGCCACTGGGACAAGGAAGACTGACCAGCAAGGCCATCCCTGTGACTCCACCTAGGCGTCAAGGCCAAACAGCAAAGGCAGCAGAGATCCCTCCCTTTGGAAGCTTGCCTGAGCTTGAGCATTTCCACGAGTGCTGAAAGATCTGCACTGAATTGGCCAGCATTTAATAACATGGGTAAAGCAGGTGGGGATTAATTTTGGTGCATCCACAATGCTTAGTATTTTAGTTGGGCATTTCACCTTGCCAGTTTTATTGCTGTGTTTCTAAAAGATGGCTATCCACCTGAGAATGGAGCGCGTTAGAAAATGAGACACACAAGTTGATGCACTTCTGGTTGGGTTGCATATGACCAGCTAGAAATTTAAAGCAGTAGTTCTCTTAACTCCGGAGGCTCCTTCTGACAATGTGGGAAGTCTTGGTTGAAACACTGACGGTTGGAAATTGCTCCATACACCAAGTACGGCCAGGCCTGAGTTTTCAAAGCAGACGCGTCCCACGGATTTCTGACCTGACTAACGTGTTGCCCTGCAGAAGCTGCTGGACTTTGACTTACGTCAGGGTCAGCGGCCACATGGCCAATGGTGTCGGGGTGGAGACAGGAGCTGCAGTCCAGCTACACATTTCCTACCCCTGGCCTGCAATTTCCTTACGTTTGTTTGCCACATAGGTGAGCAGTTCTCCTTCCAAGCTTACCTTCTTGTATTGCTTCTCAGCTTCACTTCCCTGTTCCGTAGCTCGGAAAGCCGTGTCCCTGGGAGAACCTGGGAAGGAGGAGGAAGGACTCGCATCACGTGGCACACGTCACAAAAAGAACAAAGGCTCTTAATGCAAGTCTGTTCTTCCTCTCCCTGGTACACAAGAATCTGCCCCCACATACACACATATGGAGAGATCTAAAGCAGGGGTCAGCAAACTTTTTCAGCAGGGGGCTGGTCCACTGTCCCTCAGACCTTGTGGGGGGCTGGACTATATTTGGGGGGGGGGAATGAACGAATTCCTATGCCCCACAAAGAACCCAGAGATGTGTTTTAAATAAAAGCACACAGTCTACTCATATAAGAACACCAGGCAGGCCCCACAAATAACCCAGAGATGCATTTTAAATAAAAGGACACATTCTACTCATGTAGAAACACGCTGATTCCCGGACCGTCCGCGGGCCAGATTTAGAAGGTGACTGGGCCGCATCCGGCCCCTGGGCCTTAGTTTGCCTGCACATGATCTAAAGCAAGGCTTGCTTGTTTGCTGGGGTAGTGAATATGCAGTACAACAGAGGGAACACAGAGGTCACTGCAGTCACCCTCAGCTATATTCACAGGAAGTATCTCTGCTGATGGAGCAGGAATTCACTGCCAAGGCTAGTGTGGCGTGCTCAACATTCAGGCAGGCAGGCAGGCAGGCAGGTGTGAGTGTGTCAGACATACCCCTAACTGTGGCAGGGGAAGGGACTGCCAGTCTGTCAATGGGTGCAGCAAAAGGTTTTCCTTTATGCAAACAACTGAAAGTTTTAAAATGAAGGATGCACATGAAGCACTGATCTTCTGCTCTCCCTCAAGAACGCTGTTTGCACAAGTTGAAAAACAGAACTTTTATGAGAACCAGCCATCTTACCTAGCAGACCAGCTTCACGGCATTCTCAAATCATAAAACTTAAAAGTATCCCGTTGTAACTGACAAAACGCCCTTCTACACTTGCCAGGTTTCCCCCCCTTTGCATTGCATTTAGCATTTTTTTAGATGGGGAGGAATGTTAAGGGGCAGGTAAAAAAAGTGCTTTTTACACACCTAATAACAGAAGTAGATCAGAAGCTCCTATGACTTCACTAATCAAATTGTAACCTGTGGAAAACCAGCAAAAAGGGGGAAATAAAAATTATAAATACAAACAAATGGCAAAGCAAATGTGAGACGTTTCCGTCTCAGACACTGCGAGGGCCAGACAGACAGAATGGCAAACTTACCAAACATGGCAGGCCAACGGATACAGGCAGGTGGGTTGAGAATGATTCACAATGAAGTGAAAATTACAATAGACTTTTTTCTAAAAAAAATCTGAAAGCACATAGGAGGATCTCATCTACTTGTCATTAGTTTCCAAGTACGTCCCTGACATTCATCCCACTCCCTGGGCAAAGAGCAATCTGCTCAGGGAGGGCAAATACTGCTGAAAGGAGACAGAGAGAGGCCGCTGCCCGCTTCCTGGCAAGTTGTAGCCCCACAATGGCAGAAACCTCCAAGTCCCTAAACCAAGAAGGCGTTGGTGACAGAGGCAGGGCCCTCTTAAGCATTAGCAAAGGCTCAGTACGATGGAAACGGCTGCTTCAGATGTGATAATCTGGGAGGGAGGACTGCAGGGCCCTGAAAATGTCCAGCAGCCACCACTAAGCCAGAGGAGCCCTCTGCCCATGCATGGCAATATGTTCAGATGCTCACGTCTGCATAAATGCCCAGACTGCCCGGCGGGGGGGAACTGGGCACTGCGAAGCAAACATTCAGCCCAACACTGTTTACGTCACTAGGGCAGGTTTGTATAACTCAGCCAGATGAAAAATTCCCTTACCAGGTGTGAGGAAACCCGACAGTGATCTGAGGCTCTCTCCAATCTTGTCAAAATCAGGCAGCAGCTTAGCGAGGTCTTCTGAATCAGGAAGAGCTTTTGTAAGTTTTTCTAGGAAAAGCAAAGGGAAAGTTAGCCCCCCTTGGGGTTGTTTTAGGTAAAAAGAACAGACTGTCATCTCCCTAGCTGGGGAGTGGCTGGGGAAACCAGGCCAGATGGGCGGGGTATAAATATAAATTATTATTATTAAATTATTACTAGCTTTAACCTGGACAGTTCAGAATTTCTTAATGGCTATTTATATTCTTTAGCAAGCTCTACTGCAGAAGATTTCTAAATGTGTTTCATAAATGATACACCATACATTCCCGATACACAGCAAGTCCTCTGAACACATACAGAAGTCAGAATCCTAACAACATTTAATGGGGCCCAGTCAGCTTTGAGACATATCAATTCAGATGCAAGCACCTGACTACTTTTAACGTATCCTGTGCAACTCGTTTTATGAATGAGAAACTGCAGCTGAGAGATGGTGTTGGCTTCAGAGGTGCCACACCGTTGAACCCAGACCTCCTGGGACCCAAATGTAAGAATTGTGCCAACAGAGCTGGAAGAATTATCTTGTTCCTGAAGGAGTTACAGACTTAGTCTGGCCCCTGAACCAGCAAGGATGGCCATGTTTCTAAGCAGGTGGCAGTGAATCAGAAACTCCAGTTCCTTATACTTCTCGCACAAAACAGAAAACATGCCTATCAGTGACACAGTAGGCTGAAACCCCAGAACCCTGGGAGTGAGGTGTTAACTTCTGGGGAAACTCTGGTTTCCTGGCAAACTGCTTCAGAGCAGGAGGGCGGCAAGATCCTGGGGAGACCAGAAGGAAGCTGGCTGAAAGCAACGAGCCATCAGGAAGAGGAGGAGGAAGTCTCAGTATAAATTCTCCTGGGCCAGCACTGCAAACATTTTAAGGGAACCAGTTCTGTGCTACAGTTAAGGCAGGGGCAGCCCTGTTGGCAAAGGCTGACTCCGTGACTCTGATACCAGAGCCTAGGAAGCATTTATAGCAATGTTGTTTTCTTCTTCTTCTTCGGCGATCCCTCGTAGCCGAGTCAGATTGTCTCCCATAAACACGGTTTTAACAGTGAGTCGGTAAGTGACTGTGGAGGCCAGTTCTGGATCCACACATCCTTCCACAGTGGGGACATTGGTTTCTGGGTGGGAGTTGATCACCGTGAGGGTTTGCCAAGCGTACTTTCCTCTTAGCACGTTTCTCCCTTGTGTCCTGAGTTCGAGTGTCTTCAAAGCCCATGACACCTTTGGTAATGGCTGTTCTCCAATTGGAGCGCTCACAGGCAAGTGTTTCCCAATTGTTGGTGTTTATACTACATTTTTAAAGATTTGCCTTAAGACAATGGTGCTACTCCCAGCCCAGCAAGAAGGAGCCCACCTCCCATGCCAGGCCAAGGCTCCAAACCAAGCGGTCATCTGGCATCTTAATCTGCTTTTGTTATGGCCTCTCCCCACCCTCAACTGCACTCTTGAAAAGCCATCTGTGCTTTTGTACTATTTAACAATACACTGCTTGATTGTTAAAAAACCCCTCAAAGTGGTACACAAAACAATATTTTTTTTAAATGGATGGGATTTCATTGTTTTACTGCTGGAGTATATCCTTTAGTATGAGCCACACAGAGATTTGGAGAGAGTAAAATAAATAATAGCAGGGAATATTATGCAATAAAAACGTTTTGATTTCTGAAATGTATTTTTTTTTAATCCCCAGAAGAAAGGAATGATGCCTGTCCCTCTGTGTAAATGATTATCAAAGTTCCGCAACAACTTGGCATTAGAGGAAAAATGAAAAGCCGGCACCAACCGAGGTCAACGTATTCATCAAGTTCCCATATGAAGTCAGGAATAATCCACTTGTACTCGGTGAGATCAGGCACCATCTCCTTCCATTGGTCATATGTCTAAATTAGAAGTGAGAAAGACATCAACAAACATTTGCATTAGCTACTACGATGATTAGAACAAAACTGCAAGTCTGCCGTGTACAAGACTATTCCTTCCTCCAGCCTTCTGACTGAATAACAGGATTAGATGGACTAGATGGGACCCTTGCGGTCATCTAGTTCAACCCCCTGCAATGCAGGAATCTCAACTGAAGCATCCCTGACAGATGGCCACCCAACCACTGCTTGAAAACCTCCAAGGAAGGTGACTCCACCACCTTCCAAGAGAGTCCATTCCACTCTCAAACAGAATGTTCTTCCTAATGTTTAGTCAGAATACCCTGTCTTGTCATATATACCCAAATCAATGGGTTGCATTTATGTTTTTAAAAAGTAATTCATCAGCACCAGGTCCTTTTTCAAGTTGCCTTTTGAGTCTGGGAACTTCACATGCAAAATGGGCAGGAGATCCCTTTGATCAGGACAAGGGCCAACGAAGAGCCCCAGGAGGGCGCTGACCTCGCAGGCTCCACCTCTGTTTCGCTGACTGGCTTATCACTGAGCTCCATATGATCAGTGCTTCTCCTCCTCACTCAAGGCTGAGTAAGACCACCTGGCTGGCCCTGCCTTTCCCGTGGTTGAAACTATAGCAGCAGCAGCCGCCTAGAGGTTGCCAGCCTTTGGGCAGACATCCATCTGCTCCTTGTAATGCTGAGAAGAAAACCAGTCAAACCAAGCTGTGCCTTTTTGCCCCTGGTGAGGAATCTCCTTCCCAGAGGGGTTCTGTCTGCTCAGCAGCACTCCCCAATAAACTACTTTGCAAATTACTGTGTGTTTGAACTGCATAACAATTGTAGATTGAAGTGTGTTTGCTTTACTGATAAGTTAATGTGCATAATGCAACCATATTGTTTTGCTGACAGAAATGCTAGATTTCCAGTGCTTTGGTTCTGCTGTGAGTAACTATGAGCTGTGTTGCAGAAGAAACATAATACAGGCAGCTAGAATTCATAGGTGAAAGAGCCCCTGGCGGCACAGTGAGGCAGACGCACAAGTAGAATAGGACAGCTCATAGCCCTCGAAAGATCTTTGCCCTCCTGTAATTTGCAAATCATCTCATCAGCCACAATAACCACCTGGTGATAAGAACCATAATCGGCTTATCCAGCTGCTTTAATCCTGAGCTTTGCCTGTTTCAGGGAGTATAATTGAGAGAGGGAATATAAAACTTTCTCCTTCCCAACTTCAACCTCTGCACATCTCTCATGATTCCACCACCATCAAAACCAAGTTGCTTCTTGCAGCACACCTCAAATTAGGAGATGCCACTACAGCTTGGAGCAGGAGGCAAGGGGACTTCCCCATTCAGAAAGTAGCAGCAACACTCCAGAGGACTTCTCCACTTCTACCGATGCTTCACATGCAAGAAAGGGAAGGAAGGGTACCCTCTCCTGCCATCAGTTCATGGCACCATCACTAGGGAAGAAGAAACGTAGAGAGCACCATCCTAGAGAAACCTAGCTCCATCTTGAAAAGCTATCTTTTCACTTCACCCCAGGTGAAACGTGAAGATGGTTGAGAGCAGTGTTTCCTAAACTTTCCAGCTGTTTTTGAACTACCATTCCATACATCCCTGACCACTGCTCCTGCTAGCTAGGGATGATGGGAGTTGTAGTCCAAAAAACAGCAGGCGACCCAAGTTTGGGAAACACTGGTCTAGAGGCCTGGAGCAAGGAGAGCCCCCAGGAAAAGTAAGAGGCTGGCATAAATTTGATGAGGGTTGGAGCAAAGGCTGGGGCTTTCCCACACTGAAAAGCAACCCTATTCCACTCCTGGATCTGAAGGAATATCAGCTAGGAATTTGGTAACTCTTTCATTGTCCTTTTGCACCATTTGCATAAGTCTGTGTTTGCAAGATGAGAACCCACTTCCTAGATCAGGGTCAATCTTGGCTGGCCAGGGGTTCCACTGTTACTCAACCACAGGCAACTTCCCTTGGCAGTCCAAGGGTTCTTGCACAGCTGTCAGCAACTGAGCCAAACCGCTCAACTGCACCTGTGAAAAAGGCACTCCCTGAAGGCACTTTAAAAAATCCTGCCAGAGTCTGTCACTAAGGTAGCTGATCTTACTTTCTATGAAGCAACCTCCTTGCCTTAGATCAACAACTGTGTACTGTCCATCCCCAAACCTTTAGTTCTTCTGACAATGAGTCTAGAGTCACTGTGCCAACACACCGTACGGATGGCACAGACCAGTCACTACTCCAGAGCTAAGTACCTTTTTGGCTGTGTAGCCACCGCCCACAGCAGATCCTAAGACGAGATAGCGAAGCTTTAGAAGCCTGGAAGCCACTCTGGCTAGCCAAAAGGTCCTGTGGGGCTGGGATCCATGCTTTACAAGGAGGAGTTTGCTGCTGCGCAAGGGAAGGTGATTAAGAGCAGAGAACGGCTGCGCTGAGATCCGTAACGGCAGCCTTTGAAATCTGGAAAGAGGATGGCGGGAATGATGAATACTCCGGGAAACGAGATGCAGTTTCTGCAGCGGCGACTTCCCTCTGACTCCATAGGTCCCATTTGCTAGGTGTTGACAGACAACGCTGAAGGAGAAGACAAAGAACTTATTTGCACGTGCAACGCTGTTCCAGCCTTAATCAAGATTCTAATCTCCCACCCGCAGAACTACTCAAAGCAGACCCTGCACACCAGCATCCCATTCTTCTGAGCACCCCCCTCCCCAGCTGTCCCTGAACCACCAGCTGCTGACTCCCAAAAGGTAGCACAAGATTTTCAGTAGCCGGTTGCAAGGCGGGGGAGGGGGGGAGTATTGGGAACGGAGCAAAGGGTAAGGCTTGAGGCACCAACAAATAACTACGTGGGATTGTGGAAATTGCTCTCTCTGCTGAGGGTCTCCTCATTTATAATGAATGATTTTAGAGTGTTGTTTGTGCTGTACTTTTGTACTGTTTTATTGTTGTTAGCCGCCCTGAGCCCGGCTTCGGCTGGGGAGGGCGGGATATAAATAAATTTTTATTATTATTATTATTATTATCATCATCATCATCCTTCACATGAGCACAGATCACAGGTTTCAGAGTCCTCACCCAAGTCTCTGTGAAATCCTGGGATCAGCAACTTATGAGTATGGAGAAGCACACAAGTGGTCATCCTATGTTATCATCTACGTACATCATGGTTAAGGTACAGTACCTAACCAATACTGAAACCTACATTATAACACGGCAGTCCAATTGTTAGGTCCTAAGCAGTAAGGAATGAGGTAAGCCACTACGTGGCCCTCATGTAGCTGGCCGGACATGAGGAAAACACAGCCACGTGCTTTTGCTGTTACAGGAACATCACAGCAAGATTAAAGTCTTTATAAAACTCCCAATTAAATGGCCACCGAAATACAGAAAATTCCTTTCAATCGTGCATTGGCTAAATAAAGTAGATGTCACTGCAACTTGGGACCAGCTGCTTCCTTGCTGCAGAGGTGCGAGGAAAGCAGGCGCTCCAAGGCTGGGAATAATAAATTATTATTATTACTTATTATTATTATATAGACAGAAGGCATCCGCTGTTGTGGCTGGGAGGAACCCCCGGGGCCCCTTCCAACTCCTCGATTCTATGGCTCTATCATGGTCATTTGTTAAATTTATATGCTGCCCTTCGTCCAAAGACCACAGGGAGGTTTCCACCGTCAAAGCACAAAATGCGTAACGTAAGAACAGCAGCAAAAAACACCCTGCCTTCATATAGGACAGGCATAGGCAAACTCCGGCCCTCCGGATGTTTGGGACTACAATTCCCATCATCCCTAGCTTACAGGTCCAGTGGTCAGGGATGATGGGAATTGTAGTCCCAAACATAGCTGTCAACCATCCCTTATTTGGCGGGAAACTCCCTTATCCCAACACCATGTCCCGCTGCTGTCCCTTAAATTTCCTGGGTTTCATGCTCGCCCGGCTTGGGAGGGAAGCAGTGGCTTGGTGTCCTCCGCCGCGAGAGAGAGCGTGCGCATGAGCTACCGCGTCTCCATCTCTCCCCTTTGCTCCCTCAGGGGTGTGTCATGAGGAGACGGGCGGCAGCAGGTGGGCAGGCAGCCCCTCTCTTGCGAGACTTCCGCTGCGCTGCCAGGGGAAGCCGGAGGTGGCCTGAGGGAGGAGGAAGAGGAGGGGATGGGGAGGGACGCAGAAGGGCGGCGCTTCAGTGGCCGCTGCCGCGCTGCAACCACCTCATGCTGGGCTCGCGGGTGGTGTGGGCGTGAGTCTCTCTCCCTCCCTCCCTCTTTCTCTGGCCAGGAAGGGCCAATGGAACTCCTCGCACCAGGACGACGGTAGCCCCGACGTGCTGCTTAGCATCCCCTCCAACCAGTGCAGTATCTTAATGTAGTGATTTCCCACCCCCTGCATCCCTTTCATAACTCTATTTTTATAAATCATTTGTCCGTCCATAGTTCTGATTTTTACTACAAGTTTTCTGTCAATCCTACCAATGTATGTAACTCTTGACAACAGCTTTTCAACTAAATTATAACCTTTCCCCATTCTTTATTAAAGAGGTCCTCTTCCTGGTTTCTAATTCTGCCTGTAAGCTTTGCCATCTCGACGTCGTTCATCAGTTTTGTCTGCCACTCTCCTTTGGTGGGAGTTGTAGACCCTTAGGATCATCTAGTCCAACCCCCTGCAAAACCCAGTCAGTCGCAGCCAAAGCAGCCTGGCTCCATCAGTGGCGGATTTCTGTATAAACTAAGCCAAAATCCCTTATTTTGGCTGCTGATCCCTTATTTTCAAATCTCTAAGTTGACAGCTATGAACCCAAACATCTGGAGGGCCGGAGTTTGCCTATGCCTGATATAGGAAGCGCATGCGGCCCGAGGGGCGGGGTATAAATGATCAAGTCCTTATTCTTGTACATGATTCTCCATCATCACCACCATCCTAAATAATAATTTTATTATTTCTACCCCGCCCACCTGGCTGGGTTTCCCCAGCTACTCTGGGCGGCTTAAAGCAAATATTGTATTTTAATATTAATATTCCTCCAATGTGGGGAGGCCCAGGGGGCGCGTGCAGCCCCTCGGGGGGAGGGAAGGAGGGGCGCAGGGGAGCCATTCCACCCCCTCAGGGAGGCCGGCGGTGTCGGGGCCCGCAAGGTCGCCGCCCGGGCCAGGGGGGGAGAGGTTAGGCCCGAGGCCTCCGGCTTCCTCTCCCCGCCCCCCCAGCCCTGCCAGGGCGGCCGCCCCTTCCGTCTCACCAGGCGGCGCGGGCGCTGCTCCTCCACATCCCGGCGTCTCTCTCTCCCTCTCGGCCCGCCAAGGGGCTCCCTCGCCCAGTGCGCCGCCCAAAACACGCCGACGCCGCCGCCCGGAAGCGGAAGAGGCGGGCGGAGCGCTGGGAGGGAGACACCGCGCCGCCCGGGAAACCCCGCCCCCTCACGCCGAGGGACATAGACTCACGAAGCGCAGAGCGGCGACGCCGAGGACGGGAAGGGGCGGGGGCGGGGGCGAGGGGAGGGGCTGGAAGGATCACGTGGTGCTGGACGCTCCTCCCCCGGCAGAGCCTCTCGCCGCCAGAAAGGCGGGAGCCTCCTCCTCGCAAGCCGCGAGTTCGAGTCCTGCCCTCGGGAGCGAGGAGGAAACGGGCAGAAGAGAGGGGGAAAGAGTAATAATAATAATAATAACAATAACAATAATAATAATAATAACAACAACAACAAAACAACAATATTTTAATAAATAATAGTAAATAATAAATTTAGCTTAATGGTTGCCATCAATTTGATTTTAATTAATTTTTATAATGAAATGTTTTAGAATGTTGCACTATTTTATTGTTGTTAGCCAACCTGAGCCCAGCTTTGGCTGGGGAGGGCGGGAGATAAATAAATTTTATTATTATTATTATTATTATTATTACAGACACATCACCTTGCCAACAAAGGTCCGTACAGTTAAAGCTATGGTTTTCCCAGTAGTGATGTATAGAAGTGAGAGCTGGACCGTAAAGAAGTCTGATCGCCGAAGAATTGATACTTTTGAATTCTGGTGCTGGAGGAGACTCTTGAGAGTCCCATGGACTGCAAGAAGATCCAACCTCTCCATTCTGAAGGAAATCAGCCCTGAGTGCTCACTGGAAGGACAGATCCTGAAGCTGAGGCTCCAAGACTTTGGCCACCTCATGAGAAGAGAAGACTCCTTGGAAAAGACCCTGATGTTGGGAAAGATGACTCATGTTCAGCTTGGGGTCCCCCAAGACCCCTAGATCTTTTTCACATGTACTGCTAGTAAGCCAAGTCTCCCCCATCCCATACAATCATACCTTGGGTTGAATGTGCTTCAGGTTGAGCGCTTTCGGGTTGTGCTCTGCGGCAATCCAGAATAATGGAGCGCGTTACTTCCGGGTTTTGCCGCTTGCGCATGCGGAGACGGTCAAAATGACATCATGCGCATGCGCGGAAGCAGCGAAACGCGCAGACGCGCTGTCGTGTCTTACGTTCCACTCAGGATGTGAACGGGGCTCCGGTTCTTCCTGCCTAAGTTCAGAACCTGACATTTGTCCCTATTGATTTATACGAATTATGAAGCACGGCACACAGAAGGGAAGTGTCTTCAGCATATAGTATGGTCTGGCTTGTATAAATCCATCATTCACACACACACATGTATACATATTTTTATATATGTATAATCACTATAGGGACGCGGGTGGCGCTGTTCTCTAAACCACAGAGCCTAGGACTTGCCAATCAGAAGGTTGGCGGTTTGAATCCCCGCGACGGGGTGAGCTCCCGTTGCTCGGTCCCTGCTCCTGCCAACCTAGCAGTTCGAAAGCACGTCAAAGTGCAAGTAGATAAATAGGTACCGCTCCGGCGGGAAGGTAAACGGCATTTCCGTGCACCAGAAGCGGCTTAGTCATGCTGGCCACATGACCCGGAAGCTGTCTGCGGACAAATGCCAGCTCCCTCATCCTATAGAGCAAGATGAGTGCCGCAACTCCAGAGTCGTCCACGACTGCACCTAACAGTCAGAGGTCCCTTTACCTTTACCTTTATAATCACCACCTGATTCCTCTAATAAAGAAAGTAAAGAAACATTGACAAAAGAGCTGCGATCGTAGGAAACCAGTGTATTATTGTGCTCAGATCCTGCTTGTGAGTTTCCCACAACTGGCATCTGGTTGGCCAGTCTGAGACCTGGATGCTAGACGGAACGCGGCTCCTTTGGCCTGATCCTGCGGGCTCTTCTTATGCTCTCAAGCAGGCTCCGAGTGCGAGAGCAACTCTCCTCTCCTGTGGATTCCAGGTAATGGGATTCAGAAGCATCGCTGTCCAGACTGGAGGCAGAGCAGAGCCATCAGGGTCCAGAGCCGCAGACATCTCTCTCCTCCATGAATTCGTCTCGTCCTCTTTCAAAGCCATCCAAGTTGGTGACCAGCCCTGCCTCCTGTGGCAAGGAGTTCCACCGATTAACTCTGCATGTGCGAAGGAGTGAATCTTCCACCGTTCGACTTCATGGGATGCCCATGAGCTCGACCATTAGGCGAGATGGAGAAAAACGTTTCTCTGTCCCCTTTCTCTGTGCCAGGCACCATCGCATGAACTTCTCTTCCTCTCCTGCTCCCTTTTCCGTCTCCTTTCGCCCCTCTGAGGAGGTGGGTCTCTCCTTCGGTCGCTGAGCCCTGCCAAAGTTTGGCAGCACGTGGCAAAGTTCATTTGTACAGAGAGAGAGAGACGGCGATCAATCAAGACCTGCTTTTCTGCTTCTGACAAACACGCTGCCCGGCTCAGAGAAATCCCATAATCTTTCCTGGCGAAGCACTCCCCTTTTTTGGCCTGCCCCCAGCAGAAGAATGCAGCCGGGCTCCGTCTCCCCACCTCCAGCGCTCTCTCTGAACGGGCCAAGGATCTTCCGGCAGCGGATGCCAGAGCAGGACGGGCGAGGACGGCCAGGTAGATCCTACCTGGAGCCATGGGGCGGAGCTGTCTGTCTGGAGGAAGGTGTGTCCCTAGCAAGCTTCCTTGGCATATAAGGGGTGACCCCTCCCGGGTGTCCTGGCAAGGCTTGCAGCAGCGACAGTGACCCTGGAGAGAGTCCGGGGAATACTTGGAGGCCTCAGGAGACCAATGCAGGCAGCTTCCCATGGGGAGGAAACATGGAGGGAACCACCAGGCTTTGCTCAATGAGGGAGAAGAGGCTGAAATGGTGAGTCCCAGACACTAAAAGCGCAAGCGAGTTGGGTGTGTTGCAGCGGGTTGGGCTAGATGACCCTCAGGGTCCCTTCCAACGCTGCCATTCTGTGAGTCCCCCTCTAACAGAAGCGAGCAGGGAGCCAATGGGAGCTTGGAAACGGAAAGCGGAAAGCTGTCTTTTGCCAGCTGTTTTTGTTGATAAGTGTTTCCTTCTGCTCTGGTGGGTAGAACTTGAACCCAGGGCTTCAAGTTACAGGAAAGGAGATTTCGATTAAACAAGAACCTTCTGACAGGAAGAGCTGTTTGACAGGGGAGGAAGGCGATGGACTCTCAGAGGAAGTTGCTGAATTAGTCAGGCCAATTTCTTTGTAAGGCAGTGGCCTTAGCTGACCTCCTGGATGTCCCCATCAGCATCCCCAAAGAATGAGCCAGGTTGCAAGAGACAGGACTGGAGGAGGGACCTCCAGGCCAAGGGATGGGCCTCCACCCCCCTCACCTGTCTGCTAGGTAGGAGAATAAGATCCAGAGAGTTGTGAGTGAGCAGAGCTGGGAGCAGGAGACACAGAATTGCTTGCTCTGCGCTGGACCCAAAGCTGGGACTACATCCTATGCCCAGGTTGTATCTGTGTGCAGATAAACCCAGATATCCTAAAGGCACCGCAGGGTCTTTCGTTCCAAGGAAACTGAACCCAGGTAAAGTGCCTTGAACCCTGGATTATCTCACGGCTCAGAAATTGGGGTGGCGCACAACATTATGCTAAATATGTGGAACACGTTCAGCTTAAACCTTTCCCCATGGAGACTCCTGAACCAAATGGAAACCCTTCTGGGAATACTAAGTTTCTAACTTAGCAGCAGTCCTGCGTTAGCTCTGCTCTGCTTCCCATGGGCAGCTCCCAAGACAGCGCCTGCTGCCCATTCCTGGCCGTATCCTGTCTTGTACAGCAGCAGCAGCAGCAGTCCCTTCAAAGGATTAATTTCTCCAGACATCTTTCAACATTCATTGCCCAGAGGGATTATGGCTGCGGTCCTGGGCAAATTTACCTTCAGGCAGGAATCCAAACTGAACTCAGACGGATGGCTGTCTGTCATGGATGCTCCAGTTGGAGGTTTCCTGCATTGCTGGGGGTTGGACTAGATGGCCCCTGAGGGTCCCTACCAACTCTATAATTCTCCTGTACAAACCTCTGGGTTGCATCCTCTCCTAGGAGGCTGGTCACATGAGCCTTGCGTTTCCGTGGACTATGCCAGACCTGACGCTAAGAGCGTCCTTAGAAACAAAGTCTGTTTTGAGAAATGGAAGGAGCAGGAGCGGAGGTCCCGATTCTCCTCAGGGCTGCTGTGCTTGTAAAGAGGCTCTCTAACCTTTTCGTCCCTAACTGACTCCGGAGTGAGTCACTGCAAGTGACTGAACCAGCAGGACTCACCCCGACGGCTGTTCCTCCAAAGCGGTAACATCAAGTAATGCTGTGAGTCGTCCATCCTCATCTCTGGCAACCGCAGGGACGCCCGCTGCTGCTGCTCCTGTTGAGCTGGTTCCACCGATTTGGGGGGGAAAGTCGCGTTTCCAACAACAGCGAAAAACAGACCGTAAAAGGAAGCGGAAAGAAGATGAAGAGCAACGGGGAACATCGGATTCAAAGGATCAAAGGCTGGGCTGCAAAAGTTTAAAAGGCTTTGGAGGGCAAAAAAGTCTGCTCCTGACCCCCCCAAAATGTAAAAGTGGGCGATTGGTGGTGGTGGGAGCTCTGTTCAAGAGACCCTCCCTGGTTTCCACCTGCCTCTGCTTTCCATCTGTCCATGCGGGGGGTTCATGACTACGGAGAGAGGGGAGAGATTGGGAGCCGCTAGGCTTTGCTTGCAAAATGCTGGCGGACAAACGCTGCTTCTTTAAACGCCAGTCCCGCAGTGTCCTTTTGTTGCAGGGAGAGGGATCAGGGCTCGGCCGCTGACTTGGCACAGGCAGAAGAAAATGGCAGAGACCCTGTTTCCTGCTCAGCGCTGGGTTCCTGCTTTCTGCAGCGCCCCAGAAGCTCCTCAAGACCAGCTAGTTGCCCAGGGCTCAGGGCCGTCTTACCCATAGGTGCTAGGGGTGCGGGGCACCTGGGCGCTGGGCTCTCAGGGGCACCAGGCCGAGAGTCCGGGGCCCGAGAGTTGAGTCCAGGGAAGAGCCTGTCCATCCATCGGAGCTCCGCGGTGGGCTCTTCTGCTGCGGGCGGCTCTGCGCTGCGAGTTTGGGGGCGACCGAGCCAGTGAGGCGACTGGCCAGCTCTGCCCTCCTACGCACCCGGGACTGGGCAACCTGGGGGGGGGGGACACCAGGCGGATCTTTGCACCCTGGCGCCGCATGTGCTTCAGACAGCCCTGCCAGTGCTCTAGAAGCAGTGCCAAGCCCTGCCCTTATCTGCATGGCACCGTGTGGGGCAGGTGGGCATGGCTTGCCCCTAAACAGTCTCGCAGGCCCATTGGGTGAGAGGCTGGCAGGCCAAGATGGGCCAGAGGTTACACCATCATTTCCAAGTGCCCCCCAAATGCCAAGACCATCATGACAACCCTTATGCCACTACGGCTCCTCACTGTGCCACGCAGAGTCCTGAATTCTGGGTGGGTCAGATATAGGATCTCCCATGTGTTTATCTATGTGCTGTGTGGAGAAGTACTCCCAGTGCCTGTTTTCCTCTTCCCTCCTGATTCTTTTTTCCTCTTGTGTCATGTCTGTTAGATTGTGAGCAGAGACCGACATATTTTAGGGTGTGCCAAGAGCTTGGATAAACTCTAGGTGCTTTGTAATTAATGACAGTAGTGGCATAAACTGAATTTAATAATGAAAAGAGAGATTTTAAAGTGGTGCAGAGGAGCCGACGGGAAACTCTTTTGGAAGTCTGTTGTGAGAACTGCCGCTCTTGCCATGCCGGCCCCCCGTGGATTGACCAGAAGTCAATACGGCCCTCGGCCTTTAAAACTTTGCCCCCCCCCCAGTGTCTGCTGCAGTTTCAGACGTGGCTCATTTCGTGGGCTAAACTCCCACTTTGGTTTTCCTTGAAGACTTGCCATCAGGGTCTCTGGTGAACCCGCAAGTCCTGCAACTGCAGCAGGCAGCCGTTCTGTCAACCCATCGACCGCACAGTTTCGTGCAAAAACTGGATTTAAAATGTTTATGGTTTTTGGGTAGTTGTTTCTTTCTGGGTTTGGTATTACTCAGCAATCTGTGGCATGTGCTTAGCCCACAAGCTGTGAGCCAAAGAAATGATGCAGATTACGCAACTGTTTCCTTTTGGTCGTTTTAATCATCTTTGCGGCCGGACAGAGAGCCGGCCAAGTTAAGGACGGGGTGTTGCTCTGCTGCGGCTGGAGGGCGGCAGGATTGTGGCAGGTGGGGAAGGAGGGGCAGAAAGAGTATCTGCCATGCAGAGTATCGTCTTCACGCTGGCATTGGCCTCTGCCTCTCAAAAACTCCGTCACTTGCCAAGTCATAAGCAGATACTGAGCCTGGATTTGCAGTTTTTCTGTGGTTCCCGTCTCAACTTTTTGTGGTGGTGGAGACAGATACAGTGCTCCTTTGTGCTACACATAGTGAAACTCTGGAACTCCCTCCCACTAGAAGCAGTGATGGACATCAGCCTGGGTGTCTTATGAACAAAAGAGGTTTACAGACTGTCTCAAGGCAAATCTAAAAAAATGTAGCATAAACACCGACAATTGGGAAACACTGGCCTCCGAGCGCTCCAGTTGGAGAACAGCCTTGACCAAAGGTGTTCTTAAGTTGTGGGTGAACATATCAGGCAACACAGCGATTCTTCAAACAGCTCTTGCTTATTCACAGGCCAGAACAGAACTGAACTGAAGGGTTCAGCCAGCCTGCTTATATAGTGCTCCACTACAACGCAACAGTAACAACTTTCTGTAATTATCCAATCACTGAACGTCACTTTCAGTTCCTTATTTGCATATGTGGACCTGAGTGAAAACTATCTACAGTATCCCCCTGCTGGCCCAGGGTGAGAGCTTCAGTACATAACAGGTGTCATGGGCTTTGAAGACACTCGAACTCAGGACGCAAGGGAGAAATGTGCTAAGAGGAAGGCACGCATGGCAAATCCACACCGTGATCAACTCCCACCCGGAAACCCATGTCCCCACTGTGGAAGGACGTGTGGATCCAGAATTGGCCTCCACAGTCACTTATGAACTCACTTTTAAAAACTGTGTTCATGGAAGGCAATCTTACTCGGCTACAAGGGATTGCCAAAGAGAAGAGAGAAGAGGATTAGGCAAATTCGTGGCTGTTGAAGGCTACTTGCCATGAGGGCTTTGCTGTGCCTCCGCAGAGAGAGGCCACCAGCTGGGATAACTTTAAAAGAGGATTGGACCAAATCATGGAGGAGGAGGAGAGGGCCAGGGATGCTTCTGAATGCCAGTTGCTGGAAACTGCCCAAAGAGAGGGTTGCTCTTGTGCCCGGATCCTGCTTGTGCTTCTTCCATTGGGCCATCAGGTCGGCCACTGTGAGAACAGGATGCTGGCCAGGATGGGGCGCTGGCCTGATCCTGCCGGCTTCTCTTATGCTCTTCTGTTCCATGTCCCAAGCGGCTTCAGGGGCAGGTTGGTCTCTCAACCTCCTCCATGTCAAGAGGTCTGAAAGACACCTGCTCAAAGAAGCGGATTCATGCAGATTCCGTGCATTTGGGGAACGCAGGAAGGATGGATTGTGATTGACATATGCAAATAGTTACAACTCAGTTGAGCAGTTGGGGGAGTGGTGCAGAAAAAACAAATTACTCCTTAACTTAAAGAAAACAAAAGAGACCATTGTGGACTTTAGGAAATGTAAATTGAATATTCAGCCACATATTATTGAGGGGAAGTGCGTGGAACAGGTCTTGGTGTTTCGATTTCTGGGAATGGAGTTGAGAGAGGACCTAACCTGGGGATAAAACAGCAAAGACCTGGTGAAGAGAGCACAACAGAGGTTATATTTTCTGAGAATCCTCCAGAAAAAACAATCTCTCAAAGGACCTGTTGGTGGCATTTTACCATTGTACTGTGGAGAGTGTATTAACTTATGGTCTGTGTGTGTGGTTTGGGAGCTGCACGGCCAGGGAAAAAACAATGCTGTCCAGGGTTGTAAAGACTGCAGAGAAAATAATTGTGTGCACTCTTCCCACCTTGGATCAAATCTACGCTTCCAGGTGCCATAAGAAAGTGGCAGAGATAGCGCAGGATAGTGCGCACCCCGGAAATGATCTCTTTCAGCTTCAGCCTTCTGGAAGAAGGTACAGGGTTATAAAGACTAGGACTAGCCGCCTGAGAAACAGTTTCTACACAAATGCCATTCTGGTTCTAAACACAGCATAAGGAGTCTCTATAGTATATTGTATTTTAAAATGGGGTTTCGAGTTTTTAGGGGTTTTTGAATGTTTTATGTAGATTTTCAATTTCATTGTTCTGTATGGGACAATGACAATAAAGATATCGTATCGTATCAGTTTGGGAAATGGGGGTGCAGCTGTACCTGGAGAAGCCATCAGGAAGTGAACCTGGATCCTTCTGCATGCCAGACAGACGCTCTTCCTCTTATCTGCCTGCTCTTTCCCATTAAATTCCAAAGTTCCCTTCTTAGTATTGTCAGGGCTGCCCAGGAAAACATGGTGGGGTTGTGTATAAAATCACTCACATGCACACATGGTCAATGAACAGAAATCAGAGAGGAGCTTGTGTGAATTTCCGGAGGTGTAGCCTACAGATTCCCTATGGCTTGGAGTTGGTTACAATTTCAAATTGCATATGAATCTGGGAGGGGACGGGAATCACCTACCCAGGGCCAAAATGTCGAGGTTGGTTGATCAAATGTGAAATGGAATCATGGGATGGCAGAGTTGGAAAGGGGCCCAAGGGGGGTCATCTAGTTCAGCCCCCAGGAACCACAAACACTGAGGCTTCCTGCAATCTCTCCTTAGGCCAGGGGTCAGCTATCGTTTTCAGCAGGGGGGCGGTCTGCGGTTCCTCGGACCTTGTGGGGGGCCGGAGTATATTTTGGAAGAAGAAAAATGAAGGAATTCCTATGCTCCACAAATAACCCAGAGATGCATTTGAAATAAGAGGGCACATTCTACTCGTGTAAAAACACGCGGATTCCTGGACTGTCTGCGGGCCGGATTTAGAAGGCAATTGGGCCAGATCCAGCCCTCGGGCCTTAGTTTGCCTGCGCATGCCGTAGGCTTTTCATTCAAGGAGCTTGTAGGTGGAGGAGTGGGGCGGAGGTGCTTTGAACACCCAAAACAAAGATAGCAGCCGCTATCAGAATCCCAAATCGGATTGGAAATTCCATCCCCAAAGCTCCTCATCTTTCTGCAAAACGTCCCAGCCTCTGGCATCTATGCACACCTTCTGCCTTTAATCCCTTTGCCCCGTGCATCTCAATATTCTTGAAGATGGCCTCTCCAGACCTGGGGAATGCAAGCTCCAGCCTCGGAGGGTGTGGGCTGTTCTTAGATCAGCATCTCGGAGGCAGAGAGCGCGCGAATGCAGACAGGTGAGTTTTGGGTGGGCAGAGATTCAGGAAAGGGGCTGATTCACGAAAGGTGGGGAGAGGATGTTTCTTGACCTACGATGCTTCCCATGCCCTTTCATCTGCAGGAGATGTTTGGCTACAAAACCGAAGTCTGCCGGAGGGCCTTGTGCCTCGCTGGGTACGTCCTGTCCTGCGGAGTCCTCCTCCTCCTCTTCTACTGGAAGCCCGAGTGGGACGTGTGGGCAAACTGTGTGCCCTGCGACTTGGAAGAGGCCGACGTTGTCCTGCTCTGCACCACAGTAGGAGGAGATTTTGTTCTGGAAATGTTGGTAGTGGGAAGTTGGAAAACCCAAGGGTCTTGGCCAGGGGTTCTCAGTTTTTTTGGGTGGGGGCCCTGTCCCCCTGGTTCCATAAACTCATCCCCAGTGCACACTGCCCTATTCCACCCCATAAAAGCATTCTTCAGGTTAGCAGATGGCACGACCCTCTAAGGAAGATAATGAAACCATAAAATTCAGAAGGGGGGCATTGTATTTTTCATCTCCAGCACCACCCTAGATAATCCCCCCCTCCAGGGGCTCTACGACCCACCAGCGCTCTAGGCGCTCTATTCTCAATCCTGTGTTTTGCAAACTTGGCCCCCACTGCTTGGTTATGAAAGCTTCTTGAACAATTTGGATCCAAACCCCATTTTTAATGGCTAAATCAGACCTCAGAGGCTGCGTAGGCACCATAAATTTCAAGTGCACGGGTTCCCTCAATTAATCCTGGGAACTGTGGAGCACAGTTCCCAGCACCCTTCGAATCATAGAATTGTAGAGTTGGAAGGGACCACCGAGGTTCATCTAGTCCAGCCTTTCTCCACCTGTGGGTCCCCAGATGTTGTTGAACTACAACTCCCATTACCCCTAGCTAGCAAGGCCAGAGCTCTGGGATGATGGGAGTTGTAGTCCAACAACATCTGGGGACCCACAGGTTGAGAACCGCTGATAGTCCAACCCCTGGCAATGCAAGGATGTCAGCTACAGCATCCCTGACCAATGGCCACCCAACCTCCAAGGAAGGAGAGTCCACCGCCTTCCAAGCAAGACGTTCCACAGCCAAGCAGCTCTTACTGTCAGAAAGGTTTTTCCGAATGTTGAGTTGGCACCTCATAACTCAAAGCCATGGGTTCGAGTCCTACCCTCCGGAGCAGGAGAACACAAACTTGTTCCCTCCTCCATGGGACAGCCCTTCAGGTGTCTGACGATGGCTCTTGTACGTCCTCTCAGTCTCCTCTTCTCCAGCTCCTTCAACCGTTCCTCATCAGGCTCAGCTTCCAGACCCTTGATTGTCCTGGCCCCCCTTCTCTGCAGACCTTCCAGCTTGTTCATATCTTTCTTAAATTGTGGTGTCCAGAACTGGACACAGGACTCCCGGTGGGGTCTGGTCAAGGGAGGAGAGGGTTCTTAATGCAGGATTCTTTCATGTGCTTTACCTGTCTCGTGCGTAAGAGGCCCAGTAAGCATCTGGGCCCAGGGAGCTTGCTCAAAAGGGGTAGAGAGTAAAGTCAGGCGGAAATCTGACTTGCCTGACCAGTGGAATAACCTCAAGTGGATTTGCCACAAGAAGCGCCAGTCTCACCCCAGTAAGTGGTTAGATGCGAGCCTGTGGCAAGGCAGGGCAGGATCCTGCCTCTTTGATCCACCCAGGTCCTCCTCATTACCTGCGCTGTGGTTCCAGGACTCATCATCATTTGGGCTTCTGCTCGCTTTTCTCCAGGATGAATTTCACGTCTACGCCCGGAAGAAGGTGGTTTGGCTCTCTGTGGCCGCCCTGGGCCGCCTTGACCCCACGCACCCCCCCCTTGCTGACGAAGGCTCTCTCCTGAACAAAGTCATCGCCAGGCCGGAGTTGAAAGTAAGGGGGAACCCGGAACCGAGGGGCTGGATGGTGGCGTCACACGGGGCCCCCAATTATGACTCCTGGATTTCATTTATGGATCGCCTCCTGGGAAGCATCTCAAAGCAATTTCACAATGCAATAAAAGAGCAGATACAACAATAACAACCCCCCCCCAGTGGTTTAGTTTAATTAATTCAAAAGCTGATGAGCTTGATCTGGCGATAGCTGCTTCTCAAAGTCTGAGGGTCATTTACAACTTGATGGGCATCCTAGACCCTTTTAAAATGTGGCTCTTTAGGGGGATGTGTGTTATTGGGTTATTGTTCTTATTTTGATTTTATATATTGTGATCTTTTCTGTGAACTATCCTGAGACCTCCGGATATAGGTCAGTATATAAATTCTAATAATAATAATAATAACAATAATGATGATGATGATGATGATAATGGCCCCCCTAGGGAATCCTGCTGCCTCTGGGGGTTGCTCTACCACGTGGTACGGCCCTAGGTTTCCTATATTTCAAAAAGTGAAAATCCGGACACAGAAGTTGTTGAGCTTTTTCCTGGACATCCCAGCGATTTCCGCCCGGACGCTGTTTCCGACGGCTGAATCCCGACTCTACAGTCCCGCCCCTGCAACCTGCTTGGCTCCTCCCCCCCCTCAGCTCTGCCCACCAGAGGCTCCTCCCACTCTCACTGCTCTAGCCCCGCCCATAGAAGCCTCGTCCCATCTTCCTGGGTAGCCAAGTGCGCCTCTGGATTATCCCAGGAGATGCCATGTGCTTCCCAGAGGGGTCTGGCTGTGGCTGGGAACGCAACCCCCGGATGAGGGCTGTGCTTGCTGTTACTGCCGCCCTGCCAGGGTCATTTATTTATTTATTTTCATTTATTTTTAATGATTTTCTAAAATTTTAGACAGACAAATAAACATAAGTCTTAACTGTACTTGATCTAATCTTAGTGACATTGCTGAGTGACTTCCTCAAATCCCCTAGCTGAATTTCAGTGTATATCATTGTAACAGTTTTCCAAAACCAATTTTTCTCATAAAATTAACATAATCACTTAACATCTTTCTTTCTTTTCATTTTAACTTTAAACACATTATTTTCTAACATCACATAATTAAATCCTAAGCCTATCTGATATTTGCAAGTTTTTCCAATTAAATTATCTTAGCGTATTTAAGTCAATAGTCTTTGAATTTCATCCATTCCTCCTGGTACTCCTCCTTGCCAGGGTGATTTATTGTTCTGTTTTACTGCATTAATGCTCCACCAGCTCCCACCCTCTTATGCAGGGGTCAGCAAACTTTTTCAGGAGGGGGCCAGTCCACTGTCCCTCAGACCTTGTGGGGGGCCAGACTATACAGTGGCGCCTCTGGTTGCGAACGGGATCCATTCCAGAGGCCCGTTCACAACATGAGCAGAACACAACACACAGCGGCGCGTCTGCACACGCACAGGTTGCGATTCACCGCTTCTGCGCATGCGCGTGATGTCATTTTGCGCATCTGCGCATGCGCGAGCGGCAAAGAGCAGTGAAACCCGGAAGTAACCCTTTCCGGGACTTCAGAGTCACCGCGGGATGCAACCTGAAAAAATGTATAATGAAGCAAACTTAACATGAGGTATGACTGTATTTTTTTTGGGGGGGGGACCCAAAACGAATTCCTATGCCCCACAAAGAACCCAGAGATGCATTTTAAATAAACGCACACATTCTACTCATGTAAAAACATGCTGATTCCCGGACCATCCGCGGGCTGGATTTAGAAGGCGATTGGGCCAGATCCGGCCCCCGGGCCTTAGGTTGCCTACCCCCGCTCTTATGCATCACCCTCCAATGCTGGCTGGCAAGATTTGGAGGGTGGCATCCTTCAAGGGATGTGTTTCAGAAGGAGGCTGGGGTGCGGGGCGTCGGTGGAATCCCAACACCCCGAAATAATAGATCAGAAAAACGAATGCATCAGTCGTGGCTTCTGAGCGGAAAGTGAAAAGGGGCTGGACTCTGCCGGGAACAATGTCTCAGCGGAGGAGTCTGGTCCTGCGAGGAAGGCTGGCTGGGGCCGAGGGTCGTGCCGTGGCTCAGAGCCTCCCCTGCAGCCCCAGAAGCTCCCTGTTCGAATCCCACCTCAGCCACCTGCAGCTCTGGAGCTTCTCTCAGCCGGGAGAGCAGCCAAGAGCGAGGGCAGCTTTCCTCCCTCTTTTTTTAAAATAACTTTTTATTCAAAATTAAAACAAATCATATTATGCAGAAACATATCATCCTTATTTCCCCCCCATTTTTCCTCCCTCCCCTCCCTCCCCCCGCAGAACCCACCCACCCCCCAACGTCCATCAGTTCCAGTCTTTGATTTCTCGAAAAATGCTGTTTTCTGCATGTTACACAGTAGTATAAATCCTCAAACTATTTAGCTGATTATTATCAATAAAAAGTTTGTGAATGTTTATTCAAAGCCAGCCAAGGAGTCCAGTTCGCTTTGTTGCGTCTTCAGATACTTTGTAAAGGGTTCCCATTCATCTTTAAAGTCACAGTTATCCTTGTCCCGTAGCTTATATGTCAATTTTGCCAGTTCTGCATAGTCCACCAATTTTTCTTGCCATGATTCTTTAGTTGGAGTTTCTTCAGTCTTCCATCCTTGTGCTATTAAAACTCTCGCGGCAGTTGTCGCATACATGAAGATGTTTTTCAGCTTTTTTGGCAGATCTTTCCCTACAATCCCTAACAAAAATTCTTCAGGCTTTTTAACAAATGTTAAATGGAACAGTTTTCCTCCCTTGACACTCGCACCCATTGTTTGGTTTTCCAGGCGAGGTGCCTCCAGGTGCAGAAGATCCGATATGCCTGGGACTTTTCTGCCAAGCGGTTCGTGAAGGTCGGGTGAGTCACCTTGCGCCCGGCTGCCGCCTGTCTCCGGCAAAGCACTGGGCAGGAACAAAGCCTCTCTTGTGGTGCTACAGCAGGTCTCCTTCTCTTGCAGGGTCCTTGAGGAGACACACACCTGCGCAGAGATCCATGCAAAGTTTGGGTCTGGGCTGACCAGCGCAGAGCAGGGCATCAGGTACTTGCTTCACAGAATCCTAGAGTTGGACGGGACCCCCAGCGCTCATCTAGTCCAGCCCCCTGCAAAGCAGGAATCAGAACATGCATGCATCCAATATGGAAGAAGTTGTGGTTGGTCTAAAATCAGCGGCTCAAAGCATCATCATCATCATCACTTTTCGTTTGTATACCACCTTTCTATCTTACAATGCTCAAGGCGGTTTGCAAGCTGAAGAAACAAAGAATGTACACTTTACAGCAATCTAATGCGATACAAAAATGTGATAATAAAACAGCTTTAAAATAAGCAATCTACATCAAATAAAGTAACATTCAACAATCATTAGAATAGTATAGAATGATATCAGCATATAAAAATTAAACAGAAACCCACTCTTAACAATTACAACAAATAATTTCCAAACTACAATCAATAAAACAACGGCAAGCCCCAGTGCATAAAATAATACAATACAAATTGAGAAGCAGAGACTGGAGGCTGAGGCGAGGCAGGTGGAAGGAGGTCTTGCCTGGTGGAGTCTCTCCCCTCACCTTGGCAGGAGCGGCGGGGGTCTCCAAAAGGGCAGGCAGGAGCCCCACACAGGGCTAGCTCAGTCCGTGGAGCACGAGACTCCGAATCTCAGAGTTGTGGGTTTGAGTCCCGTGCTGGACAAGAAGATTCCTGCATTGCAGGGGGGTGGGATTGGTGATGACCCTCGTTGTCCCTTCCAACTCTTATGGCCCTCTCATGCCATCCCTCTGAGATGGAAGCCCCAGAGAGTCGGGGGGGGGGACAGAACCCCCACGGAGGTCCCTTCTCCAAGGTGGCACCAAGAAGATTGCAAGCAGGCATCCTTCAAAGGGCACAGCCGGTTCATGTCCCTGATGAACCAGGCCCCTTACGGGGTGGGGAACGTCCTCCTGACGTCTGCCCCCTTTCTGTCCCTTAAAAGCTCCTGCTGTTTGCCTCCCCCTTGCCCCCCCCGGCGTGGGAAGGGGCGGCAGGTGCCTCAGGAGCCCCTTGTATTTCAATTAATTGATTGTGATTTTATGTAAACTGTGTTACTTTTGCTGTTGTTGGCCGCTCTGAGCCTGGCTTCGGCTGGGGAGGGTGGGATATAAATAAAATTTTATTATTATATTATTACTATTAGTGGTGGACCAGCCACCCCATGGACTCCCTTTTCTCTCTCTTGGTCATCTGCAGGAGGGTCATCTGTGGACCCAACGCCATCGACGTCGAGATCGCGCCCGTCTGGAAGCTGCTCTTCAAAGAGGTGTTTCTTCCTGCCAGGAGGCAGCTATCTCTGTTTATCTATATCTATCTTGCTGCAAATACTCTTATCTTTTTTTTGTACAGTGGTACCTTGGTTCCCAAACTCAATCTGTTCCAAGAGTTCGTTCCAAAACCGAAGCGTTCCAAAACCAAGGCACGCTTTCCCATAGAAAGTAATGCAAAATGGATTAATCCATTCCAGACTTTTAAAAACAACACCTAAAACAGCAATTGAACATGAGTTTTACTCTCTTGCAAGACCATTGATCCATAAAATGAAAGCAATAATCAATGTACTGTGCTATAAAATAAATAAGACAGTATTGCAGATGATAAAAATTAAAATTAAATTTTTTTTCTTACCTGCACCGATGATAGTCATTGTTTGGATGGGGGGCTTTTATCCATTTCCGCAGTGACACAATCAATCAGTCTACTGAACTGGGTTCCACACAGTCACAAAAACTGAAAAAGCCTCAAAAAGAAAAACACAAAATAAATAGCAAAGCCAAAAGCGCCAAATACAATGGTACCTTGGTTCTCGAACTTAATCCGTTCCCGAAGTCTGTTTGACTTCTGAAATGTTTGAAAACCAAGGCGTGGCTTCTGATTGGTGCAGGTGCCCCGGGAAACAAGAGCCAACAGCTGCATTGGTAGTTTGGCTTCTGAAAAACATTTGAAAACTGGAACACTTAATTCCGGGTTTTCAGAACCAAGGCTTTTGAGAACCAAGGTACCACTGTAAAACACTTTGAGAGGGTTTTTGCTTTGTTTTTTTACAATCAAGTGGTGTATAAATCTTTGCAAAATGTTATGTTCTTTATTTATTCTTTATTAAATTTATGTATTTATGTAAATTTATGTAAATTTATGGTGTTGGAGGAGACTCTTGAGAGTCCCATGGACTGCAAGAAGATCCAACCTCTCCATTCTGAAGGAAATCAGCCCTGAGTGCTCACTGGAAGGACAGATCCTGAAGCTGAGGCTCCAAGACTTTGGCCACCTCATGAGAAGAGAAGACTCCCTGGAAAAGACCCTGATGTTGGGAAAGATGGAGGGCACAAGGAGAAGGGGACGACAGAGGACGAGATGGCTGGACGGTGTCATAGAAGCTACCAGCATGAGTTTGACCAAACTGCGGGAGGCAGTGGAAGACAGGAGTGCCTGGCGTGCTCTGGTCCAGGGGGTCACGAAGAGGCGGACACGACTAAACGACCAAACAACAACAAAAATTTATGTACTGTACCTCCCCATCACAGGGCGGTTTACGGTATCAAGGCCCATGAATGCAGAATATAATAGGCAGCTGAAGAATCATCCTCTCCTGCCTCTTTCGTTGAGGTCCTCCTTGGCTCCTGCTGGTTGGGCCCTGTTAGCTTCTCCCATCTCCAGGGTGACGCTGCCCTGCCGGGAAGCCAAGGCAGGCAGATTAGCCCTTTAATCAACAAGAGATTTAGCCTGCTCCCGCCAGAACATCCTGCTCTCGCTCCAGCGGCCAGTCCTGCCACCATCATCATTCGGAATTTGGAGATTTTGGGAACTGACCGAGAGCCAAGTCGGTCTCATGAAAGCCTGGCTCGCAAAGAGGCCTCCGGGGAGGAATTAGGCCCCCCATGCTGGGCCAAATGGGAGGTGGGAGGGGCGGCCTTTTCTGAGTCATGGTTGGACCAAAGGAGGGGGGAGGAATTTTCCAGGGGGCAGGGATGCTGAGCCTCAGTGGGGCACCCCAGAAGTTGCCCATCTCCCATCAGCCCCAGGAAGATGCCAGCATGGCCAGGGGTCAGGGAGGGGGAGAAGGAGAGGAGTTGGAGCCCCCCACCCACCCAAGGATCTTGACTTTTCTGCAGGGCAGAAAGATTCAGAGACTCCCCATTTCCTTCCCCTCCAAACCACCAGCCCAGCCCTCTGAAAAGCACCCTAGTTTCTGGTTCCCCCACATCTGTTTCTTTATTTTATTTAGTTCATCAAATTTATATACCACTTGATTGCAAAACAACAACAACAACCACCCTCAAAGCAGTTTACCAAAAGTTTAAGCGATCAAAATCCAGAGAAAGGGCTTGCATGCCAGAGAGAAGGTTTTGCTTGGGCTAGTTTTGTATCGCTAAGAGAGCGCCGCCAATGCGTTCAGGATGGGGCAAGGCTCCTGTTCTTGGTGTGGCCAAGGGGCACAAGGGGTGGGTCGTGGCAGAAAGCCGCCTGTGAGTGCCCCTCACCCAGCCTCCCCTCTCTTTTCTGTTGCTGGGCAGGTGCTGAACCCGTTCTACGTCTTCCAGCTGTTCAGTGTCTGCCTGTGGTTTGCGGAGGAATACATTGAGTACTCTGTGGCCATCATCCTCATGTCTCTGCTCTCCATCTCTCTCACCGTGTACGACCTCAGGAAGGTGAGCAGGAGGGAGGGGTCTCGCCCAGGTAGGCGGGGTGGGGGGGTGGGCACCTCATCGACCTCAGGCCATGCCGGATTTAAAGGTAAAGGGACCCCTGACCATTAGGTCCAGTCGTGAACGACTCTGGGGCTGCGGCGCTCATCTTGCTTTCTTGGCTGAGGGAGCCGGCGTACAGCTTCCGGGTCATGTGGCCAGCATAACTAAGCCGCTTCTGGTGAAACCAGAGCAGCGCACGGAAACGCCGTTTACCTTCCCACCGGAGCGGTACCTATTTATCTACTTGCACTTTGACGTGCTTTCAAACTGCTAGGTTGGCAGGAGCAGGGACCGAGCAACAGGAGCTCACCCCGTCGCGGGGATTCGAACCGACCTTCTGATCGGCAAGTTCTAGGCTCTGTGATTTAACCCACAGCACCACCCACATCCCTAGCGCTTTAGCTCATGCCCCCCCCATGCTTTAACTCACGGCCCCACTCTCTTGCCCCCCCCAAAAAAAATTAAAGGAAAAAAAAGCTGAATGTACATTTCCAAAATATAAGATAAAAAACAAATAAAATGAAACCCGCGTACAGTAGCCATGTTTTGTGTTGTGTAGGCTCCTATGATGTAAGTCATGGGCCCCACCTGCTAGCCTGGTCCCTGCAGGATCTGATCACAAGAGCAGGACTCTTCCCTCCTGTGGTTTCCAGCAACTGGGATTCAGAAGCACGACTGCCTCCAACTGGGAAGAGAGTGTGGCCAGCAGCCATCCATAGCCCTCTCCCCCTTCATGAATTTGCCCAGTCCTCTTTGACAGCCATCCAAGTTGCTGGCTGTCTCTGCCTCCAGTGGGAGGGAGTTCCACAGTTTAACTCTGTGCTGTGCGAAGAAGACTTTGCAGCTGGAATCCTGCGAGGTCGGAAAGGCCCCTTCAAAGCAGGGAGCTGACCTGCCTACAGCTGCTGCCTGGGCTGTAAACTGGTTGGCTGGGATACCAATCCTGTTCCCTTTCCTGGCGCTGGAAGCGCATCAGGGAAACGAGGGCCGGGGGCCATTGGGCGGCTCTTGGCTGCTTCCCAGAGAGATGCACCTCTTTTCTTTCCATGCCCACAGCAATCCGTGAAGCTGCACCGGCTGGTGGAATCCCACAATGGCGTCCTGGTCAAGGTCCTCAGGAAGGAAACCGGTGAGCCCAGGACCAGGGCAGGTCCCTCTCCCTGCTGTCTGCTGCATCGCTCTGGCCAGGGAGGGTCCGGATCTCCTCTCCTCCTCCCTTCTCTGCCTTCCCTCCACCTCCACTGCAGCCCAGGAGTTGGAAGGGATCCCCAAAGGTCCTCTAGTCCAGCCCTCTGCAAGGCAGGAATCGTGGCTGAGGGTGAGGTGCGGAAGGGAACTGTCTTATGTGGGAATGTTGTAGATACTAGGAGAGGATACAGCGGAACCTCGGGTTACAGACGCTTCAGGTTACAGACTCTGCTATCCCAGAAATAGTACAGTCATACCTTGGGTTAAATGTGCTTCAGGTTGAGCGTTTTCAGGCTACGCTCCACAGCGACCCGGAAGTAACGGAGCATGTTACTTCTGGGTTTCGCCACTTGCGCATGCGCAGACGATCAAAATGATGTCACGAGCATGCACGGAAGCGGCGAATCGCGACCCACGCATACGTGGGTTGCATTCGCTTCAGGATGCAAACGGGGCTCCGGAACGGATCCTGTTCGCATTCAGAGGTACCACTGTACCGCGGGTTAAGAACTTTGCTTCAGGGTGAGAACAGAAATTGTGCTCCAGCGGCGTGGCAGCAGCAGGAGGCCCCATTAGCTAAAGTGGTGCTTCTGGTTAAGAACAGTTTCAGGTTAAGAACGGACCTCCGGAATGAATTAAGTACTTAACCTGAGGTACCACTGTATATTGATTTAATAGTATCCTTCCTCTTTCACGCTTGTGAGTCAACAGCAGAGTGCATTCCCCAAAACACACAGCAGTGGAGGAAGCTGCAAGGGCGCCTGGGGCGGAGCGCCCAGGGGCAGAGCGAGCCACCCATGGGGCGGGGCGCACTGCGGGGCCTCTGGAGTCTGCCTGCCTCCTCCCACTCAGCCACCCTATAGTTGTAAACTATATGCTGATCTTGGTCAGCAATTTTTGGATCAACTCTGTATCCCCAAATGGAAACCAGAGTCAGAGGTCATACATTTTCCATCACTGGGGAATGATCAGGAGCTCACCAAGTTAGTGGCTAAATATCTCTCTTTGGTTTTTTTGTCGTTGAAATACACTGCAGACGTCTGATCTCCCTGGAGACCTAGAGATGTGATGATAGACTGCTCTGCCTCCTTTCTTTTAGCAAATGTTTTGTGCCACTGGGGAAGTGGGAATTCTGTATTGATCTGTTTTGGATGTTTGAATGTTATGCCAATAAAAGGTTTGATGATGATCTACCTGGACACATGCAGCGGAGGATGCTCCAGACCAGCTGTAACAGGAAGTTCAACTGCCTGGACAAACATCCCCCTGTCTGTGTCCACTCTACGCAAACAAGGAATGTTGTATTTGGCTGCTCCAATGGATTACCTCCCACATTTTAATGCACCTTCCCTCTCCACCTGGCCCTTGAGATGGGTGTTTCTGTTTGCCCATCTGCTCAGCTCCAAGGAAAGGAACGCTTTGTCTTTGTTTAGGTAGGACAAGGGAGTAAAGTCAGTAAAGGACTGGGACATTTGCAGGGAAACCAAAATGCTTGTTTACAAAGCTATTGTACTTCCCACCTTACTATATGCTTGTGAAACATGGACCACTTCTAAACGCCATCTCCAAATCCTCGAAAGAATCCATCAAGGGGGTCGCCAAAAAATTTTACACATCACTTGGGAAGACAGGCAAACTAATACCAGTGTACTGGAAGAAGCAAAGATCACCAGTGTTGAAGCAATGATTCTTCAACATCAACTTCGCTGGACTGGTCATGTTGTGCAGATGCCTGATGATCGTCTTCCAAAGCAACTCCTCTATTCCAAACTTTAAAATGGAAAGCGTAATGCTGGTGGTCAACAAAAGAGATTTAAATACAGTCTCAAGGCAAATCTAAAAAAATGTAGCATAAACACCAACAACTGGGAAACACTGGCCTGCGAACGCTCCAATTGGAGAACAGCCTTGACCAAAGGCGTCATGGGCTTTGAAGACACTCGAACCCAGGACGCAAGGGGGAAACGTGCCAAGAGGAAGGCACGCTTGGCAAATCCACACCGTGATCAACTTCTGTCCGGAAACCAATGTCCCCACTGTGGAAGGGCGTGTGGATCCAGAATTGGCCTCCACAGTCACTTATGGACTCACTTTTAAAACTGTGTTCATGGAAGACAATCTTACTCAGCTACAAGGGATTGCCAAAGAAGAAGGAAGAAGGACAACGGAGGCTCCACTGTTCAGTTAGGGCAGGTGCTGCTACACTAAAAGATCAATTTCCTCCAAATGATTAACCATGGAACCGGAGACCTGATCCAACGCCCAGGGAGAAGCCCAGTTGCTGCTGCCTGATTTTAAGCGGAAAAACCTGAGGTTCCGAATGCCAGAGGAAATGTACTGATGTGCTAAATGCTTCGGTGGTTCTTTGTTTAAATTCACTGGTCCTTCCTGTGCGAGGAGCTCATGTTGGCAGGGGACCCGGGTTCTAATCCTTGCAGCTGCCTCAGGGCTGTTAGCAGAAGCTGCTAGTTGGCTAAGGGTGCTGGGAATTGTGGCTCGGGTATGTGTGTTAAACTACAGTTCCCTGGATTCCCAGAGTGGTGGGGAATGGGGAATATGCTTTAGACGTGTGGGGTGTGTGCAGCCCGAATCCAGAAAGTGTGGGGCATGGCAGACTTTCCTGAGTCACCAAGAGGGTTGGGTGAAGCTGGCACAGTAAGGATGCATTAAATAACAGTTTGCAGACCAAGTCCTCATGTGGAAGCAGGGAGGGGCATTTCTGGTTTCTCTCCGTTTCTCCATTTCCCACATTTCTGCATCAGTGAATAGCACATCAGTATGCAATTTTGCCCAACGCACATTTCTGTATGTTGCTTTGACTACTATATGCACTTTTTGAGCACACATTACCCAAGCCTGAGCCATTTAAGGCTTTAAACACGAACGGGAGCACCTTGGATTGGGTGCCGAAATGAACTGGCAGCTGTTTTGAAGGGGGTGTTATACAACATCTAAATTAACTTCAAGTGGAATAAAACTCTTGTCCCTCTAGTGCAAGAAATCTTCCTTTTGCAGCTAGGAAAGTAATGGGGAAATGCACGGAAAAGTGTGTGATGCACAAACAATTACAGTGGTACCTCGGGTTACAGACGCTTCAGGTTACATACACTTCAGGTTACAGACTCCGCTAACCCAGAAATAGTGCTTCAGGTTAAGAATTTTGCTTCAGGATAAGAACAGAAATCGGGCTCTGGCGGTGCGGCAGCAGCAGGAGGCCCCATTAGCTAAAGTGGTGCTTCAGGTTAAGAACAGTTTCAGGTTAAGAACGGACCTCCGGAATGAATTAAGTACTTAAACCAAGATACCACTGTAACAGGAAGACGTCCAGTCACCCCACAAGAGAATTGGGGTGAATGCAGGGGGGGAGAAGGGGCTCCTGCCCCACAGCTTCTACTCACTCCTCTTGATGTTCCAGAGAAACCTTTGCCTCTCTCCACTCCAACCAGGTGTCCAAGAGGTGGAATCTCGCCATCTGGTGCCCGGAGACACCCTGGTTTTGGGAGGGGGCAGGAGCCTGTTGCCCTGTGACGCTGTCCTGATCCATGGCCAGTGCGTTGTGAACGAAGCCATGCTGACAGGTGAGGAGGAGGAGGGTGGTGTTCCCTTGTGCGGCTGAGGGATGCTCCCAGGGGCAAGGGTGCCATGCCTGGGTGAAGGTGCCCAGGGAAAGTGGCAGCCCCAGAGCCAAGCGCCAGGAGCCAGACTCAGCAGCACAGGAAGAGGCAGAAGCTGCCACAAAATCGGGGCCGGATTGAGGTTGAACGCGGCCCTCAGCTCTGAAGCTAATTGGGTCCTTTACATGTCCAGCTGTCCTTTGTCAACAACAAATTGTCGCTGTTTCTTTCATTTTGAATATATGCTATATGGTAATTGATGGACCTCATAGGTATCTCAGGCCATTTGCACATCACAAAATATGTATTTTATCAAAGCAATTGTTGAACTGAAATACAGTTAAGAAGAAGTCTATTAATGGTGAAATAATTATTAAGTTTTAACTTAAAATGATTTTTTATTCATAACTAACTTAACATTGGCATTTGGCAATAACAAAAGTTCCTTTAGAAACGCAGTTTACAAAGACTCATAAACTAGTCTCTAGAAACGTGCTATAACATGAAATAATAATAGGTGTAAATATATGATTCAAACTACTAATAATTAAAAATTGCAGAATGTAGGCACCCTATATATAGAAAGGAGCAAACCAGGGATATTTGAGGGAGCAGGCGAGCAGGCGGGGCCCCTGACTTACATCATAGGAGCCGACACGACACAAAACACAGTTGCTGTACGTAGCTTTTATTTTATTTGGTTTTTTTTTATATTTTGGAAATGTGCATCCAGTTTTTTCCTTTACATTTTTTGGGGCCCCCCCCAAGAGACTGGGGCCCTAAGCTAGAGCTTGTTGAGCTTATACGTAAATCCAGCACTGCACAGAATCCTAGAACTGGGAAGGGATTCCCAGAGGTCCTCTAATCCTCCCCATTGCCTCTTTAATGCAAGTCTGCTCTCCTCCAGGAGAGAGCATCCCAGTCACAAAGACCTGCTTGCCCGGGGACGACCAGGACAGCGGCCGGCCTTGGCGAGAGAGCTGTGCGGAGGATTTCCGGAGACACCTTCTTTTCTGTGGGACGGAGGTCATCCAAGCCAAGGGTCCAGTGAGAGCCGTCGTTCTGCGGACCGGTGGGTGACAGCATTGGCCGGGAGCAGGGCATTGGGGGGAGGCGGGGGAGGGGACTTCTGCCCCATTTGCTGAGCGTCACCCTGTCACCTCCTGAATTGTAGAACTGTAGAGTTGAGAGGGGCCCCCAGAGGCCATCCATCCCAACCCCCGGCAATGCAGGAATCGCAGCTCAGGAATCCCTGATGGGGGACCACCCAGCCATCTCGTTCCCTCTCTCCTCCATCCCTAAGGTCAGTGCAGAGAGGCCTCTGGGTTGGCCCAGTCCAGGCACCAGATCTGAACTGGGAGGGCACGGGGGCGCTTCTCCCAGATGAGCCAGGGGGGCTCTGGAGTGGCTTCAGGGCTTTGCAGAATCCGACCCCCCCCCCGGACATGCTCTCTTCACCTGTGCAAGGTGAATGGCATCATTTTTACCCCATGTGCCCCTCCCCTTCGCCTGAGCACATGGTGGAGTCCTGGGTTGCGGTCTACAAAGAGGGAAGGGGGTGAGATTCTGCTCTCCAGCAAGCTTCCTAGCCCAATCCATACAGGGGGAGCCAAAAGGAAGACAACTAGTCAAGGTTTATTTATGTCATTCATCTACAAAAATATTTATATGCTGCTAGTTCACAGTGGGGACGGGACGTGGGTGGCGCTGTGGTCTAAGCCACTGAACCTCTTGGGCTTGCCGATCAGAAGGTCGGCGGTTCAAATCCCCGCAACAGGGTGAGCTCCCGTTGCTCGGTCCCTACTCCTGTCCACCTAGCAGTTCGAAAGCACGTCAAAGTGCAAGTAGATAAATAGGTACCGCTCCAGCGGGAAGGTAAACGGCATTTCCGTACGCTGCTCTGGTTCGCCAGAAGCGGCTTAGTCATGCTGGCCTCATGACCCGGAAGCTGTACGCCGGCTCTCTCGGCCAATAAAGCGAGATGAGCGCCACAACCCCAGAGTTGTCTGTGACTGGACTTAACTGTCCAGGGGTACCTTTACCTTTTACCTTAGTTCACAGGGGAGAAAAAGAAAAGTGAGTCACAGTATTTATTGCATAAAGGCATATAGCAAAAACCGTATTTAAAAAAATAATAATTAACCATCAATTAACCATTCAGAGAAACCAAGCCTCCACTATCTCCATATTCCACTTCTCATCTTCTGCCCTGAACCCTCACTTCGGGAACTGCAGCCCCAAACTCCCAAGCCTTCCCTAACCCCACCCTGAGCCCAGCCCCACATTTAGGGACTTGTAACTCAGAGCTGTTGGGCGTTGAGGCTCCCCTTTTGCTGTTTGCATTTTGGGTGCCATCCCACAGGAGGCAGCAACAGCCACTCATCTTGATGGCTTTAGAAAAGGATTGTGCAAATTCATGGAGGAAGAGAAGACTAGCCAGGATGGCTGTTGGTCTGCCCTCAGATATTATTACATTGCATCACATTATTATATGAGGCGGTCATGCTTCTGAATCCTGGGGGAATGTTCAGGGGGGCAGGAGAGGATATATTGTTTATTAATACCCTTCCTAACTTGCACTAGCAAGATCCTTTACTTAGCAAAGTTTACATTCCCCTCCTTACACGCGCAGCAGATAGCTGGTTGCAGGTCGTGTGAGCCTCTCACTATTATACAATTCAGTCTGTCTCAGATTGAATTGTATGTTCCTGGTATGTTCCCTTGAATCCCTCTTAAAATAATGATGATGATGATGATGATGATGATGATAATTCATTATTTATACCCCGCCCATCTGGCTGAGTTTCCCCAGCCACTCTGGGCGGCTCCCAATTGAGTGATAAAAACAACACAGCATTAAATATTAAAATCTTCCCTGAACAGGGCTGCCTTCAGATGTCTTTTCAAGATAGCATAGCTGCTTATTTCCTTGACATCTGATGGGAGGGCGTTCCACAGGGCGGGCGCCACTACTGAGAAGGCCCTCTGCCTGGTTCTCTGTAACCTCGCTTCTCGCAGGGAGGGAACCGCCAGAAGGCCCTCGGAGCTGGACCTCAGTGTCCGGGTAGAACGATGGGGGTGGAGACGCTCCTTCAGGTCTACTGGGCCGGGGTCATTTAAAGCTTTCAAGGTCAGCACCAACACTTTGAATGCGACAATCTTATTCAAAATCAATAAAAGAAGTTTACTCACATCAGTTCACAGTTGGATTCCTGAAGGCAGACTTAGTTACAAATATGTACGTGTGGATCTACCCCATATGGGGGAATAATCCCAGTGCTTTTGCTAACTGAGAGCTAGCAGAGCAGTCCTAGCTAGAAGCTGGTCAAACAAAGAAGGAAGTCAAAAAGAGAGGGAATTGCTGCTTGACTTGTCCTTTTGTTACCTGGACAGGTAAGGTCAAGCCCACCTTTAGTCACATGCAAAGCAAGGATGTTCCAGCCAGGAGGAACAGGAAGTTTCGACCGGCTGGACCAAACATTCCCTCGCATGTCTGCTCTAGCATTACAAAGAATGTTGTACTTGACTGCCTCTCATGGATCACATCCCACAAATCCCAGTTGCTGGAAAACAAAGGCGGGGAGAGTTGTCCTTGTGCTCAGATCCTGCCTTCAGGTTTTCCCCACTGGGGCATCTGCTCGGCCACTGTGAGAGCAGGGTGCTGGACGGTGTGGGCCACTGGCCTCATCCAGCCCAGGCTCTTCTCAGCTTCTCCTGCTCTGCCTTCCAGGTTTCAACACAGCGAAAGGCGACCTGGTGAGGTCCATTCTGTACCCAAAGCCCCTGAATTTCCGCCTCTACAGGGACGGCATCCGCTTCCTCCTCTGCCTCATTGGGATCGCGGCCGTCGGGATGGTCTATGCCGTCTGCGTCTTTGTCCTCAACGGGGTGAGCGGTTGGCGCCCAAAGAGTGGATCTCCCATGGGATCCTCCAGGGGGAGGGGAGAACCCTGCTCAGAAACCCCTCCCTTCAGAAACCAGGGAGACACTCTTTGCGCAGATGTGACACACACACACACACACACACACACAATTTTTATTTATTTTCCATTTAATATTATACATTCACATCATTATTATCTACTTTTCCTCCCTGGCTCTTTAGAGCCTATCAACCTCCTTCCCTTCGGCCTCAGGGCTTTCAAAATTAACCCTTATATCACTGCATTTTATACGTTTTCCAGTTCTAATTACACTCATTACAAAATGGCTCAAAATTTAAATAAAGGTAGAGAGATAGAAAATTTCTCATTGCAAGTCTTCAGACACCCCTGCTGGTGATGTTAATTGCTTAAATAATAATAATAATAATAATAATAATAATAATAATAACAATTTATTATTTATACCCCGCCCATCTGGCTGGGCTTTCCCAGCCACTCTGGGCAGCTTCCAAAAAAATATTAAAATACTGTAATACATCAAACATTAAAAGCTTCCCTAAACAGGGCTGCCTTCAGATGTCTTCTAAAAGTTTGGTAGTTGTTTTTCTTTGACATCTGATGGCAAGGCGTTCCACAGGGCGGGTGCCACTACCGAGAAGGCCCTCTGCCTGCTTCCCTGCAACCTCGCTTCTCGCAGGGAGGGAACCGCCACAAGGCCCTCGGAGCTGGACCTCAGTGTCCAGGCTGAACAATGGGGGTGGAGACGCTCCTTCAGATATACTGAAATATCTTTCAGAAATTTACTGCAATCCTTTTGGAATACTTGATCATGTTGGTTTGGGATTTTTCCCGTCAGCTTCACCAGTTCTGGAAAGTGCGTCATCTTCATCTAGATGTGACGGCTGAGCATTTTGCATCGTGGCCGTTTTGACATTTTGGTTTTAGTACTTTTCCGGCAGCACCATGTTGCTGGTTTCTCTGAGACGCCTGAAAGTTCATCAGAATCTCATATTAAAATGAAGGCAGGACACTTTTATTTTTCCAAACACATTCCAACTTTTGCCCATGTGGCCATTTCCCTTTTCCCTCTGTTCCTTGTATTTGTTGATCCCCTAAACAGTGTCACGCCATATGTGGTGGACTTGTAAAAGGGTAAAAGAGTATTGGGAAATGATCCATAATGAATCGAAAAAAAATGTTTAAAAGTACTTTCCCCAATAAACCCAGAGTCCTTTCTGTTGGGGATAATTCAGACTGAAATTCCTAGGTGTCAAAAAAGGTTATTTATGTGTGCTACCACTGAAGCCCGTGTTTTGTTTTGTTGGCCCCCAAAATGTAAATTGAGCCAGGTCCCAACCAAAGAAGTGTGGCAACTTAAACTGAAAGAATATGCACAACTCGCAGACTTAACATATAGAATAAGGGAACCAGAAGAACATATGTTTAGAGAAGATTGGAAAATGTTTATTGAATATATGGGAAATAAGTGTGTATAGCTGAAAATGTTGGCAGCATTAAGATAAATTCAACAGTGTAAAAATTTTTTGACGGATGCAATAATGGAATACTGAATGGTCTAGTTTCTGTGAAATATGCTGGGATTTATGATATGTAAAATGAACGACGGAAAGAGAAGAAGGGAAGTCATTGATAACTTAAGGATGTAAAATGAGTATTTTAAATTGTAAAACAGAAATATATATATATATAGCATGTCACTGCCAGTGTCTACTGGGGGCCCCTGAATTTTGAACCCTCTACTTGGGGGCTGCCTTCTTGGTTGGTATCATTAGGACTGTTTTTTTGTTGGTTAGTTTTTGTTACTATTATTATTATTATTATTATTATTCTTGCTGTGGAAGCAGAGCATAGCCATTGAGGCTGGTAGGAGCCATGGGTTTCACGTGGCCTTTCCAACCTGCCCTGCTGCTCCGGGTGCTAATTCTGCTCCCTTCCCTGAGCCAGGAGGAGGCTGGCGAGGTGGTGAAGAAGGCGCTGGACGTGATCACCATTGCGGTCCCTCCCGCCCTGCCGGCTGCGCTGACCACGGGGATCATTTACACCCAGAGGCGGCTGAAGAAAAAAGGGATCTTCTGTATCAGCCCCCAGAGGATCAATGTGTGCGGCCAGCTGAACCTCATCTGCTTCGACAAGGTGCGCGGGGAGGGGAGCCCGGCAGCCCGGCAGGGGAGTCAGCAGGGAGAGGAAGCCCCCTTGGCCTGGAGGATTTCGGGGGTCTTCAAGGCTCTTGGCTTTGCTGATGGGAAGCCGCAGAACGTTCACAAGCAGTCCAGGTATGGCCACCCCAGCCTAGTGCCACACCCTCCTTCCGTCCAGCGTCCAGTCAGATGCTTTTGGGGTGCAAATCTGAATTCCGACTGGTCTTCAGAGCTGCAGTGCTCCTGGAGGAGAATATTTCTTCCCAGTTTGAGACTGGTAGTATAGTCATATCTCATGTTACGTCTGCTTCATGTTACGTTCTTTCAGGTTACGTCCTGCGGCGACCCGGAAGTACCAGAAAGGGTTACTTTCGGATTTCACTGCTCGCGTATGCGCAGAAGAGGTGAATCGCAACCTGCGCGTGCGCAGATGCGCCGTTGCGGGTTGCGCTCTTTTCACTTTGCGAACGGGCCTCCGGAACGGATCCCGTTCGCCACCAGAGGTACCACTGTAGTAGCAGTATTTCATTTCTATCCCGCTTTATATTTTTCAGAAAAACCTAAAAGTGGTTTGCAGCATATTAAAACATCCATAAAACATTCTGAAGAAAGTCAAATATAGAGCGTACAGTCAAAGCAACATAATTCAGAGAAAATTAAATAGTAAAGATTTCAAAATAAAACATTACAAGGGAGGTCAACATGTTTAACACAAACAAAGTTAACCAAAATAAACTTAAACGTTTCAAAAAAAGCCACACACACCACATTGCTAAGTGAAGTCAAATATAAAATGCACATTTCAAACAGTGCATCGTATTTTTCGCTCCATAAGACACACTTGACCATAAGACGCCTCTAGTTTTTAGAGGGGGAATGCAAGAAAAAAAAAATTCTTTAAAGGGAGCGCAGAGCAGAGGCTGTATGCATCCCAGGCTCCGCTCAGCGCTCCCTTTCACAAGCCGTGTGGAGCATGTGTTTGGCTCTTGCAGGCTTTTCCGGGAGGTGGGGGAAGGGACAGACCTGCGCGCTCTATCCCTTCTCCCATCTCCCGCAAAAGCCAGCAAGAGCTGTGTGCTCTTTAAAGGGAGCATGGCTCTTGGGGGCTTTTCCGGGAGGTGGGGGAAGGGACAGAGGGGCTAAGCCAGAAGCTAGAACAGCAAGAGGGAGCGATGCGCAGCACTCCCTCTTGCTGTTCTGGCTTCTGGGATAGCCGCGCAAAGCCTCCTCAGGGCAGCCGGATGAAGGCTCCCCGTGCCCTGAAGAGGCTTCTCGTGGCTAAGCCAGAAGCTAGAACAGCAAGTGAGAGTGCTGCGCAGCAATCCCTCTCACTGTTCTGGCTTCTGGGATAGCCACACAGCCTGCATTCGCTCCATAAGATGCACACACATTTCCCCTTTTTAGGAGGGAAAAAGTGCGTCTTATAGAGCGAAAAATACGGTAATTGACTATGAAGCTAAACCACGCTTGCTCTCAGCCTCTGCCCTGCGTCCGAAGGAGCACAGCACCCAAGGGAGAAGGGGCCCTTGAGCGCCAAGTGGGAAGCCCTCTAGGAGCCCGGGAGTGGGGTGGGGTTACCTCCATGCTGAGCTCTGTTGATGAGGCCCCTGACCCCCCAAGGAAGGTCCCCAGGCCAGCTGCCCTTTCCCCCATGGCTCCTCTTCCTCCTCCTCCAGCTTCAGGTCTTGCAATGCCTTGTTTTGTCCTTGCCTGCCATCCTGGCACCTCTGACCAATTCCCCTGCCCCTCCCCAGACTGGCACCTTAACTGAAGACGGACTGGATCTCTGGGGGCTGGTCCTGGCCAAAGGAAAGAGGTACCTGCCTGTCTTGTATTTCCACAAAAGAAAACTCCCTGTGTTGCCAAACAGAACACACTGAACAACAACAAGCAACACGTCAGCTAATAATATACTGACAGTATTTTTTATAACACTACAGTGGACCCTCTAGGTTACGTACCGCTCTGGATACATAACTTTCGGGTTATGAATGCGGCAAACCTGGAAGTGTATACTTGGGGTTTTGCCCTGCGAGCATGCGCAGAAGTGCTCAGCACACCGCATGCATGCGCAGAAGTGCTCAGCACCCCGCATGCATGCGCAGAAGCGCTCAATCATGCCACACACGTGCGCAGAAGGGGTTCCTCTGCCTACGGACTTTTCGGGTTGCAGACGGACCCCTGGAATGAATTGAATTCGTATCCAGAGGGTCCATTGTTTCAAAATTCATACACAGAAGATGTATAATATGTGCATGGAGTCACAAACGAATAAGGGTCAAATCAATGTTCCATGAACAGGAATGGCAGGAGTGGGAAGTCACTGTCAAAGATCACTGCAATGGAGGCAGAAGGCCTTTCCACAGTCAATGTCCTACAAACGTGAGATGATGGGTCGCAATAGGGTGCTCCGAGCACAGCAGCAGACAGGACAGGTCTTCCAGGATAATGAACTGTTTCAATGATAATTCTCCATCTGTTAGCAATAATATAAAATGAAATCCATTATGTTCAAATACAATACAGTCATACCTTGGGTTACAGATGCTTCAGGTTGCGTTTTTTCGGGTTGCAGACCGCCGAAACCCAGAACTACCAGAACGGGTTACTTTCAAGTTTCGGCGGTCACTCATGCGCACAAGCGCTAAATCACACTTTGCACATGTGCAGAAGTGTCGAATCACAACCCACATGTGCGCAGACGTGCTGCTGTGGGTTGTGAACGCTGTGAGTTGTGAACGTGCATCCCTCACGGATCACGTTCGCAACCCGAACGTCCACTGTACTGAGATTGAAATGTCAGTATATTATTAGCCGACATGTTGCTTGTTGTCGTCTCATATTTCCACGCAGCTCTTCAGTTTCCAGGGTGGTTTAGAATGACTAATAATACGCTGCGCTGTGCTACGGTTCCTACATTGCGGGGGTTGGACTGGATGACCCTGGGGGCCCCTTCTAGCTGGACGGTTCTGTGATTCTTGACTTGAAGACTTTTTGCAGGCTCAGAAACACCCCTGGGCCGTCCTTGTCCAAGGCAGCTGTTGGGCCGGTCCCTCTGGGCACCCTGCTTGCCTCATGCCGCCTGCTCTCCTCTCTCCCCGCAGCTTCCAGGCTGCCCACTGCCTCTCCTCCGGCCCCCCGCTGCCCTGGGGCCTGGCGTGCGGAGCCATGGCCAGCTGCCACTCCTTGGTGGTCCTGGACGGGAAGATCCAGGGAGATCCGCTGGACCTGAAGATGTTCGAGGCGACCGGCTGGGTGAAGCTCTCTCTTTGCTGTGCAGAAGCTCAGGGCTCGGGGGGGGGGAGTGTGCCAGCGCTGGGGGGGGGGGCCGTGGGGGTGGGAGCGCTGCTTGGCCGGGTGGGAAAGCAATTTGCACCCAGTTGCTTCTTCAGGAGAGCATCTCTCTGCCCTGCTCTCCCCTCCAAGGGCACAGGGATCACTTTTGGTAGAGACTGCTTTTCAGATAGCTCAGCCGGAAGAGCACGAGACTCTTATTATTATTTTTATATAGATTTTTATTAATTTTCAGCATATCACTTTCAACAGTAATTAAACATATTTTAACATCTTATACAATTTTTTTTTTACTTCCATCAATCTCATCTGAAAATTTTCCAATCTAATCACTAAATACTCATTTCCCACTTCCTCAATTACATTTAACTCATAACTGATATCACTATTCTTTCTCTAATTTGCAATGCTTCATACATTTCTCTTTACAAAGCTTCTTGTAGTCTACTAGCGTAATTTGTTGATTACAGTTGCTCTTCAAATAGTTCGTATATTTCTTCCAATCTTCTGTAAATCTCTGGTCCCGCAGGTCTCAAATCCTTCTTGTCATTTTATCTAATTCTGCATAGTCCATCAATTTTGTCTGCCATTCTTCTTTCGTCAAAATCTCTTCTTGCTTCCATTTCTGGGCTAACAATACGATTATGAGACTCTTAATCTCAGGGTTGTGGGGTTTGAGTCCCACATTGGACAAAATATTCCCTTTTTTAATATAAATAATTTTTATTAATTTTTCATTAATAACAATCCAATCTGGGCACATTAATACGATACCAAATCATGCTACAACCAAAAGAGCCAATTATTCAGTTCCAAATTAAATATTTTTGGATGATGACCCGTGTTCTGGTTATCAGGAGCTGATGTTATTCCTTGGTCCTGCTCCAATTCTGGACAAAAGATTCCTGCATTGCAGAGGGTCAGACTGGATGACCCTCGGGGTCCCTTCCAACTCTACAGTTCTAGGATTCTTGCCCCCCGTACCTTTTTTTGGCACCTGCTAAGTTTTTGTTCAGGCCAGGCCACCAGACAAAGGGAATGTGAATGTATGTTTTGACCTGTTTTTTATTGTCCATTGCAGATTTTATCTTTTGAATGTTGTTTTTACTTATCATTTTTCATTGTTTCATTCTCTTTGTAAACTGCTTTGATGTGTTTTGATCTTTTTACAACTGAGCGGCTTACAAATTTGGTGAAATAAATATGAATAGATAAATGTGAGGGATGAAGGCACCCCCTCCCCCCCAAAGTTCCCAGACTGATCATTTCATTCTTTTAAATCTGCTAGCTAACTTGTCGTTTAAATGAGTGCAAGCTACGTTAATCCTAACTGGGATCTGCTGTTGTTTTTAATTTGAATAAACAGGAAATTGAGGATTCCAGCAGAGAAGATGGAGAATGGGCAGGTGCCGTGATAGTCAGGCCAGGAGTCAAGGCCCAGCAGGTGAGCCCAGGTGTCTGTCACTCACCTTGGACAGGTAGAGTGGGGAGCGGGGAGGCAGATCAGGCAACTTGGTGACCCAGAAGTCCGTCTCCCTCCACTTCTGCATTCATCTGGGATTAATGAATCTCTTCCTGCCCAAGGAGAGGCAGCGACCAGCTCAAGGTCGCCCAGGGAGTTTCATAGCTGAGCAGGGATTCGAACTCAAGCCCAGCACTTTCACCACTGCCCTTGCTCTCCAGGTCCAGTCCTTTTCTAGATTTAAGTGCCCCCCGGTTGCTGTCAGGGGGGCTTCGGAGTGTGTGATTGTAATCGGGAAAACGCTCCGTGTGGGGGGGGTTTTGAATAACTCCCTCCTCCCGCGGTGCCACGGCCCCGATCCAAGTCGTGCCCCCTGCAGTTGCTCCAGGGCATAGCTGTCAACTTTTCCCTTTTCTTGCGAGGAATCCTATTCGGAATAAGGGAATTTCCCTTTAAAAAAGGGAAACGTTGACAGCTATGCTCCAGGACCCCTGCTGTCTGACCCCTGGGACCCCTGGCCAGGAGCCCCTCTCCCTCCTCGCTGCACCCGGTGCCCTGTTCCTCTTGCCTGTCTCCCCAGGGTGCTGCTGCCGTGGGCGGCTTGGCCATCTTGCGCCAGTTCCCGTTCTCTTCAGCCCTGCAGAGGATGTCCGTCGTCGCCCAGGAGTTTGGTGGGGAGCGCCGCGTCTACATGAAGGGGGCGCCCGAGAGAGTGGTCGGCTTCTGCTGGCCAGAGACAGGTGACCGACAGCTTTGCTGGCACTGCCCCTTCACCCCCCCCACCCCATGCCATTTGAGGGGTGGTCTTTGCGGAGAACCTCCTTCCGCAGGGCCTGTAAGACAGAGCTATTCCGCCTGGCTTTCAATTTGAACTTTTATTCCCCTTCCTTCCCTCCCCCTCCCCTTTTTATGAAGATTACCCGCTCTGGGATCCCACAGCTAATTCTCCCCTGGTCTCCTCGCTGGCCCAAATGGGACTAATTTAGCCAGCTAGCCCTGGTGATCATCTAATGTTTATTGGATGGATTTCCCCCCTAAATTGATTTTTGAATTCTGAATTTATTGTTATTCACGTTTTATACTGTATTTTATGCTGTTTTTTCTTGCATCAATTGTTTTAAATTTGTCGTTAGCTGCCCTGAGCCCGGTTTTCTGAACCCGGAAGGGCGGGGTATAAATAAAAAATTATAATTATTATTATCAAGGCCTCTCAGGACTGGGACTTGCCCCCCCTCCCTTGGCTAGCCGAATTTGGGGACCTGCCCTGAGCCAGGATCCTGCCCTGCCGTGGAGAGATGCTCTCCTTCTCAGCAGGCAGGAATGGAGGAGTGGAGAGGCTCTGGCCTCAAGCACTCTGCACATGGGCAGAAGGGTGTCTCAGGAAAGGCTTTGGGTCCCACCCCTGGGCAGCCCCCCAGTTCTGTGCAACCGCCTATGGCTTTGCTCTCCCTCCACAGTTAGAGGCAGCGATGATTCTGAATCTCAGTTGCTGGAAAGAGCAGGAGGGGAGATGTGCTCTTGTGCTCTGATCCTGCTCACAGGTTTCCCTCTGGGGCTCCTGGTTGGCCCCTGTGAGCAGGACCGGATTGAGGTTTGATGAGGCTCTCAGCTACTCAAGGTAATGGGGCCCTTAATATGTCCAGCTGTCCTTTGTCAACAACAAATTGGCACTGTTTTTTTGTGTTGAATATATGCTATATGGTAATTTATGGACCTCATAGGTATCTAAGCAATGACAAACCTAGACAGCATTTTAAAAACTAGAGACATCACCTTGCCAACAAAGGTCTGTATAGTTCAAGCCACGGTTTCCCCAGTAGTGATGTATGGAAGTGAGAGCTGGACCATAAAGAAGGCTGATCGCCGAAGAATGGATGCTTTTGAATTCTGGTGCTGGAGGAGACTCTGGAGAGTCCCATGGACTGCAAGAAGATCCAACCTCTCCATTCTGAGGGAAATCATCCCTGAGTGCTCACTGGAAGGACAGATCCTGAAGCTGAGGCTCCAAGACTTTGGCCACCTCATGAGAAGAGAAGACTCCCTGGAAAATACCCTGATGCTGGGAAAGATGGAGGGCACAAGGAGAAGGGGACGACAGAGGACAAGATGGTTGGACAGTGTTCTGGAAGCTACGAACATGAGTTTGACCAAATTGCAGGAGGCAGTGGAAGACAGGAGGGCCTGGCGTGCTCTGGTCCAGGGGGTCACAAAGAGGCGGACACGACTAAACGACTAAAAAACAACAATAGGTTATCTCAAGCCATTTGCACATGTTGCCATGCCACCAGTCCATGCAGAATGTAGGCACCCTATATATAGAAAGGAGCAAAGCAGGGATATTTTAGGGAGCAGATGAGCAGGTGGAGCCCCTTATTTACATCCTAGGAGCCTACACAACACAAAACACTGTTGCTGTATGTAGGTTTAATTGTATTTGTTTTTTATCTTATTTTTTTTGAAATGTTCATCCAGGTTTTTTCCTTTAATTTTTTTTTGGGGGGGGGGGGCTCGAAGAGAGTGGGGCCCTAAGCTGGAGCTGGCCCTGTCTGTGAGAGCAGGGCCTGGGGCTGGAGGGGCCACTTCTAGCAGACTCTCTTTCTGTCCTTGCATCCCCAGTGCCCGACACCTTCCCCAGCAAACTCCAGCATTACACCTCTCGGGGCTTCAGAGTCATTGGGCTGGCGGAAAAAAGTCTGCCGGCGGGAATGGAAGTGGCTTCTCTGACAAGGTAAAAGAGAACGCCTGTGTGTGTGTGTGTGTGTGTGTGAGAGAGAGAGAGAGAGAGAGATGGATGTCCAGGACCCCCTGACCAAGGCTCTTCACCTGAGGTCATTCTAAAACAGTGGTCAGCAAACCTACCGTGCCCCGGGCCGGTGTCTCCAGCGCCGATCGCGCAGCGGGCAGGAGGGCAGGGGAGCGTGTGCCCATACATGTGCGCACATGCTATTTCAGGTGCACTTCCGGGTTGGAGGAGCACCGGAAATAGCTTGTGCGCATGTGCATGGTGCTCCTCCAACCCAGATGTGCACCGGAAATAACGCTTGCGCATGTGCAAATAATGCTTGCGCATGCGCAAATAACACTTGCACATGCTCAAATAACGCTTGCGCATGCGCACAAGCTATTTCAGGTGCTCCTCCGATCTGGAAGTGGGCAGCTGCGCAGCACAGCGCCAGTAAGAGCGGGCGGCAGCAGCGGGCGGCGGGGTTCACCATGGGCTGGATAAACGAGTCCCTCGGGCCTTATCCGGCCCGCGGACCTTAGTTTGGGGACCCCTGTTCTAAAAACTAGCTAAACCCAGAGGGAGTCGGGAGAAAGTCACGGGTCCAGCAGAGCCAGAAAGCAAAGCCCAGACTCCGTAGCAGCGCCTGAGGAGTTAGAACTCGCCTCTGAGGCTGGAGGTGCTGCCTGTTTTTTGAAGACAGCAAAATCCATGTGGTTGGTTGGTTCCCACTCCCTCGCCATTTCCACATTTGGAGATATTTGGGTTATGCAGCCTTGAAAACTCATGGAGTCATCAGCCTGCGGGGATAGAAGGGAACCTGGGGGTCGTCTAGTTCCAAAGCCTGCAATGCTAAAATTTCAACTCAAGAAACCCTGGCAGGCAGCCCTCGCAGGAAGGAGAGTCCTCCACAATCTCAGGGAGGTCTGTTCCCCTCTCTGTTACCACCCAACCCTCATTCCTGATGTTTCATCACAATCTCCTTCCTTGGTCATCTTGGTGGCCCACTTCTGCACACAAGCAGAGGCTGGAGGGCTGCTGCCATGAGGTCCGTGGAGGCAACTGGTTGCCCACAGTGGGAGGCAGAAAGCTGGACTGGGCAGCCCTCCCTGGCCTGATCCAGGAGGGCTCCCAAGAAGAGCTCTGCAGCAGGATCAGACCAAGGGCTTCCCAGGTCCAGCATTGGCCTTTTGCAATCTTCTCTCCTAGTTCAAGGGCAAAGGCCTGACTCGGAGCCTCATTCTGCTCCCCGCCAGCTTGGCCACTTCAGGATGCGGCCAGCTGGATCTCTGTAGCCCTGACCCGCCTGCTTCTTCCATCCAAGGGAGCAGCTGGAGTCTGGCCTGACCTTCCTGGGACTCCTGATCCTGGAGAACCGGCTGAAAAGCGAGACGAGGCCCGTCCTGGAGGAGCTCAGCGCCGCTCGCATCCGGAGCGTGATGGTTACAGGTGGGAGAGCCGGTTGGGGTGCTGGAAGCCAGTGAAAGAGGGGTCCCTTCGGTGCTGAGCTCCCTGCCCCAGTTTCAAAGGCCCCTGGGCTGCCAGAGCTCTCCAGAGGAGGCTGGGAGTACATTTCCTTTCCCCCAGCACCAATCAGCGTGCAAAGTGCTTTACATCCCTCGTTTCATTTATTCACATAGCTGTCCCTCAAGCTTCCCAGCTGTGCAGGGCCTTGAACCTGTAACATGGGCCAATAAACCTGGAACACTTCAGCCTGGGACGGGCTTTCAGAAGAACATGCAGCCTGCCTCTCTCCAATCTGTGGGAAAGTTCAGGGATGCAGGAGAGGATATATTGTCTGATTATAGCCTTTACAACAAGTTCCACAATTTAGCAGAGTAACATTCCCCTTTTTAAACTCGCAGCGGATGTGTTTGCTCAGGCTCGCTAAAGCCTCTCTAATAACTGTTCTGGTATTTCCCCCTTATTCCCTCATAAAAGTTAAGACACGACACAGTCTTCTATAAAAGTATAAAAAGGTTTACTCACACATCATTCTGTTCACAATCGGATCCCAGAAGGCAGACTTAGCTTAGAAAAGTAACACATACCTAGAAACTATCTCATAAGGAGACAGTCCCTTTGCTTTGGCTAAGCAGATGTTGCTTCTTTGATGCATGTAGTCAGAGAGAGAGAGAGAGATGGCTGCCCTGCCCTGTGCTTTTGTCGTTACCTGCACAGGTGAGGCCACGCCCACCTCTAGTCACATGCAGAGGAAGTCTGTCCCAGCCCAGAAGGAAACAGGAAGTTGACCTGCTGGCTGGACAAACATTCCTCCCCATGTGTAAACATGTTCACTCTAGGAATGCTGTCCTTGTCTGCTCTTGTGCTTCACATCCCACACAATCCATCCCTTGTCATTGTCTTCTCTCTCGAGCTGCCCACCATCATAGAATGGTAGATTTGGGAGGGGTCCTCTTGTCCAGCCCCCTGACATATGGCCACCCAGCCTCTGTCTAAAAGCCTCCACGGAGGAAAGTCCTCCCCCCCTTCCGAGGGTGACCGTTCCATTGTCAAACAGCTCTGATAATAATCATAATCATAATAATAATCATAACAACAAATTTTATTATTTGTACCACACCCATCTGACTGAGTTGCCCCAGCTACTCTGGGCAGCTTCCAACATACCGTATTTTCACTCTATAAGACGCACCAGACCATAAGATGCACCTAGTTTTTAGAGGAGGAAAACAAGGAAAAAAATATTCTGAATCCCTCTTGCTGTTCTGGCTTCTGGGATAGCTATGCAGCCTGCAATCGCTCCATAAGACGCACACACATTTCCCCTTACTTTTTAGGAGGGAAAAAGTGCGTCTTAGAGAGCAAAAAATACGGTATATAAAAACATAATAAACATTAGAAAATTCTTCCTGCTGCCAGAAAGTTCTTCCTAACCTATAGTCTGAAGGAGCGCAGCCCGTTCCTCTTGGCAGAGCCGAAGAATTTGTGCGGAGGGTCCCCTCTGGACGTCAAGATCCCAACGCGCAGGTGATGACGCCCCTGTCTTGACTTTCCAGGTGACAACATTCAGACGGCAATCACCGTCGCCCGAAATGCCGGCCTGATTCCTCCTGGCAGCCGAGTGATCCTTGTGGAGGCGAGTGGCCAGCCTGGGCTCCCCTCGCCCTCCGTCACCTGGGAGCTCCTGGAGGAGAGCAAAGAAGACCAGGGCGACAGCAGCGAGACCAAGGTGAGGGTCCCTGGCGGCTCCCTGGAGGGGGTTCCTTCTCCCCGCTTCTGGATCCTGGGTGGGGCTGGCAGAGCAGAGGTTTTGGCAAAGGATGCCAGGCAAAAGAGGCCATGCCCCAGGGGTGTCCTAGCCGCCCTCAGCACCTTCTGACGCAGCACAGAGCCCCCGAGTCTGGCCTGGGCATCCGTCCCAGGGCACCTCTGTTTTTTTGGTTTTTGTTTTAATTAATCTTTATTGGTTTGAAATCAACACATACACACAAAGAAAATTCAGAAAAAAGAGCAAAGAAAAAAGAAAACAAAGACATGACAAAATTATACCAAAGGGGAAAAATATACAATACATCTTTTACAAACAAACAAACCACAATATGTATTACTGCTTCACAAATGCACAAAAATATTTCCATCATCAGCTTCTGACTTTCTTGATGTGGGTCCTTTTTTTCCTCGATTCCTTGCCTCTGATTTTCCCTAAATCTTGTTTGTATCCTTTTTACCTTATTTCAATTCGAGAGTTATTCGAAGCATTCTCCAGTTTCTATACGGGGACCCTGTTCTTTTAGATATTGTTTATACATCTCCCATTCCTTTTTAAACTTTTGGGTCAATCAGTCTCTATTCCCCCCCCGTCATATATGCTACTTTCATGTATTCTGAGTGACCTGCCTCTGCCAGGTGGGATCCTGGTCTGAGGCCAGAAGAAGCGGCTGCCTCTTCCCTTCCTCCTCTTTTGCAGGAGAGATACCTGGAAGTGGGAGGAGGAAGAGGGCCTGATCCCGGAAGGGGCAGGTACCACTTCTGCCTCGATGGGAGAACCTACGAGGTCCTCAGTCAGCACTTCAGGCACTTGCTCCCAAAGGTGAGTTGGGACCCCTGGGGGCCTCTCTCTTGGGGGGGGCACAGCACATTCAGACGGAGCCCTTCGTTTGGGGGAGGGCAACAGAGCGTCTGTTTGGCATGCAGAAGGCCCCTGCTTCTGCCCTGTCTGGCAGCATCTCCAGGTAGGGCTGGGAGAGCAGCTGCTGCTGCTGCCAGTTGAGCGGGCAGTACGGCCCAATGGTCTGACCTGGAACAAGGCAGCACCCTGTGCACCATGCTGTGCTTCCAAGGAGGCTGGTCGGATCCAGCCAGGCCTGGGAGCCCGCCCAGGCTGCCTCTGCCCGCCCGCCTGGGCGCTGGCGCAAGCCGCTGCGCCCGACTCCTTCCCCAGCCTGCCCCTGAGGCTGGGCCTGGACTCTGCGCCCTCTTTCTCCCCGCAGCTTCTCCTGGACGGGACGGTGTTCGCTCGGATGTCTCCGCCTCAGAAGGCCAGCCTGGTGCAGGAGCTCCAGAAGATGGAGTGAGTGAGCCCAAGTTCAGGAAACACACAGCAGGGGTGGAGTGGGGAGGCAGTGTGGTGCAATGGTTAGAGCGCTGGGAAACGCCAGGGTCCAAATCCCCGTTCAGCCCTGAAGCCCACCGGGTGGGAGGTGGCCTGGTCACCCACTCTTGGCCTGGCCGATCTCACAGGGTTGTTGGGAGAATAAAACGGGGAGTTGGAGAACCACCTTAAGGTGCCCTTCAAAACCTCCAGAATTTAAGCCACGCTCTGCCATCTCCAGAAATCTTGAAATGTGTCTTGAGCTATTATTGCCACCTGGCTGCAGCAGAGGGAATACAGTGAGCCTGCTCTAGATCATTATATATTATATATTATATATTATATATTATATATTATATATTTACTCCAGGCGGCTTACAGATAATAAGAGCAGCTAAAAACATGGGGTGGGGGATCATTAAAAGACAATTAAACATTGGTAGAATTAAATCTATCTCTATACCATCTGGTTGGCTTTCCTGATTTTTGTACAAGTGCGCAGGAACATTAGCAGCAGAGGACTGTTAAAGGGCTTCTGTGCCAAAATTCCTGCTAGGGTTTCCCGTTCTCTGCTCAGAAGGCAGAAGTTGTGCTGCAATTTGCCAACGCCTTACCTGACCCGCGTGACATTGGGCTTAGCCAGGCTTCCTTTTGCACTGTGCTTTCCAGCAACAGACTTCAAAGCTCTGGGTTTTGTCTGGTTTGGTTTTTGCCCTCTGCATAAACCCACGTTTTAGCGCTGAATCAGAGCAAATATTGATCTGCAGAAAACCTGTTGCTGTTTGCTCTGACGGCAGGTTTCCCCGGGGAAAGTGCCAGGGCAAATAATAATAATAATAATAATAATAATAATAATAATGGTTTGTTATTTATACCCCGCCCATCTGACTGGGCCACTCTGGGAGGCTTCCAACCAAATATCAGAAACAATACAGTGTCAGACATTAAAAACTTCCCTAAACAGGATGGCCTTCAGGTGTCTTTTAAAAGTAAAATAGTTGTTTATTGCCTTGACATCTGCTGGGATGGTGTTCCACAGGGTGGGCGCCACCACCGAGAAGGCCCTCTGCCTGGTTCCCTGTAACTTGGCTTCTTGCAGCGAGGGAAGCGCCAGAAGGCCCTCGGCGCTGGATCTCAGTGTCCGGGCAGCAAAGAGGGGGGGAAATGTTGGCCAGCAAAGAGGGGAAATGGGCTGGATCTGGCTTGTTACTTCAATGTCAGGAGAAACTTTGTGTACATAGACTCTGTTATTGAAGTGAATTTGACAGTTCGTGCTCATACAGACGTGCTGGATCTCAGTGTCCGGGCAGAACAATGGGGGTGGAGATGCTCCTTCAGGTCTACTGGGCCGAGGCCATTTGGGGCTTTAAAGATCCGCACCGACACTTTGAATTGTGCTTGGAAACTGGGAGCCAATGCAGATCTCTTAGGACTGGTGTTATGTAGTCTCGGCGGCCGCTCCCAGTCCCCAGTCTAGCTGCCGCATTCTGGATTAATTGCAGTTTCCGAGTCACCTTCAAAGGTAGCCCCACGTAGAGCGCATTGCAGTAGTCCAAGCGGGAAATAACTAGAGCATGCGCCACTCTAGCGAGACAGTCTGCAGGCAGGCAGGGTCTCATCCAGCACACCAGATGGAGCTGGTAGACAGCTGCCCTGGACACAGAATTGACCTTTGCCTGAACAGGTTAAACAACCCTGAACACTCTGCTCGGACGCGGAGCTTTAAAGCACAAATGCTCTGCCGAGAAAGACGATGCAAAAGGGAGTCTGGGTGAGCCCTTTCTGCGTGTGTTTGCTTGACTTTCCCCCCTTTCCTTTCCCAGCTACTTCGTGGGCATGTGTGGAGACGGTGCCAACGACTGCGGGGTCAGTATACTGAACTATATTTCGAAACCTTCCAAAGGGGTCCATCATCTCCGGGGAGGGGCAGCCTCTTCCAGGCAGGTGCAGGACGGACCAGATCCATGGGCAAATGCCACCTGCAATTGGTCCTGAGCAAGGCTGAGAGCGGCGGCTCCTCCGAGTCCATGGGCTGCTCCTTAGCAGAACCTGCAGCCGGAGCTCCCAGTTCCTTTCTCCCTCCTGGGCTGCAGAGGCCTGTTTTGCCCAGGGATGCCCATGGACCTGCTGCTGTGCCCTCCTTTTTTAGGGCAGCCTGCACTTTGGAACTCCCTGCCGATGGATATCCACCAGGCGCTTCTGCAGTTCACTTTTTGGTGCCCACTTAAAGCACTCTTGCTTAGACAAGCCTCTTCAGGTGCTTGGAAAATCAATACAAGCTTCAATCTGTTGTTAGTCTGCTGCTATTTTAACTTTTCAAAAGTCTTATATATATATAATTTTTTTATTAAGTTTTTGAAAAAATTTATACATATAAAACAAAACCATTTCAAACATTAAAATACAGAGTTCTTTCAAACCCTTAGACCGCCTTCCCTCCCTCCACGAGTTACATCTTTAAAATTAAATTTACTGCATCATTTACCCTTACCTATCTATTATATAACCATAATTACCATAAAAAATCACATTACAAGTGTCTTTACATCCCTGCCAAAGATTTTTAACTGTTTACAGTGGTCCTTAAAATAAATTACAAATTTACTCCAGTCTTTAGAAAATACTTGATCTTCCTGGTTTCAGATCTTTCCCATCAGTTTTTCAAAAGTCTTCGGACTGCTGCTGTCAATTTATGTTATTGATAATTTTACTTGCTTTGTCTTTTCTTCGCTTTGTTGCGGTTTTTATTTTTACAATCCTAGAATCATGGAGTTGGAAGGGACCCCGAGGGCATCCAGTCCAGCCCCCTGCAATGCAGGAATCTTTTTAGCCCACGTGGGTCTTGAACCCGCAGTCCTGAGCTTAAGAGTCTGATGCTTTACCCGCTGAGCTAACTAAAATAAACTCCCAGGCCGGCCACACACTTCCTTCCCCCACGGCCGCCCCAGAGTACTGCCAGCTGCTTCGAGGGGTTGCTGGCCTGCCGGGTCTGCAGAGCGCAAGGTGGTGTCTGTTTGGGGTGCTGGCAGCGGCATCTCAGGGTGTGCCTGTCGCCCAGGGGTTCCTGCACCGCAAGCGCGTCCTTCCTTGCCCCAAGTCCTGAGACTGGGCTGCTGTTGCCTTTCAGGCCCTGAAGGTGGCCCATGTCGGAATCTCCCTCTCGGAGCAGGAGGCCTCGGTGGCTTCCCCCTTCACCTCCAAGACCCCCAACATCGAGTGCGTCCCAGAGCTGATCAGGTGAGCCCCAGACTCCTGTGGGGAAGGTGGGGCCCTCTCTCCCCCTGCTGAGCAGAGTCCAGCCGGGGGGTGGGGAGGCAGTGTGGAGATTCCCCCTTAAGGAACAGACGTGTGGAATTGTTACGGGTCACATGCCTGTTTACATTCCAGCACAGTATGCTGGGAACTTTCGTTGTGTATAGCTTTTGCTTTTCCCGTTCTCTCTGAGACGACACGAGAGAGAGACGACATGTTTCTTTGTCCTGATTTATGATGAATAAGTCTGTAGTTGTAGTATGCTTCCACAAGCCTCAGGCCTATTCTGTGTGCGCAGTTCGCTCTGCTGACGGCGTGCCCTGGCTTTGAAGCCCAGGTTGCTGATTTACGTTGGAGCACGGGCCGATGGAAGGAGAGGGCACAGGTGGGGCTTGCCAGCTGGCCTCCCGACCCTCTGCATGTCGACACGCAGAGTGGGGGTGCTGAGCTGGCACAGGTTGGCAGGAGGCCGCGCAGAGGCCCCGCTTCCCTCCTTTGCCTGGTTCCCAGTTCTCTAAGTCATAGAAGTGTAAAGTTGGAGGGGATCCCAAGGGTCCTGTAGTCCACCCCTCTGCAACGCAGGCCTCTCCAGGCCCTCCTTGCCAACCCTTCTCCCTCTCCTCCTTCTCCCCACAGGCAAGGCCGCTGTGCCCTCGTGACCTCCTTCTGCATGTTCAAATACATGGCTCTCTACAGCACCATCCAATACCTGGGAGTCCTGCTCCTCTACTGGGTACAGGGCCAGGGGAAGGGGGTGGGCACGGGGAGGGGTCTCTCCGATGGCCGGGTGTCCTCCATGCCTCATCCGGAGGGCCAGGGAGCTGCTGTACTCCAAACCAAGGGATCCTACCCCCTTCTGAAGCTTTTACCCTCCAGAAGTTCTTCCTGATGTTGAGCCGAAATGTCCTTCCTCGCAACTTGAATCCGTTGGTTTGGGTGCTGCCCTCCGGAGCAGCGGGAATCCGGCTGGCTCCGGGCCCCCTGTCCAGCCAGCACAGAAGGGGCCACGTGGCTCCGTTTGGTGTGCGGCCGTGAGAAGCAGCGGCGGGTGGGGCGTTGGGGGTGCCTGGGCCCTGGACCCTCAACCTGGCTCCCTCCTGCTCTTCTTCTCCTCCAGCAACTGAACTCCTTTGGGAATTACCAGTTTCTGTTCCAAGACCTGGCCATCAGCACTCTCATTGGCATGACAAGTAAGCGCTTCCGAGCGACTCCGGGTTAGGGTGCCGGCCCCTCTGGGCTCCGGGGGGCCTTCTGGCTGCCCCAGGGACGTCCCCACCGCCCGCCTCTCTCTTTGCAGTGAGCCTGAATCAGGCCCACCCCAAGCTGGTTCCTCACAGGCCCCCCGCCCGGCTCACCTCTCCGCCTCTGCTGCTCTCCCTGGTGCTGAACCTCCTCCTCAGCCTGGCCATGCAGGTCTGTGGCTTCGTCCTGGTGCAGAAGCAGCCCTGGTATTCCACCAGAGACCTCCTCAGGTAGGGAGGCCCGGCTGCTGCCTGGAGATGGGCTGGGGGAGCCTCCTGGGGGAAGGTGGGGGAGAGAAGGCTGGCTCCTGGCATCCCTGACTCCACCCCCGGGGTCCTTTTCAGCGCTTGCTCTCCTGGGAACAAAAGCGACACCGAGTTCCCTGCCTCGCCCAGCAACCGGACGGAGGCCGATGTGGACAACGGGTACAAGAGCTACGAAAACACCACCGTGTGGCTTCTCTCCACCTTCAACTGCCTCCTGGTGGCTCTGGTCTTCTCCAAGGGAAAGCCCTTCAGGCAGCCTGTGTACAGAAACCGTAAGAGCAACGAGACCGGATGGTGGGCTTGTGGGTGGAGAGAGACGTGGCCCCTCAGAGACCCCAAGAGCCAGAATCCCCCTCGGAGGCTTCGTGCCTCCCTCCCGAGAGTTGGAGGTGGGCTGCATCCAGACCCTCCCCGCCTTCCAGAAGCATCGCAAGTCCTCTGCCTTTGGGTCGGCCTTTGGACAACTCTTGGTCCGTTTTTATTTTGACATGCTTGGTTAGAACTCTAGGACCCTCTTACCTATGGGACCGCCTCTCCCGGTATGCCCCACGGAGGACCTTAAGGTCCATAAATAGCAACACCCTAGAGGTCCCGGGCCCTAAGGAAGACAGATTAGCCTCAACCAGAGCCAGGGCCTTTTCCACACTGGCTCTGGCCTGGTGGAACGCTCTGTGTGCTGGTCCCGTGCGTTACCCGAGAGGCGAGGTCCAAGGTCAAAGATGCAACGTAGGTCCAAGTCTGGTCCGTGCTCAAAGGTGCAACGTGGAGGCAGTCCGTAGTAGCTGAAGCTGGGTGCAGGGCAGGGAGTCGGGTGAAGTCAGGAACAGGCTTGCAAGCAGGGAGCCAGGGCGGGTCAGGAGCTCAGGCAGAATAGCAGGATAGGGTTCAGGCAGGAACTAGCAACCAACAATGTTGCTCCCGCAACTTGGGGCTGGGGGCTGGCTAGCTTTTATCTGCCCCGAGGCATAGGGCGGCCCCGATCCTCTGGTGACTTGCCTCTCCTGGCCTGGAGGCGAGCACTCCTCCTACGGGAACTTAGTTCCCTCCGCCTCTCTGCCATGAGCCTCTGCAGCTCAGGAGAGGCTGGAGGGTGACCGGACCCAGAGGCAACCTCACCTTCCTCTGACGGGGCTGAGAGTGGAGCACCTGCAGGCAATGGGTCCTCCGTCACCTCAGGAGCCAGAGCAGACTCAGCCGGTGCCTGCACCTGAGGATCCAGCACAGGTGAGGACCTTTCAGGCTCAAGCCCCAGTCCCGGCTCAGCTGGTTCTGGAGGTGGGGAATCCTGTGCAGGCTGGGATCCCTCAGGTTCAGCATCCGAGTCCAAATCCCAGGCCATCACACCCTGTCTCATGAGACCAGGGCCCTGCAGGATCTGATTTCTTTCCACAGGGCCTGTAAGACAGAGTTGTTCTGCTTGGCCTTTGGCTTAGAATCAACTTGATCCCCTCCCCTTCTTTCCTTTCTCCTTCTGTGATGGAACTCCTATTTGGGGACTTCCCTGGCTTTTTCTGGCCCACGTAGGACCAGTCTGGATAGTTGGTCTTGGTGAAGATTTGATGTTTTCATCCCCCAAAAGTTTCTGATTTGAGTTTCTATTGAAATGAGGCTGCATTTTAATGTTGTATTTTAATCTTGTTTTTAAGTTGTGTCTTAATTACGGTAATTGTTTTATATCTGGTGTTAGCTGCCCGGTCTTGGCTGGGGAGGGTGGGGTATAAATAACATTTATTATTATTAAACCATGAATCATGGAATTGTAGAGTTGAAAGGGACTCCGTAGGGATGCAATGCAGGAATTGCAACGGAAGCATCCATGACAGAGGGCCATCCAGCCTCTGCTTAAAAAGACCCATTGAATAACAGAACCATAGAATTGCAGTGTTGAAAGGGACCCCAGGGGGTCATCCAGTCCAACCCCCTGCAATGCAGGAATCTCAGCTGAAGTATCCATGACCGGGCCACCCAGCCTCTGCTTAAAAACCTGCAAGGAAGAAGAGTCCCCCACCTCCCGAGGAGACCCTTCCACTATGCAATGGGCTCTTCCTTTTGGAAAGTTCTTCCTCATCTTTATTTGGAATCTCCTTCCTTGTCTTCAGATCCCTCAGTTCAGATCCCACCCAGAAAACCAGCCTGCTCCCTGCCAGCTCTGCAGGCTGCTGAAGCCCCCAGGCCCTCTCTCAACTCCCCGTGATTCCTGCATTGCAGGGGCTTGGACTAGATGACCTTTGGGGACCCCCCGACTCTCCAGTTCCATGGCTCTGTGCCCCCCCTCTCCCCAACGGCCTTCCTCCCCCCGTTCACCCCCAACCGCCTTTTCCTTCCAGATGTCTTTGTCCTGGTCTTGGCACTGCAGCTGGGCGTCTGCCTCTTCTTCCTCTTTGCCCACATCGAGGGTCTCTATGCCACGATGGATGTGAGTAGAAATGCCCCCCCCGCCCCAAGTGCTGCAGCTCGTCCCTCGTCCCCCCCCCTCCCGCTGCCCCTCTGGGGGTCTCCCGGTAGGCCTGGCAGGAGACCCCCCCCTAAAGCCCTGCAGGGCCACTGTGGGCAGAGCCCCCTTTCAGGCAGCTTATAAGGTTCCTATGTGGGAGGGGCCCCACTTAACACCCCCCTCCCTTAAAATAATCCTCCTGCCCAGATGCTTAGGAAGTTATTTAGAATTTTAACCTGGTTTAGCATTTTAACTTTTCACACGTTTTAAAGCATTGTGAATTTTTCGGGATCATTTTTTTTTTTTTAAATAAACCACTTTGAGGGCCCCCCCCTTTACAGTCCAGCAGTGTATAAAACTTATGAAAGAAAGAAATACTTTAAAAAAAAAGTAGCCCCCCCCCCCGCAGGATCTGATCCCCTGTGCATCTCCTTCCCTTGCTGTCATCCCAGACGTATGTTTAACTGGGGTTTAAAAACAGCACAATTAATCACTAGCTCCACCCCTGAGTGGATTGAGGGCCAGATTCAGGGCAGGTGCTGGCCCCCAAGCCATCTCAACAACCTGCAGTGTGCAAAGGCAGCCACTAGGTGGCCTCATAACAGAAGTTTCCCCTCTGCTCCTTGCAGAGGCCTCTACCTTAGATTTTAAAGCAAGGGAAATTATGCACCGTTCTGTTTTGCACCGCTTTTAAAAACACCCATTTTTAACTGTTTTTACGGTGCATTTGTAAATTGCCTCGAGACACGTGGAGAAGGCGATTCAGGAATATTAGTTAATAACAAGCATAAAAATGAAGAATGGTATCTTTGTAACGCTGATGCTCAGGAGAGCTGGTGGGCTTAGCGGTTAGGAATGCTGGGCTAGGGAGAGACCCAGATTCGAATCCTGCCTCTCCCTGGGTGGGCCAGTCCCTGCCTCTCAGCCTGATCCTACCTCACAGGGCTGTTGTGTGGGGGTGGGGTTAGAGACGGGGAACCATGCCCCCCCCCTTGAGCCCTTGGGATGAAAGGCAGGATATAAGTGCAGTACATGAAATTAAATTGAAATAAATGATAACAGCAACTGATGCAACTACACCCAGGACTTGGCCATTGGAGTAAAATGGGGGGGGAGAGACTGCAAAGTGGGCATGGAAAGGGGGTCTTTGGACTGGGCATGCTTGGCAGGGGGCATGGCTGGCAGTGCCCCCCACCAGATGTGCCTTCTCCCCCTCCATCCTCCCATGTCTCTGACTGGCTTCTGCCCCCCCCCCCAGCTTGTCTGCACTCCCATCCTTTGGAGATTCTCCCTGCTGGGCCTGCTGCTGATCACCTTTGCCGTCTCCCTGGTCGTCGAGGTGAGTTGGACCCATTGGCTTCCCCTGCCTGGGCCGCTTAAGGCTCCCTGAAGGGCTGCAGGGGGTGTGAGATCCTCCTCTTGGATACACGTGGGAATGTTCAGGGAGGCAGGAGAGGATATATTGTTGAATAATATCCTTCCAAACTTGCGCTAGCAGGTTCTATAACTTAGCAGAGTTCTAACATTCCCCTTTTAAAATGTGCAGCGGTTAGCTTGCAGCAGGCTAGTTTTAGCCTCTCAATATAAGATTCCTGGTAATCCCCTTTAAGGTAAAAGTAAAGGTACCCCTGACTATTAGGTCCAGTCGTGACCGACTCTGGGGTTACAGCGCTCATCTTGCTCTATGGGCCGAGGGAGCCGGCGTTTGTCCGCAGACAGCTTCCGGGTCATGTGGCCAGCATGCCTAAGCCGCTTCTGGCGAACCAGAAGAAAGAAAGAAGATTCCACCTAAACATTAGGAAGAACTTCCTGACAGTAAGAGCTGTTCGACAGTGGAATTTGCTGCCAAGGAGTGTGGTGGAGTCTCCTTCTTTGGAGGTCTTTAAGCAGAGGCTTGACAACCATATGTCAGGAGTGCTCTGATGGTGTTTCCTGCTTGGCAGGGGGTTGGACTCGATGGCCCTTGTGGTCTCTTCCAACTCTATGATTCTATGATTCTATGAACCAGAGCAGCGCACGGAAACACCGTTTACCTTCCCACCGGAGCGGTACCTATTTATCTACTTGCACTTTGATGTGCTTTCGAACTACTAGGTTGGCAGGAGCAGGGACCGAGCAACGGGAGCTCACCCTGTCGCGGGGATTCGAACCGCCAAGCTTCTGATCCGCAAGCCCTAGGCTCTGTGGTTTAATCCACAGAGCCACCCGCGTCCCTGTAATCCCCTTTACTCCTCTTTAAAAGGAATAGACACGACACAGTCTTGTGTAAAAAGTATAAAAGAAGTTGACTCACATTCAGTCAGTTCACAGATGAATCCCTGAAGGCAGACTTAGGTTACAAAAGTATAAACACATAGAATCTATCCCATAAGGAGATAGGTCCTTTGTGTTCTGTTGACTGGAAGCTGAAGAGATGTTGCTTCTTCTACGAATGGAGTCAGAGACAGAGAGAGAGGGCTTTGTGACTCGCCCTTTTGTGTTACCTGGACAGGTAAGGTCACGCCCACCTCTGCTCACATGCAGAAGAAGTTTGTCCCAGCCCAGGAGGAAAGTTTTTCTACTGGCTGAACCAAGCACCCCCTTGCACGTCCACTCTAGGAATGTTGTACTCGACTGCTCTGTGTTTCACATCCCACAATACAGGGCTTGTCCCGGCTGCACCCCAGGAATGGCAAGGAGGTTCTTCCCACCTGCAGTTATTGGGGCTGCCTGTGTTTTGAACAGATCTCTTTGAAATCCATACAGTGGTACCTTGGTTCTAGAACTTAATCCGTTCTGGGAGTCCGTTCGACTCACGAAACCGTTCGGAAACCAAGGCACGGCTTCTGATTGGCTGCAGGAGCTTCCTGCACTCAATCAGAAGACACGGAAGCCGCGTCAAACATTTGGCTTCTGAAAAACGTTCACAAACAGGAACACTTACTTCCGGGTTTGCGGCGCTCAGGAGCCAATTTGTTAGGGAGCCTAGTCGTTCGAGTACCAAGGTACCACTGTATTTTAATTCTGCTCGTGTTCAGTTACACTTTCATGATCATCTCAGTTTGGGGCACTTTCTGTTTTATCTGCAGAAGCTGCCTTGATTCCTGGGCTGGGGGGAAAGCAGGCTATGGATAAATTTTATCTATCTATCTATCTATCTATCTATCTATCTATCATCTATCTATCTATCATCTATCTATCTATCATCTATCTCAGCTTTATGCCAACAGCCATTTGTCCGAAGGACACAGGATAAAAATGCAAGATGAAAACACAAAACACATGACTCAATAACAAAAACAAAAGCAATCACTCCATCCCCCACACAATTTTTATTATTATTATTATTATTATTATTAAATGAATATGGAGCCTGCTGAGGCTTCAGTTCTGCTTGCTCTGCCTTTTCCCCACGCAAGGGCCTGATCCCCCCTTCTCTCTTGCAGGAGGCCGTCATTGAGAACAGAGCCCTGTGGGCGCTTCTGAAGAGAGCCTCTGGGTACCAGTCCAGGAGCCGATACCAGAAGGTGCGGAGGGCCCTGGAGAAGGACCCCTCTTGGCCGCCCCTCAACCGAACGGACTCCGCAAGTCCCGACGCGGTTCGCGTGGCTGGCTTTGGGGCGGCTTACGGCAACCCGGCGTTTGTGAGCCACGAAGAGCCCGTCTGTGGGCCGAGCGTCTGAAGCGAGGTTGCCGTGTCTGCTCCTCAAGGGCCGCCTCCTTGCTCCCTGGTCAAAAGTGGGTGCCATTGGCAGCAGCAAGGGGCAGCCCTGAGGGCAGGATTCCTTGGCCGACGGAGAGGCGCAGGCCTCGGCTGCTGCTGTTTGGACAAAGCTTGGGAGGCCAGAGCCGGCTGTGCCACTAGATGCCATCCAAAGCCCTCGAGGTGGCAGCCCCGTGCGTGGCTGGCCGGCCAGCCTGCCACCTCCACCACCAGCACAGAAGCAGTGCCAGAATTGGGTCTGAAACAGCACAAGATCCTTCGGAGCCTGTGGGTTCTCTCGCGATCTTGCCCCAAATGGGCACTGATGCCAGCTCTGCTTCTCTGCCCGTGGTGGAGGTGGCAAAGCAGGCAGAGAAGCAGGTTCTGCATGCGAGGAGTTTATCCTACGTCACTTCACGCTGTTATCCTGCCCTGCTCCAGAGCAATCTCCTGTCACCCCTAAGAAACCTTGATTTTTCTAAAAAATAAAAAAAAGCGAGTTTGTTGCAGAAGCACACCAGATGCAGTTTACTGGCACAGCCTGAAGTTCTTCCTTTGCAGCTCATTCTCACTCTCGATATGATGACTGTCTGGAAGCAGCCTTGGAATCAGACCATAGTTTGTGGCAGCGGGGCGGGGGGGGGGAGAGGGGCAAGGAGAGCCGTGGGGACTCATGGACAAGTCTCTGAATAAAGCTTCTTCCTGGGACTCGCAGGTGGGGAGATGTGCTTGCATGTCCCTTTGGGGCTCCTGGTTGTCTACTGAGAGAAGAGGTTGCTGGACCACCTGAACCATGGACCTGATCCAGTGGAACTCTGTGTACAGAGATAGACCGAGACAGCAGAACCTCTGTGGCAGGAGCAGCCTACTTCTGAATCCCTGTTGCTGCGAGGACAGGATCCTGGACCGGATGGGATCCCCACTTGGGCCTGGCCCAGCTGCTGCAAAGCTCTCTGAAATAAACTCGGAGTCGAGAGTGGATTTCATGCTCTTTGTTCAGCTTATAGTGGTGAGGAGGAATGGAAGTTTCCCCAAAGTATCTGCTTTATATACATTATTTACACAATGGGCCCCACGTGATTGGCTAATTCCAGGATTCAGCTATAGGCCAATCAGGTTGTGGATTCACTTCCACCTGGAGCTGGATTGGGTGGCTCCTGTGGACCAATCAGACTGCTGCATTCTGAATCCTATTCTTCTAGGACCAATCAGACTGCTGCCTTTTGGATCCTATTCAGCTCAGTACATAACACTCTCCTTTGGGCCTCACGAAGTGAAGGGGGGGCTAGTAAGGGGGTGCAGAGGCCACAAGAGGCAGGGAAGCCACTCACCCTGAGCAAGAACCACCTTCCTTTTATTATATATAATATAACAAAAATAACAGAAAGAAAAGACAAACAACAACAAACGTAACAACTACAGCAAACAAAGAAAACTGTAAATAAAAACAATATCAAATCCATGAAATGGGATTCTCCAAATCCCATGACTTCCTCTCCACCCCGGTTCCTTTATTTTTTCTCTCAACTGCATATCATTTCCAGGAACCGCCTTCCTGAGCCAGGAACACCCGGCTGCTCTGTCTCTGCTGTGTCTACTCGAGAGCAACCAGGAGGGCTGCTGGAGGCCAAACGGGTGGAATTTTCCTTGCTCTGTGCTGCTATATAGCCTAGGCCTGAAGAGGGTTCGGATGCCTGATGATCGTCTTCCAAAGCAACTACTCTGTTCCAGACTTAAAAATGGAAAGTGTAATGCTGGTGGTCAACAAAGGAGGTTTAAAGACTGTCTCAAGGCAAATTTTTAAAAAAGTAGTATAAACACCAGCAATTGGGAAACACTGGCCTCCGAGCGCTCCAGTTGGAGAACAGCCTTTTCCAAAGGGAGAAGCAACAAGAGGAACAGCCATTTTAGATCTGGTCCTAACCAATGTTGATGACCTGGTTAGTGGGGTAGAAGTGGAAGGATCATTAGGCGCGAGTGATCATGCTCTTCTGAAGTTTACTATACAGCGGAAAGGAGCAGCCAAGCATACTAGGACTCAGTTTCTTGACTTTAAGAAAGCCGACTTCATAAAACTTAGGGAAGTGCTGGGTGAGATCCCATGGACAGTAATACTAAAAGGAAAGGGAGTTCATGATGGCTGGGAGTTTGTTAAGAGGGAGATAGTAAAAGCACAACTTCAGGCAATACCAATGAGACGGAAACATGGAAGGTGCCTAAAGAAGCCAGGGTGGCTATCTAAAGAACTTTGAACTGAGTTAAGATTAAAAAAGGATGTGTACAAAAAATGGAAAAGGGGGGAAACCACCAAAGAGGAATTCAAACAAATAGCCAGCACGTGTAGACACAAAGTCAGAAAAGCTAAAGCACAGAATGAACTCAGGCTTGCTACAGAGGTTAAAAGCAACAAAAAAGGCTTTTATGGGTATGTCCGTAGCAAAAGGAAGAACAAAGAAACAGTGGGGTCACTCAGAGGAGAAGATGGTGAAATGCAAACAGGGGACACGGAAAGGGCTGAACTCCTCAATGCCTTCTTTGCCTCAGTCTTCTCCGATAAAGAAAACAATGCCCGACCTGAAGAATTTGAAGCAAATGATTCAGCAAAGGAAACACAGCCCAGAATAACTAAGGAGATAGTACAAGAATACTTGGCTAGTTTAGATGTATTCAAGTCTCCAGGGCCAGATGAACTGCATCCAAGAGTATTAAAAGAACTGGCAGATGTGATCTCAGAACCACTGGCAGTCATCTTTGAGAATTCCTGGAGAACAGGCGAAGTCCCGGCAGACTGGAGGAGGGCAAATGTTGTCCCTATTTTCAAAAAGGGAAAAGAGAGGACCCAAATAATTACCGCCCAGTCAGTCTGACATCAATACCAGGGAAGATTCTGGAGCAGATCATTAAGCAAACAGTCTGTGAGCACCTAGAAAGGAATGCTGTGATCACCAATAGTCAGCATGGATTTCTGAAAAATAAGTCATGTCAGACTAACCTGATCTCGTTTTTTTGACAGAATTACAAGCCTGGTAGATGAAGGGAACGCGGTGGATGTAGCCTACCTTGATTTCAGCAAGGCATTTGACAAGGTGCCCCATGATATTCTTGTAAAGAAGCTGGTAAAATGCGGTCTTGACTATGCTACCACTCAGTGGATTTGTAACTGGCTGACTGACCGAACCCAAAGGGTGCTCATCAATGGTTCCTCTTCATCCTGCAGAAGAGTGACTAGTGGGGTGCCACAGGGTTCTGTCTTGGGCCCGGTCTTATTCAACATCTTTATCAACGACTTGGATGATGGACTCAAGGGCATCCTGATCAAATTTGCAGATGACACCAAACTGCGAGGGGTGGCTAACACCCCAGAGGACAGGATCACACTTCAAAACGACCTTGACAGATTAGAGAACTGGGCCAAAACAAACAAGATGAATTTTAACAGGGAGAAATGTAAAGTATTGCACTTGGGCAAAAAAATGAGAGGCACAAATACAAGATGGGTGACACCTGGCTTGAGAGCAGTACATGTGAAAAGGATCTAGGAGTCTTGGTTGACCACAAACTTGACATGAGCCAACAGTGTGACGCAGCAGCTAAAAAAGCCAATGCAATTCTGGGCTGCATCAATAGGAGTATAGCATCTAGATCAAGGGAAGTAATAGTGCCACTGTATTCTGCCCTGGTCAGACCTCACCTGGAGTACTGTGTCCAGTTCTGGGCACCACAGTTCAAGAAGGACACTGACAAACTGGAACGTGTCCAGAGGAGGGCAACCAAAATGGTCAAAGGCCTGGAAACGATGCCTTATGAGGAACGGCTAAGGGAGCTGGGCACGTTTAGCCTAGAGAAGAGGAGGTTAAGGGGTGATATGATAGCCATGTTCAAATATATAAAAGGATGTCACATAGAGGAGGGAGAAAGGTTGTTTTCTGCTGCTCCAGAGAAGCGGACATGGAGCAATGGATCCAAACTACAAGAAAGAAGATTCCACCTAAACATTAGGAAGAACTTCCTGACAGTAAGAGCTGTTCGACAGTGGAATTTGCTGCCAAGGAGTGTGGTGGAGTCTCCTTCTTTGGAGGTCTTTAAGCAGAGGCTTGACAACCATATGTCAGGAGTGCTCTGATGGTGTTTCCTGCTTGGCAGGGGGTTGGACTCGATGGCCCTTGTGGTCTCTTCCAACTCTATGATTCTATGATTCTATGAAAGGTGTCCTGGGCTTTGAAGACACTCGAACTCAGGACGCAAGGGAGACAAGTGCTAAGAGGAAGGCACGCTTGACAAACCCTCACCGTGATCAACTCCCGCTAGGAAACTAATGTCCCCACTGTGGAAGGATGTGTGGATCCAGAATTGGCCTCCACAGTCACTTACGGACTCACTGTTAAAACCGTGTTCATGGAAGACAATCTTACTCGACTACGAGGGATTGCCAAAGAAGAAGAAGAAGACTCCCTGTTTTTAGAAGCACAAGGGGCTGCAGCAGAGGTAGGGGGGCAGGGGGTGGGTGGGTGGGGGGAGAACCTAGAGGAGAATTGCTCAGGTTCTCACTTCTGCTCAGTTGCCCAAGAAGGAGAGGAAGAAGGAGCAGCTCCTCTCTGCCGGCTTTGAGGTTGAGATCCAAAGCTATGGGAAAGTGCAGCTGGAAAACACAACCCTGGTAATTAGGCCAGTTAATTGGCTTGTGCATTTCACAACCTGATTGGCAGGCAAGCGTGGAGGAAGAGAGAGGATTTACATAGAGGAAATCAACTGGGCACGGGATGCCCTTTTCTTCCCTTGAAGAGCCGGGGAAACACTGATCATTGCCAGAGAACTCTTTAGAATAAATGTGTGCAGAGAGAAAGGTTCTTTTTCTATTAATCCATTGGCGCCTTGATAGCCACGTGCAAAATAATACCAGAACTCTTTCCCTGGTGAGCACACAAGGTGTGGCAACACAGAAACCAGCATTTGGTCCCCAGAAAACACTCGGAAAGTTGC